AAAACGCCTCAACTTCCGTGCAGATGAAATTGATTAAATTTAGTCATTTGATAGCGACATTGATAAACTCTTAGCATTGCATGAAGAGAAATTATTTACAGAAAAAAAACAGGATTTCATATATTGTAATCTAATGGAATTCATTTCTGCACTTTAGAATTCGTAAATCAATCAAATGTGGTAAATTTTAATAAAATATTTTAACCGAAATCTGACATTTTTCACCATTTCAATATTTATTAAATTCCTATTATAGTTATAAATCAATAATAAAATAATTGGAGCAATTTATATTTAATCAATAAATGTTAAAAATGTATTATATTAGCTTAAATCCGTGTGTTTTTGAGTATTGCTCCAAATATCAAATTGTACTAATTTTTCTTTAAAATAAAAAAGAAATATCCATTGTTACACCTCCTTTAAGCGACTAAAATTGCATTATGGAAGGCAGAATAGTGCTTTACACATCCTTTCATTGTTGAGATCAAGAATAAAAGTCTATTCATGCTTATTCATCAAATTCAGCCTCTGCAATGCATAAAATTTGACCACGATATTTACATAGAATCACTATATAAGCCACATGAGCAACAAAATCATATTAGAGTCCGTTCAACTCACACAATTCTTCCAACAAGTACAAATAAAACATGATGCAAATATGGAAAATGTGTGAAAGACTCTTTGAAATATAATCTAAACTTTCAACAGTAACTGGGTGAAAAGTGTTTTGCCTAAGAATGGTTATTTTAAATTTATTTCGTCATAAAGTGCACAATTTGAGTAAATTGTTAAAGTTTGATAACCCACTTTGTCAAACTTTCTCTCTCATCCAAAAACGCGCCCTTTTCGCCCTGATGCGGTTGAGTTGAAATTTTCTTATGGCTGCCAAAAAGAGAGATTTTTCATCATTCTCACACCGCAGCAATTTTCGTTGGTTGGCTTTAAACATTTTTTTTTTTGTGGCATTAAATTTTAATTGCGCAAATCCCACCAATAAAATTCGCCCCGGTGCGATTTTTCCGGAGGAGCTTCATTGGAAAATCTTCACGTGGGTTCATAAAAATGCGGCTATTGTTGCTCTCCTCGCACGCGGCTCCTTCCCACTTTTTTTCTTCCTCTTACAACACATTTTCACACGCAAACCCCAAAGTGAAATCCCCGAGAACACTCAAGAGGGAAAAGCCCTAAATGTAAGTCATCCAAGTTTAAGAGCCCAACAACGCACAGGAATAAGAATTTGAGAGGCTGAAAGCCACAAGAAATCGAGAAACAAACGCCGGGTAATTCAATTGCAATTACTTTCCGCCTTCCTCTCGAAGACGCCGGCATTTTCCCTTGGCGAGCCAAGGGGGAGAAAGGGAAGAATGGGGGAGGAGAGAGAGGCTTTGATGCGTGTTGGGAAATCAATGAAGATTCCATGAGATTATTGTGGGTGTTTTTGTGTGAATTTACTCTTCTTATATGGTGAAGTGAAAGAATAACAAAACAGGAAAAAATGCGTCAAACTTTCTCCAGGATTTTCACACGTCCAACGCGCCTCTCTCTCTCTCGTCCTTCGTCCCGCTCTCACACACACTTCCTCCCGTGCCCTTTTTTATTTCCACTCGTAATTTGTTCAATCAGCTGTAACATATTGATGGATCGTAAATATTTAACGTTTATAGGCACAAATAATGTTTTTTCTTCCTTTCCACCCCTGATAAATACGTATATTTGACTTTTTTCCTCTATTTACTCCCCCCCTCGAAAAAGGGAAACACTCTTTCGGCGTAACGACAAGTGCGAGAAAAGCTCAGAATTTCCACGCCCCGCGCGCCCGCCAAAATAGTTGACGAGGGGGTGGCAAATTGAATCCCAATCCGCTGAGAAATGACGCCCGGGATCGATTTGGGAGGGAAAACTTTTGCACCACAGCGTCTTTCCGCTTGACGAAATTAATACCAAAATAGACTCAATTATTCCATTTGTTTATTTCTGAGTGTGACAGAATTTATATGTGGTGCGGAGAGAATCCACCACCTCATTTTACACCATCGCTTCTTCGCACTTTATATGAATATATGTGGCAAACCAGGAGACGAAGAACTAAAGACACACACTCTAAACAACCCCAAGTGTTGTTTGGGCGAAACTTTATCGTTGCGCCGCCAAAACTTCAGTGGATGGGAATCATTATGTGACCCAGAATCATATTTTCACTTCCATGGCACAACGGATTATTAAAATTCAATATTCTGTCGATTTATACCGATAAAAATGCACTTTACGCCACTCTTGGGGACAGAATGGCTCATTTGACATGGTTTTCAGGCCGAAAATACCAATCTTATGCCATTCCGTGAGAAATCCATTGGAAATTTCGCAATTGTCGATGAATATTTTCATCCTGAATATAAGAATGATGCAATTTGATATTAATAATGATGTTTTATTAAATAATTTCATATAAAACAGTCTGAAGAGACAAAGTCTTAAGTGTGTCCTTAAGAATTCAGTCGGAAAGTCCACGATTGTCCATGGACGTCTCGTTTCTTTACACATTTTTAGAAATTCCTGTACAATTTCAAACCAATAATGATAATTAGAGATAAATTGGATCATCTGACATATTTTTAAGTATAATCTTATTAAATACAGTCTTATGCATGTCATTAGGAATTCCATCGGACACAAGAATTGATTTGGGAAGAAAATTAGTTCAGCTGTAACGCAATTATCCTTCCATTTTCCCATTGGAAAGACTCTATGAAATCTCCTCTGCAGTTGCACATTATCTTGCGAGACAGAAACTCGCGGTCTTTCGCATGAGTTTGCGAGCAGTTCTTGAGGAAAAAACCCCAATAAAGCGCAGCGACTGAGGATAAATCGACATTCGTGGTATGCGGAATGTTTCTGTATCGCTATTTTACATTCGATTCTGCAATCCATGGAATTTTAATGAAGTTTATCCGCAGGGCGTGCGCCGAGTTGCTAAAAGAATTTTCCTTTTCTCTCATTTACAACGTTTTATTATCCCAAACTCGCTGGTGAAGTGCGCGCGAGAAGATAATACTACAATCACTCACATGCCGAGCCATTTTCCGCACTTTCCATCGCGTTGGGTGGGAAAAACGTCAATGGCTTGATGGCTCGTGAAAAGGCATGAAATGCGGATTGCATTCATAGCGAATTCCTCTCGAATGTCCGGAAGCGCACACTTTTCGAGGATGCTGCAGAATCTCTCTGCAATGCTTCTCATTTTATCCTTTTCGCATTGGCTAAAATGTTGAGTAAATCTCAGTTGAGGAACTCCATGCGGAGAATATTTAAATTCTTCGAGAAACTATTTTTGGGCGAGTCATCGCGAGCCAAGAGTGGAAATTTCAATAATTCCCCACCGAAGAGCAGCAAAAATGCGAATCAATGGACTCAAAGAGGGAGAAAATTTGGCTACAATCTGTAAATTTCTTTCAAATTTGACTTCATCAACGCCTGAAATACTATTTCTCAAATTATTCATGAATTTCTTAAGTTAACATTAGATATTTCTGAAAGAATCCACTTAAAATCACCTCTTTGAGCCTAAAAATGCTGAAAATTGCGCTAATTTGATAGAGTAGAAGCACTGAGGAATAGAATATTGTAAATACATCACTTCTCAGCGCAATATCTCCCCCTTGGATGGGTGAATTCTCACTTTCACACACGATTCCCAAATGCGAAAATGGTGCGGGATTTTTCAGTTGCAAGAGTCACGTAATAAACAAGTGCTTTCGCAGTCAATTTCCCACCGCTGAGAAATCTCTTCCGAGTCATTTGATTTAATTAATTTTCCTCCTCGACAGTTTTTCTACCGGCGAAAAAAAAGGCGCTTTCGCCGCCTCTTGTGCAGGTGCACAAAATGTGCTGAGGCGTCACGATTGGCGGCGGCGGCCATCCAAAAGGGATGCGAAAAAGAGCGCCTCGTGGGAAATCAGTGGCGAAGACCAGGTGAGGCAGTGACTTTTCCATTTCCTCCTGCATTGATGTGGCCGTGACACTTTCCAATAGTTTTCCTCTCGAGTGCGAGAGAGGAAAACCTCCGAAGGCACTTCGAGGCCCCTCGAAAATCCCTCTTCAGGACTCGACAAGATTTGCCGAGTGTGCTTCGAATCCCTTTGCCAAAAATTTTCCCATCCCCCCCAAGAACACACAAAACATGACCAAATATTACACGTAGAATAATATTTTCACAGGCTCTTCAGTCGCATGGACAAAAGTGCAAAAAGTCGTGGCGGAATTAAACTTTTGAAGGAGTTTTCCGAGGCGCAAAAGTTAAGTGGCGAATCTGGGTCAGAATCTCTCTTCAGAAGCCATAAACTCTGCGATATATTGAATGCAGAAGCGTCGCTGAAATATGACTGTCTTCCACGATGCACGGCGTGTTGCAAGATCGTGGAAAATTGTGTGAAATATTGGCAGACATTCGTACCAATCATCTGCTTTATTGAGCTTCTCGAAATCAATTAATCCCTTAACCCTTCCCTGCGAGTGCAAACTTTTCTGGACAAATAATTGAATTCGAGAAGAAATATTCAAAATTAATCTTAAAAGAAAGAATCTAACGATTTTTGTTGGATTGTCCACTTAATTTCCCAATGACAAGTGTACGAATGTACTGAAATCAAGCTAATAATGACGATTTGTTAGTAGACTTATTGAATTTCATTAGGAATTTTTGTATTTAATCAAAAGTATTGTAAACATAAATTCTGAAGCAATTTCTTAGATCAAAACGATTTTTAAGCTGCAGAATTCGCAATAGAGGAACGAAATAAAATTAAATACAAATAAATAGAAACAATGCATATTCTTTACTTTCTTTTATCTATTTTTCATGTGAAATTCAAAGGATTTCCACTGATTTTGCCTCACTTATTCAACGAAATGAACTGAATTCAATCAATTTGCGCCCTTTGCGCCAATCATTTTGAAATCGAACTCAAATCCCCGACAGAGGCGCTGACGGCGCTTCGGAGATCAATTGACGGCAGTTGACAGCCGGAAGCGTCCATCTTGGAGCAGACAAAATCAACTTCCTTTCTGTCCCAAGTTGGTGAAATACGCAAGCAAAAGTCATGCCGGTGAGAATTTTCGCGTTTTTCCGCACTCTCCGCAGCAGAAAATGTCCTGAAAACCGCACAAAAGTCTCCCAAACGCGTCGGTGTGTTTGTTAATGGTGGAAAAAGCGCGAAATCCTGAGAAAATAGAGCGAAACAGCTGTGTTTTCATCACATGCTCTCGGTTGCTTTTCTCTCTGGTTTTCCGGGGGTTTTCGAGGACACGCACGATGAATTGTGGGTTGGCGTGGTTTGTGCGTGTTCTGGGAGATTTTTGTGTGAATTTCATGGAATTTTGTTGTTCTGGAGCGATTTCACAATAATGAGAAAGTCCGAAACATAACCTCATTGTTTTCCCTTCTGCGCAGCTCGCCAAGGATTTACTGCATCCGCTGCCGGCGGAGGAGAAGCGCAAGCACAAGCTAAAGCGACTGGTTCAGCATCCCAACTCCTACTTCATGGACGTCAAGTGCCCCGGATGCATCAAGATCTCCACGGTCTTCAGTCATGCCCAGGGCGTTGTTGTGTGCGTCGGCTGCTCCACAATCCTGTGCCAGCCCACGGGAGGCCGGGCGAAGCTCACAGAGGGTAGGTACTTCCCACTCACGTCCAGAGGATTCGGCTAATTGCGCGTGTTTTGCTTTCCAGGCTGCTCCTTCAGACGAAAGCCCCACTAAGCGTCCGCAGGCTAGGAAACACCTTTCCGGAGAGCGCCCAGCATTCGTGTAATCGCGAAGACAACGTCAAATAAAGGGCTTTATTCTACGGAACCATTTGTACAGTCTCTGTCCAGGAGATTTCTCACATCGTCCAGACTCTCGGGAAGCTGCGAAGCATTTCTGAGCGTCTTCAGCGCGGTTTTCCTGCGGGAATTCAAGGCATCTGCGAGGATCCTAACGGTTTCTCTGTCTGAAGCTTCTCTCAGTCTTCTGGACACTTCCTGGCGGAGGATTAGATCGATTTTGTGCAGCTCTGAATGCTCCACTTTCTCCCTCTTCGGCAAATCCGGCGTTTTCTCAGGATTATTCAAGTGTTGAATCACTTTCTCACGGAATTCCTCACAATCCAGCCTCTGATCTTCATCCACAGCTATTGTCAGTGTCTCCACACTCGAATCCTTGGAAGGATCCTCAATTCTAGACCACAGATTCGCCACAATGTCTTCGGAAACAGCTTCCGGACGACTTCTATTCCTCTCCAGGGCTTTTTCCAGGGAAATCCTGAACCACACTTGAAAGTACCCCAAACGATGCTTCCTGGCGAGGCTGAGGACCTCCCTTCGCATACTCCTGAGCGTCATGTTGTCATCCACAATCAAAACAACCGGATTCCTCCGGCTCTTGTACTGCCCAATGAATTCCTCTATTCTCTCCAGCATTTTCGCTCTAAACGCCTTGTAATCCGTGCCAGTCTCCACAAATTCATCATAGCTGAGACGATAAACTGTCGCCGAGCTCATCCGCCTGGCAGTGGTTGTCTTCCCGGAGGCGGGAATTCCGGAGAACAGGCACAAACACAACGGCATTCTAAGCATCGACGGCGGCGTTCTGCTGAGCCTCAATCTCGGCGATGCGCCGCGCGTTGATCTCCTGCTGCACGCCTATGTAGACGCCCAGGATCTTCTGGTTGACATTGGTGAACTTCCCGAAGCAATTCTCCACGCAGCGCGTCTCGTTGGCGGAAATTGTGCGGCTGTAGAAGTTGTCGACGCACTTCGTGAAGCAGTGCTCGGTGAGTTTGTTGTACAGCTGCAGGAAGTCCTTAAACTGCAATGACAATGAAGTGTGAGCAATTGTGGCGCAGCGTCGGACTCTGGACGCGACTTACGTTCCTGATTTGAGACACTGCAGCGTCGATATTCATTGGGAAGCTTGTTTATTGGCCGCAGAAGAAAATCCCAGCGACAAAACACGTTTTATCCAACTTATCCAAAGAGATGGCAGATTGACGTCACAGTTCCCGGCTGGACGAAGGTTCGATGAATTGAGCGATTGATGTGATGAATAACGACAGCAGGGTTGAAACCGTTAAGACTCGATTTGGAAGAAAACACACGAAATAGCTGAAGAAAAGAGAATTTTCGCAATTTTCTCACTGTACATTTAGTGTTTTTTTCCTCAATTAAACGAATTTCAGCTCAAATCAATTTCTTTTGCTCTATAAACGTGATGAAATCAAACATAACCTCAATTTGAATTACTTAACAGCTGTGATTTTGAATTAAAAAGATTGTAATTGAGATTCTTAAGGAGTATTCAGTGTTAATCTAAAATAATGACCATGAAAAATACCCAGAAATGCAATTATAAGAAGAAAATCCTAAAATTTTGTCTGAAAAATTTTTCAGTTAGACTTTAGTTAATTTCCTGTTGATTTTTAGTGATGATTTAGCAGAATATTTTTGATTTTGGCCTAATTAATCATTCTAATTCAATAAATGTCTCTATAAAACACCCTAAATTTGCGTTACTTAACAAAGTTTATTATTTTGTATTTACAGATATTCTCAAGATTCACACAGATCTCACAGTCACACTTTTCCATCAGACACTTTAAAACCTGACTGATAAACCCCTCCCAAATTCAACACTCGAACTTCCAACAGCGCCGCGGAAGGATTAATATTGCAAAATCGCGAGCTGATCATCAGCAAAGTGCAGGAAGGCGCAAAGCTGTGATTGAAAACTGCCCCAAAAAGAAGGCAAGAAACGGCCCTGAATTCCTCCTCCTCGCGTCTTCCCGCGATTTGCACATTCCTGCACTTTTCTTGTGTTGTGATTAAATAAAAGAAGTTCGTGTCGAAACGGTGGGGAAATTGTGTTGAAAAACTCCAAAAAGAAATATAAAGAAGAAAGAGAAAATAAGTTAAGCTATCGCGAGACTGGATCATCCAGGCAGAATTTGTTTTGGTCGCGGATGGGCGGAACGAACAGAAGCGCCGCCGCCGATCTTCCAGCTTCACTGACGTGGCCTCGTGTGATTAGTTAAAGTGAAATTTAAACTGGAACGGCGAGCCGTGGTGGAAGTGATGGAAGGGATTGCCACCCCTGAAGCCATGCTGACTTCCACCCTCGGGATCCAGTGGATCCTCACCATTGTCGAATTGCTGCCTCTTCTCCGGATCCGTCAGCACTTCCTTCGCCGCCGCAATGTCGATGAACTTCTTCTCGGCAATCTTCTTCTCATCACCCTGAAAATTGTCCGGATGCCACTTCTGGGCCGCCTTCCTGTACGCCTTGATCACCTCCTGCTTCGTGGCTGTGCGCTTCACATTGAGAATCTTGTAGTAATCCCGACGCTCGGACTGCTTCTGCAGCCGCTTCGCCCTCTCCAGTCCCTCTTTGGCCCGCTGCAGGTGCTCATCGATGTTGATGGCGGCCTGATAGTCCTTAATGGCTGCGAAAGAGACCCCAGAATCCCGTCAGAGACGCTCTCAATTGCCTGCAGACGCCAAATACTCACCATCGTCGAACATCTCGGTGCCAATGAACGCCTCGGCACGATCACAGAGCACGCTGGGATCCTTGTGCAGCTCCAGCGCCTCACGGCATCGTGTCACGGCCTGCGTGAACTGCTCCTCCTTGACGTGACACGAGCACAGCAGCTGCTTGGCGCTGAACATCACCATTGGGATCTCCGTCTCGAACTTCAGCGCCTTCTCGGCCGACTCCACGCACTCCACAAACTGACGCTCGTCCAGGAATTGCTGCGCATCCGACAGCGCCTTCTCCACCTTCTTCAGCTTCTTGTAGAAGGGAAAGCAGTCTTTGTGCTCCGGATCCAGCTTCAGGCACTCACGGATCTCCTTCAGCGCATCCGCCGTGTGGCCCAGATTGTACAGCAACTCCGCCAAGCGGAAGTAGCCTGCCGTGCTGTCCTGCGACAGCCGATTGACAGACCTGAGATCAGACACGGCGCTCAACACGTCGTTCTCCTTGATGTAGCAATCGGCGCGTGTCTCACGGAACTTTGCACACCACGGCGAGATCTCCAGGAGTTGCGTGAGGAAGGCAATGGACGTCCTGTAGTCGCCGCGCGCTCTCAACTCCTCAATTGACTCCCATTGCTCGCGCGCGGGATCAATTTTGCTGTACAAGTAGTTCACGTCCTCATTGTAAGGCTCATCGAGAAGCTATTGAGAGTGGAAGAAGAGTCAATTAAGCACCCGGGAAGACCACAGAAAGCTCCTGATCATGAACTAACCACTGTGTGGAAGTCAATCTCGGCACTGTCGAAGTCTCCCAGTCTCAGATACACGATTCCTCGCTGTCCGCGTGCCATCGAGAAGTCCGGCTTGATCTCTAGGACGCGCGAGAAGTCGCTGAGGCAGTTGCGAGCCTTGCCCAGGGCGTAATAAACGGTGCCGCGGTGGAACAGCGCCAGGTAGTTGGATGGATCACCCTCTGTGGAAGCAAAGGAAGCAGAGTTAATTGGTGCGTCCCTATCAGATTGGGCGCTATCAGTGCTGCCTCACCAACGGCTGCGTGGTAGTGTGTGAGGGCGTCAGCCAGCTGATTCCTGGCCAGATAATCCCTGCCCATCTCCAGATGTCTGTTGATTTCTGCCTGCGTTGCTGACTCGGCACCTGCAACAGCGTGTACCAGGTGAGCCACAGAGACTCTGAGACTCAGAGAGAGCGTCTGTCTTACCATCGAGGAAGAGATCCAGAATGAGGAGGAGCAGAAAGCCCGTGAGCTTCTTCTCCTGTGCAAATTGCGCCATTTCCAACACACTCATCACCATGATTATTCACAATTTCACTTATTATCTATCCGCTTTGCTTGTCACTGCACCACTGAGACTAGTTGCAGGTGGATATCTCATTGAAATCCAGGGAAATATTGGTGCAGGAACATGACGAAACCTCGCTCTTCCCGAAAAATACAAACCCGAATGACACTGACCGAGCGATGACATGTCATGTGGTGCTCGCTGATTGGTCCATCGCGCATCGGCACCCGAGCGCGCCCGAGCGCACACGCACCGCGCGCGCCGCCGCCGGTGCGCTCTGGCGGAAATGGTCAGTACTTAGTTGACAGCAGCACCAATCGCCCAAAACAAAAAGTTGGTTTCGCTCACAATTGGTGTGAAAAACCCGTGAAATCAAATGCAAATAATGGATCTTGATGAAGATGCATCATCCATTTGTGAGTCTACGGTGAGTAGGCGGGTGGTTGGCGGCGGGGCGGCACGTGCGAGGGGCGAACGGTGGGTCGGTGGGCAGAATGTAAACATAACCCAACTCTTTGCTCGGATGCTCCGCAGGCTTCACTCACGGAAGGATGCAGGCTTCCGGTGCGGATGAATGGGACAAATGATTGGCCCCTGGCCGAGATAATTAGCGTTAAGGACACATCACTAGGACAACAGAAGCTCTTCTATGTGCACTATGTGGACTGTAAGTTGCCGGCGAAATGTTTTTTGTAAACACTCGCTTGTCAACGCGCTCTGTTCCTCCCGCAGTCAACAAGCGTCTGGACGAGTGGGTCAGCGAGGACTTCATGGACACGAGAAAAGTACAATTTCCACGGCGAGACGGCACGACCACGGGTCAGAACACGGGCGTCACGACGCCCAAGAAGCAGCCAACCGTTCCCACCACAGGCGCCAGCTCCCGGCCGGCCAGTCCAGTTACACCCTCCAGTGAACTCGTGAACGGCAGTGCTGTGCTCGCGGCGGCGCTGCAGAAGAAGATGAACAGGAAGCGGAAGGTGAGCAAGGAAGTGTGATGCGAAGCATTTGGCGCTCCGACGCTGAACACTGAGAGAAAAAATTGGACAGAAAACAAGTCAATTTGATTTTTGTGAGGGAAAATGCCTAATTTGAATCTTATTTGTACACAGAAACATGTTTGTGTAGCCAAATGGAAGCCTAGTTTAGGAGAATAATCCATTTTTCCTGCCTTGTGTGTTTGCAGCTGAGCACTGTGGCGGCGGCGCCGCCGGTGGCCGTGCCCGTGCCGACGACACCGACGGTGGAAGTGGAGGAGAACTCGCAGGACGCGTCGAAGCAGCAGACGCCGCGGCAGTCGGGCAGTCTGGTGGCGCATCACGACGACGTGGTGACGCGGATGAAGAACGTGGAGATGATAGAGCTGGGCATCCACCGGATAAAGCCGTGGTACTTCGCGCCGTATCCGCAGGAGCTGTGCCAGATGTCGTGCATCTACATCTGCGAGTTCTGCTTGAAATACCGCAAGAGCAAAAAGTGCCTGGAGCGGCACATCAACAAGTGCAATCTCAAGCATCCGCCCGGCAATGAGATCTACCGCAAGGGCACGATCTCCTTCTTCGAGATTGACGGGCGGAAGAACAAGGTGTATGCGCAGAATCTGTGTCTCCTGGCCAAGCTCTTTCTCGACCACAAGACTCTCTACTACGACACGGATCCGTTCCTCTTCTACGTGATGACGGAGTTCGATCAGCGCGGCTTCCACATCGTGGGCTACTTCTCCAAGGAGAAGGAGAGCACGGAGGACTACAATGTGGCGTGCATCCTCACGATGCCGCCGTTCCAGCGCAAAGGATACGGAAAGCTGCTCATTGAGTTCAGCTACGAACTGTCCAAGTACGAGGGCAAGACTGGCTCGCCTGAGAAGCCACTGTCAGATCTGGGCTTGCTCTCCTATCGCAGCTACTGGGCGCAGACGATCCTCGAGATTCTCCTGGCACAGAAGCCCACCGTCGACCAGGAGAAGCCGCAAATCACAATCAAGTGAGTCCTTTTTGCTTGTCAAAGACATCTAATTTAGCACTTTGTCTTATTTGATTAAATTTGGGTGGAAAATGAGTCAAATTGAGAGACAATTTAGTGATTAAAAGCACGAATTGGGAATAGAAATTCATGTAGAATAATTGTGTATTTGAAGCGAAATACTTTAGGTGTGATAATAGCCTTAATTTGTGTGTTATTTATTATTCAAATTGTCACAAATTAGGAGAAAAATTCATTTTGTTCAGTTTCAAAGACAGGAAAATATTGAAATTTTGAAAATTTATATGAATTTTCTTTACGTTTCTCATTGTTTTAAGGAAAACATGTTGAAATTCTTGGAAAATAATGCAAGAAATTATCTTTTAGACATCGTAAAGTTACTTAAGATCTAAAAATGTTGGGAAATAATCTCAAATTTGCCTGTTTTCTGTATAAGAAATTGATTTCTAATCACAAAATCTCCTAATTTGATGGTAATTGCAATGCTCTAGCGACTCTAGCATTAATTCAAATGTGTTTTGTTGCAGCGAAATCTGTGAGTTAACCAGTATCAAGAAGGAGGACGTGATATCCACCCTGCAAAATCTCAATCTGATCAACTACTACAAAGGCCAGTACATCGTGTCGCTGTGCCGGGACACGATTGACCAGCACAAGAAGGCGATGGAGAAGCGGAAGGTGCGCATCGACCCCAAATGCCTCCACTGGTCGCCCAAGGACTGGTCCAAGCGGTCGAAGTGGTGATGGCGCCCAATGTTGAGTATTTTAGCGTGTTTAACTATTTAATTGTGTGTCCACGTGTCCGTGTTGAGAGTTGTTGGTTTTAGATTCGTCACTGTACATTCGATGCTGCACTAGGTATGCAATGTAAGGATCTAAATTTAATATACATAGAGACTCTGTAGGATGATAAGGATGTGGAAAGGAGGGCAAAAAAGTTCTTTTGCGCGCAGAACAAATGAGGTTACGTTTTTTCTAACTCTCCTGTCTATATAGATGATGAATGAGGATTACTTTGGGAGACACTTCAGAACTGTATTATAGGATGAAGAAGAGAGAGAAAGCTCTTAGGATCATTTCAGTGAAAATTCTGTCGAATTTGTATAATAAATTCTAGAAAATTAAATTATTTTCTCGCCTCGACGCCGCGCTTTTCACTGTTTCAGCTCACTTCGGCCGCCTCGGCTCACAACACTCGCGATTCAGCTGTCAAAAGTTTTGGAGGGAAATTTGTGCAGTGTTTTTTCAGTGCGATGGATTCTCAGGACTTTGGCTTCCCTTTTCCTCCCTACAAGATCCAGCAGGACTTCATGACTGCCTTGCACGAGGTGATTGAGGAGAGACAAATTGGAATCTTCGAGAGTCCGACAGGAACTGGGAAGACGCTGAGTCTGCTCTGTGGCGCTCTGACTTGGTTGCGGCGTCACGAGGAGCGGCTGAAGGAGGATTTGAGGCTGAAGCTGAAGGATTTACAGCACACAATAGCGGAGGAGGAGAAGAATTCCTCGTCGTCCTGTGATTGGATTGACAGTCAGTACGCGACGATCAAGTTGAAGGAGGATTTGACGTCGCAGAAGCAACTCCTGGACAAGATTCTGGAGTATGAGAAGAGAATCGAGGCGATCCGGGCGAAGAAAGGCAAGGAGACGAGGAGAAAGAGGAACTTCAGGACTAGAGAGCAGGAAAAGTGTGACGATGAGGAAGCTGGTGAGAAGCCTGTGGAGGATGTGGAGGATTTCGCTCTGGATGACGTTGAGCAGGAAGATGAGCTGCCGGAGGAAATCCCTGAGGAACAGTACAAGAACACGAAGATCTTCTTCTGCAGTCGCACGCATTCGCAGCTCTCTCAGGTGATTGACGAGGTGAGGAAGACAAAGTTTGCCGGGAATCTGCGCGTTGTGTCGCTGGCGTCCAGACAGAACTTCTGCGTGAATCAGGAAGTCAAGGATCTCCGATCGGCCGCTCTGATCAACGAGAAGTGTCTGGATTTGCAGCGGAATCGCTCCAAGGCGACTTCAGTGGAGGAAAGTGGCAAAATCCTGAAGAGGAAGCGCGGCAGAGGATGTGAATTTCTCCGGGAGAGCGCCGTTGAGAGTCTGAGGAACGCTGCCATTTCGAAGGTTCTGGACATCGAGGAGATCGCCGATGCGGGCAGGATGGAAAAGGCGTGTCCCTACTACGCCAGCCGGGCAGCTCTTCCGGACGCCCAACTCGTGCTGCTGCCCTACCAGATGATCTTCCACAGGCGCACGAGAGAGCAGATGGGAATCGACTTGAGGGATTCCGTGATTATCATTGACGAGGCTCACAATCTCCTGGAGACTGTGTCGTCGATCCACTGCGCAGAGATCGATCTGGAGCAGCTGAAGGAAGCTCATGGACAGCTGACGGCGTATCGCGACAGATATCTGAAGAGATTCAGCACGCGGAACCTTCTGAAGCTCAACCAGTTGATCTTTGTGGCCGGCAGACTGGTGAAGATGCTTCCTGTCGCCCAGACTGGCCACAGAGTCTGCCTCACGCACCAGTTCATGTCCGAGGGCGAGTTCTTCAGCATCAATCTCCACGAATTGCTGATGTTCTGCGAGAAGACTCGCTTGGCGCAGAAAGTTCACGGATTCTCAGTGAATTTCGGTGGGAAAATCCCTGAAGCTGAGCCGAAGAAGTCCGCCACTCAGCTTTTGCTGGAGAAACTGGAGCAGAAGAAGCCGAAGAAGCCACAAATTCCTGCTGTTCAGGAGGAAGAGGAGCCCAGAAAGAAGCCTTCGTCAGTCATTCGTCCTCTCCTGGCTTTCCTCCAGTGTCTCACGGAAGACATCGCGGACGGCAGGATCCTGCTCTCCTGGGATGTCAAGCCGCGCATGAAGTACATCCTGTTGAAGCCTGACGCCCACTTCGCGGCCATCCTGGCGGAGTGCAGAGCTGTGATTGTCGCCGGCGGCACAATGCAGCCGACGAGTGAACTGCGCGAGCAGCTCTTCTTCCGCCACAAGGCGCGCATCAGGGAACACATCTTCGACCACGTGGTGTCCAGAGACGCCGTGCTGCCCATTGTGGTGCCTCGTGGGCCCACGGGAAAGCCTCTGTGTCTCAATTTCGCCTCCAGAAGCTCCAGAGATTCTCTGGCGGCGATCGCGATGAGCCTCCAGAATCTGTGCAATGTGATTCCGGCAGGAATTGTCGTCTTCCTGGGCTCCTACGACTATCTGGACGTGGTGTTCCGGCATCTGGACGAGAGTGGCGTGCTGGAGAGGATTCGCGCAAGGAAGAGCGTCTTCAGAGAGCCCCGACAAGGCGGAGCGCGAGTTGAGAAGTTGCTCAGCGAATACGCGAGCGCTGTCGCTCGCGGGGGCGCTATTATGTTCAGTGTCGTGGGAGGGAAACTGTCAGAGGGACTGAACTTCTCAGACGATCTCGGCAGATGCGTTTTGGTCGTGGGATTGCCGTATCCCAACAAGAACAGCCCAGAATTGGTGGAGAAGATGAAACACTGCGACGCGATCCTTCGGCCAGGCGCTGGGAATGAGTTCTACGAGAATCTGTGCATGAAGGCGGTGAATCAGTGCATAGGTGAGGAAGAGCTCCTCATGTGAGATTCCTGGATGACCTTTTCTGCTTCCTTCCAGGACGAGCTGTTCGCCACATCAACGATTACGCCAGTGTTATCCTTCTGGACGAGCGATACGCTCAGGAGAGAACGTCACAGAAGCTTCCCGGGTGGATTAGGCGGAGCCTGAAGGAGGCCAGCAACTTCGGCATGGCTCAGAGTCTGCTGGTGAAGTTCTTCAGGGAGAAACGGGCGAAAGGTGAGTTACAATAGCTGTGAAATTGTGGTGAGAAGACTCTGCCGATGTTGAGCCGAAAGCAAGGCGACGTTTTCCGGCGCAGTTTTTCGCCTCGGTTTTCCTGCCGAGGAATTCACTGAAAAGTGTCCAATTTGAGTGCTGTGGAGTGCTGGAAAGTTGTATTCTTTCTTCCAGATCGCTGCTGACGATGGGAATACTGGGAATTGTGCCAATTTGCGTCTTCTTCTGTGCCCTAACCTCGGCCTCGGGCGCTGAAGAGCCCTCCATCAACATCACACCAAAAATCTGTATCCTTTTGCAAAAGTTTCTCCTCCCAATTCTAGCCACAAGTGTCCCGTAGGACTCTTCCTTGACTCTGTCGCTGCAGATTCCAACATCTTTGTGCGCAAGCGGGAAGAGCATCGCCTCGTGCGGACGCACTTGAGGATTACAGACAGCTATGAGAAGCAATTCACGCTCCTGAAGATGGCCTACGAGAAGATTCTGCAGGTGAGGGAATGAGGCTGTGTGGCCAGGAGAGGCGGGATGCTGATGTCGCTCCGTTGTTGCAGGTGATAAACGAGAGTCGCAAAGTGTTGACAGTGGAGCCGATGGGAAAGGAATTGCCGGCGAATCAGACTGAGATGGAGGCGCTGTTCCTGCTGCTGGAGAACACTTGTCTCTTCGGCGATCTCGTGCTGTACATGCCAGACATATCGTACAAGGTGCTGGAGAAGACCGCCGGCTGGCGCGAGACCATTGACTGGGCGCTGAGGGTAACAGTGCGACACGAGCTGGTGATTGACGAGAGATCCATGGAGATGCTGAGGCTGTTCAACCAGGAAATCAACCCGGAGCAGCGCTCGAAGGACTTCATGAATCCCTACAGGCAGGAGATCGAGCTGCCGCCGCCCGAGAAGCCGAAGCCGACGAAGAAGATGCGGAAGAAACTGAAACGCGGCCCACAATTGGCCGGCGGACAGCGAAACTATGAAGATTTGTAGGTCAAAGAGCTAAATGTAAGTCGTTTTAATGCTATTTATTTAGAGATTGTCCGTGTTGGGCACGGCCTTCTGCTGCAGGATCTTCCCATAGCCGCCCCGTCCGGAGTCGTAGTCCGTCCTGTACTCGTCTCTCACCTGTCCGCCCGACTTCCCTCTGCCATACTGGCGCCCCTCCACGAATCCCGCATCCCAGTCCACCCGAATCAGCCGATCGTCCAGTCGTGTGCCGTTGATGTATCGCATGGCCATTTCCGAGTCAATCCGGCTGTAATACTCCACGAAGCAGAAGCCGCAAGGCGTCTTCTTGAACTTGTCCAGACCCATCACGATGCGCCGGATGTCGCCACAGCGCGAGAAGAGCTCGTGAATTTGCTCCTCGGTGGTGAAGAAGGACAGATTTCCCACGTACAGCGTGCAGGAGAGCTTCAGAAGACGCTCCTGGTCAGTGCGAGAGCCCTAAACAAGAGAAATCAAAACAAATTTCGAGGTTATCCTCAGAATTCCACCGAATTTCCCACGAAATCCCACCTTAAAGTGCTGATCTCGATATGAACTCAGTTCCACAGATGACGCTGCCATGGTTTGTGGGGAAATTTGCACTATTTTTGGTCAATTTTCTGCTTTTCTCGCGTGAAAACTGTGAAAAAACGCAACTTGTTTACGTTTTTCAGGCGTCAACTGAGTTTTTTGCCGACACTTATCGACAGTGTGAAGTTGGCTGAAAATTGATGATGATTTGAGAATTTGAAGTGTAACTGCTGATGAAGCCTTGTAAGCTTGTGAGATTCTTGGGATTCTGGGGATAAATTCATATTGTTGGACGGAAAAATAGATCTTTATTGCATTTACCTTAATAATCTCACCACAACCATCATAATTTGTACAGTCAGAGACGAATTTTTACATGAGAAATCTCTTGTCGATTAGAGTCTTTTTCGCTAAATTGTGCTTTGTCGATAGATTCATGATGAATTTGAGAAGCTGAAAGTACAGAAAATATTGAGAAATTGATGGAAATTATGTGGTCTCAAGGATTTCACCTTGTAGACAATTCCCACAAGGATGATTGCCAGGAGAAAATTGTGCGAAATTCCCACGATAAATGTGAAAAGAATGAGTTCAAACTGGAAAAACAGTTGCTCACTGCCGTAGAAAAGGACTTCGTCGAAGGAGTGCGCGTTGTCCACATAGAATATCCCTTTATCTGAAAATGTTTGTGGGCTTAAGAAGTCTGAATTGTGAGGGAGATTTGGCCAATGTAACTCACTCTCAGACAGAATTGCCTCAAATTCGCAATTGAGAAGCTTCTCGAGGATGGTTTTCTCCTTGACGATGTAATCCAGATCCTTCAGAGCCTGAAAGGGAAGAAAAGAGCTGCAATTTGTCTTCGCGCAGTGCTCTAAGGGAGGCTCACGTGGTCGATGAAGGCGCCGAAGAACCTGTTGATGCTGTAGTAAGTGAGGATGGTGCGCTCGAAGGTCCCTTCGTAGCCTTTCGTGATGTATTCGCTGATCTGCGGCGGCTGCTGAAGCGGCAGGATGAGCCTGTCGTAGAAGATGCGGAGATTGCGTGGCGCCAGGAGTGAGTAGGTCTGCAGCTCTGAGCCGGGCGTGAGTCCGCGCTGTCCGCGCTCCTCCTGGCGGAACTGGAGGATCATGGAGCAGATGTCGGTGTCGGAGAAGCCGTGCGGCGAGCGGCCGTGGATGTAGTAGCCGTAGGACTCCAGGCGCAGGATGAACACGGACACATTGGCCACACAGCACACGTCGATGAATTGCTGGATGGGATTCTTGAAGTAGCGCTCCCAGATGACGCAGTTGAAGAGGCGCTGGGCGATGTAGACGCCCGTGTAGGCCAGGATGCCCGTGGACATGAGCAGAATGCCGTCGGGAGGATCTGTGGAGGGCCAGAGGTGGAAGAGGAAGTTGGTGGAGGCGAAGTTCTCCATCTGCACGAGCAGGAGGAGCCAGATCAGCGCCACTGTGTGGATGAACATGGAGATCTTGCGACTGGTGGTGATTTCCTGCCACTCATTGGCCACGAAGTAGCTCCGCCATGCCGAGATGCTCTCGCCAGGCGACGCCAGTCTGGCCGTGACTGATCCGCTGCACACCGAAGGCGTGTCCAGCTGATTGCGCTGCTCGAAGATCCGCGGGCGCTCCCAATCAATGAAGAAGATATCAATGTGGGCGATTTGCCAGAGATGCTGCGCCAGCTTCACGCTCTTCAGCGCCAGAGCCACACCGGTGAGGATGCGCAGGAGAGTCTCGACGGGCAGCGGCAGCAACAGCCGGACGGTCGTCTGGCCCTTGAATGTGAAGTGGATGTAGAGGCAGATGATGATGACGATGGCGAAGAGCGACGAGCCCACTTTGGACAGCAGGAACACCGTGAACTTGCAGAAGACGTCCAGGTCGTAGATGAGCTTGTGCTGGCGAGTCTTGTAGGCGATCGCCTCGAAGATGGCCAGCACGAAGGCCAGGAGGAGGAAGATGGGCAGCAGAATCTCCAGCAGATACTGAAAGTCGAAATCTCGTGCGAAAGTCACGGCGAAGTGAAAGTCTACGGGATGTGAATCTCTTTGGCTCATGTTGAACTCTCCATAGGTGAGAATGAGGAGTGGCGTGGACAGCTTATTGCTCTCCTTCACGCTGAATCTCAGCTCCACTCGCGTGAGGCAGCGAATGTAGTCGAACTTGTCCTGCATCTTGTCCGCTTCGTACATCTTCGGCGCGTAGCCGGCGCGAAGGCCCGTGAGGAGATCCACGGTGAAGAAGCGCCTGACCAGCTGCCAGGTCTCGGGATTATCGCTATTGGCGCCAGGGGAGTTTCTTATCAGCACCGGAATGCTTCGGATCAGCGGCATTCGCTTCTCCATGTAGTTCACGAAGAGATTCGTGAAGATTAACTCGTGATTTCCATCTCGCACGACATCCTCCATCGCCAGCTGGCACGAAATGCTGAAGCTCCGACCGAAGAGGATTTCCCGCCGAGATGTGGGACAGAGATTGAGCTCGCGCAGGACATTCACCGACCGGAATTGCCTCAGGCGGCCATCGAGCGAGAACTGGAGCGCCGTGAAGTTGACTGTGTCGCCGCGCAGGCGGAAGGAGTGATCCAGGATCTTGTCCAGCTCCTCCGCCGTGCTCCGGCCGCGGCGGTGGAACAGCTGCGGCGTGATCCTCTCGCCCATGTCGCTCGGCGACGCGATGTCGGACGTCTGCGTGGCGAAGAAAAGGAAGCACGCCGACGGCCTGTCCAGGCTGTACAGCGACAGGGCGCACAGGTTGGCCAGGTGATTGCAGTCGCGCCAGCGCTTCAGCGTGTGGCAGAAGAACGTGAGAAACATGAGGTCCTCCGACACTCCGCCCAGCCGGAAGTGGCCGTAATTGGCATAATCCTTGAGCAGATGATTCGGGATGCAGAAGGTGTTGCGGTACAGCGACGAGTGCTTGTAGTTGCACGAGCAGTTCGCCGAGCCGCCCAGGATCTGAATGTGGCGCGCCTGGTGACTCAGATTCGTCTGATTGACATGTCGAAGGCCACACGGGGCGTCGAGGCACGTCTCATTGGCCGATTTCCTGCACTTCCGATCGCAAATCGATTGCTGAAGGACATTGTCGTACTCGATGCGCTCCAACTCCTTCGGCTGGCATTCGCACGCGAGGCCTGGAATGGGGGAAATTGTGGGCGTCTCAGGATGAGTCAAGGGGGATTTATCCTTGATGAATAGCTCAGCGGAAGTCTCAGGAAATGCTCAATTTATTGAATATTTGCATCTTGCGGGATTTTTTCTTATGAAATTTGCGTAATTCTTTGAATTCTTTAAATTATTACTCAGAAAATATTTATGAAAATTCTTTTTCAGATTATGTGATTAATTTAAATCAGGTTTAGTGGATAATTCGCAATCTAGAACATGAATTCTTATGCTTAAGACCGAAAGATAGCTAATTATTTTTAAAATCAAGCATTTTCATGCAAAAAATTCACTTTTCTGGACATTCGGGATATTTAAAATTTGAAAAATATTAATTTTAGTAATTTTCTGGGCGATTTTAGGCTTGAAAACCGAATAAAACTGTCCTGAAAGCTTCTAAACAGGGTTTTAAAAGTTATCTTAATAAAGGTTTCAATAGATTCTTACAGAAATATCGAATGGGAACTTGAGAAATTATTTCCTCCCTGGTTTTTAGACTCATTTTAACACACGTACAAAGTGTTTACATTATTTACAATTCGTCAATATTTTTATTCACCCTCTTTTTCACCCTTGTCGGGTGAAAGTTCAGCCGAGCAAAACTGACACGGAAATGTGGAGAAGTAAAGCAGGTCAAAAGGAGAGGAAGAGAAACACTTACGACTCTTCGATGGCACTAAATTCAATTCACTTTCACATTTCTTGCATTTCAAGTAGTTCACGTCGAAGAACTCGTCCTTCTTGCAGCTCTCCGCGCTCCTGAACAGATGGACACTGTTCTCCTCGCCGGACGCGCCGCTTTGGAGGCACGCCAGGGAAGTGATCATCATCAGGGCGATGGGAAGTGTCATGATGGCGAGAGGAAATTCTCGGTGTGTCCTTCGCTTCCGTCCTCGATTCCCCACGCAACTTCCTGAACGCAACTTCCCTTCAGCCACTCAGCGGCTGCTCCATGGCCGACAAACGCGCGCGAGCGGCGGCAGAGCACTGAACGTCTTCTCTTCGCACTCGCTGGCGCGCGCCACCCCTAATTTATGCCACCCCGCGCGTTTTCTCAGCACCACACAATTTATTGTGTGTTGTCGCGATTCCCATGGAAACCCCGCCAAATACTCGGCCAGCGCCGCAGCGTTCTGCCCTGGCAATCTTGGCTCAATTACGGCCCAAATGCTCAACTGCACTTCTCCGTGGCGGACGAATTGTTGATTCTCACCCACGCGCCCTTCTGGGCTCGCTGACCAAACGCGCCCACTTCCTCATTAACTTGTGGCATGCTCGCGCTCGAGTCCTGTCGCGTTTTTTCCTCATCTCTCTGATCCTAATTCAGTAGTTAGACACGAACAGAGCGATTAGAGCTCAACTGGCGCACGGAATATTTTATGCTCATGAGCTTTATCACTAAATTCACTGGGTTAAGCTTTGTCGTTTAAGGTCTCTTTGAGTTGCCAGTGAAGTAGTAAATATTCTGAGCTCATCTAACTCCAAACTTCAACCCTTTTTTGCAAATTTACTGGATAAAATCATTAAAATGTACGCGAAAACTATCAAAGATCGACTTTTGGTATTTAACATTGCTGTATTTCAGTCGAATTTTCATTAAATACCAAAGAAATAAAGAGGAAATGATGTAAAATATGTTGATATCAACAATTTAGTGCATGTTTAGAAGAATTTTGAGGAAAATTCGGCAAATTGCGAAGCAATTTCAAGTCTCAAACTTCAAATTGTTCTCCTGAAAAGTTACGATTTTGAGTGTTTTGCTCAAGATTTATAGTTTAGCCAATAAAAAATGGTTTGAATCTCTTTTTACGTCTTCGTGCTTTGAAAAATATGATTATTCATTAGAATTCAAGTCTTTTCTTAATTTATTTCTAATACAAAAATGTAATTTTCTGGCCAAATTAATATTCTTCGGGCATTTACTGGTTAAATCAGATTTTTTACTGATCAAACTGAAGCAAATGTAATTAATTACAACTTCTAGAGCATCTAGATAAATATATAGAATTACCAGACATTAAAATATAAGCACACCGCAATATCTCAAGTCATTCGCTGTCTTTAAGTTTCCTCGCCACACGAAGAACCCATTTCTCAAGCCATTTCTCTTGGGGTTGAAGTTGAAATAATTTATATGTAAATTGTTACTCTGACTTTTTTCGCACTCACGTGAGTGTAATTGCTGTGGCACGAACGGAGAGATTTCCATCGGCGAATAGTTTTCTCCTTCAGAGGGTTGTGCAATATATAGATCAAACATTTTTCTATTTTTACCACCATCGCGAGAGAGAGAGAAAAAGCTCCATAAAAGCAAAACAGCGGGGAAATTATTTTCTCAGAAAAATTCATTCTCTCTTTTGAGACAATCTCTACACATATAAAACATCTCTACAAATAGTAAAAAAGAAAGCACGCGTCGCGTGCGGACGGAATTGCAGATCGCTGATGTCGTAGATAAAAAGGGCTTCTTAGGGAACTACAGTTACTTGCTAAAGGTGCTTCTGGACGGACAGTTGCGCATGGAATGCACAGATGAGTGCCACTTAGTTGCTAATTCCGCCGACGGGCATCGTCGAGACTGTGCTGTGCGGCGTCGTGGGACGCGAGCCGGCCAGAGAATGCGTCGTGGAGGCGTTCAGGGACGCCATGGTGCCCATCTGGAGGGTGAAAAGGAGCAAATTAGCAACTTTAAACAGCTCTTTGGCGCTGAATCTTACCCTCAAGTGAGCCAAATCCTCCAGCTTCGTCAAGTCCGAGAGCTCGAGGAAGAGCGAATAGACGAGAAGCCACCCGTAAACGGACGCCGGCAGGATGACGATCCAGCAGAGAACCATGAGGATGTTGTAGGCGAAGATCAGGTCGTTGAGAATGGCGAAGAAGAGGAAAGCCAGCGTCCGGAAGATGATGAAGAGCGCAAAGACATAGAGCCAGGGAAGAATCTTCCTCTCGTATTCCTGCGAAACATTCAGAGAATTGTAGAGATTCTTTTGTGTGTGAAATTCTTGAGGTTTTGCTATGAGAATTTACAATTGACAGAATTTTTTCCAGGACTTTTTGCCAAAATAATCTACAACATCGAATTTTGTACCTTCTTCTGCGATCTTCTTCCTTTATTCGCTTGCTAATCAATTGTAAATGGTGAAATTTATGCATGAATGCCATGAATTTATGAAAAGCAATGAAATTCTGTGATTTTAGCAGTGAAAAATGGGAGATTTTTACCTTCCTGAGAGCAATTATCAGCATTATTGTGGTGACAAACACTGCAATGGCGATGAGAACGGAGAACAGCGCGAAGACAACCAGAGTGTTCCGGACTGGAAGGCAAGAAGAGGAGTTTAAAGGGTGTTTCTGAGGCTGGAAAAACGCCTCTGACTCACCGTGAATGCTGCCCACGTAGACAAACTCGTAGGAAATGATGTAGTAGCCGTAGTGAGTGGATCCGGGAGCTGCCATGGCCAGGCAGTAGATGTCAAAGACGCCCGTGACCATGGTGAATATGGCAACGCACTGGAATTAGAGGATTTTCCGTGAGAAACTGCCGGAAAATGCGCCAGAATTCAATGAATCTCACCAGAGAAGCCAGTGCTGTGATCATTGCGCCCTTCTGGACGTCCATGTAGGCGTTGTTCTTGAGGATTGGCTTCTGATACCACGGAATGCGCACAGATTTCAGGGATCTCGACTTGCCGGACATATTCGCCATATTCGAGGACCTGCAAGAGAGTCAGAAGAACGTCAGCTTTCCGGCCTGTGCAAGAGAACCCAGAAAACACTCAAGATTACCTTCCGGTGATGTGAGAATACACCGATGGTGTTGACCTGTAGGTCGATGTTGGGGTTTTCCGTCCGTAATTCATCTTTCGGGTTTGGATTTAAGGCACTTTCAGAGGGAAAATCACCTGTAAAATTAGAAAATAGTTTTGTGTTAGCAAAAGAAGGGCGTGTCTTTCTCACTGTTCAGCAATTAGGGATGAATTCACTGTTTTCCAGCCAAAACTACTGCATTCTACTGATCTGTGGCAGTTTCTGTGGCATTTTGAGATGGCTTACTTGAGGAAAAGTCGGCTAATTTCTCATGAATTTGGCGAAAATCGCGTGGAAATCAACAACAAAACAGCACAACACCCAAAACACACTCACAGCTTGTCAATTTGACGGCGTGTGACGTCACGGATCTCCGGAAGCTTGTCAAATTCCGCGGTCGTTGAAGTGTTTGGAAGTGAGCGCCATTTCTGACAGCATAAAGTTTTGCAAGCTTTCAGGATGTTGTGATTCTTGCAAGATTCTCGAGCTTTTGAGGCACAAATTTCCTGGTATTTTAGCGAAGACATGCTATGTTTGTGGCAGAAAAGTGATATTTTCAAGGTAAATAGCGCAACTAGAGTCTATTTTTCAGTTCTGGATCATTTTTGCAGGTGTCCTGCACTGCACTTGTCGCGGTGAATTGCAATATGTGTGAATGATTGCGTGATTGAAGCACAGGTGAAAAAGTGAGCGCGATTTTTTCACAGCATTTGTGTTTACAGAATCTGCCGTCACGGCGCCACGTCGCTTTTTCAGTGCAAAATATTTACGTCAACAAAAATAGAAGGTTTTGTTGCTGCAGTATTTTGTGTATATGTTACTTAACCAGTGTAAATAAGACGCAAAGGTAGGTCGAGTGGCGGAGCGCCGAGGGCGCCAGTGAGGGCGCTGTGTTGGGGGGCGCGAGAGTCTTGCACAATGTTGCACTTGGGATTTGGGTGTCTTTTTTTAGGCTGCCCGCAGGGGCTCGTCGCTGGCGGGAGGCATTCACTTTCTCTCTCTATTGGGCTATTTTAGGTCGGTACTGGTGGGGACGCAGGCCATGGAGATGAACCGAATGGAGTCGGATGGGTTCGTGCTGCACACGGAGAGCACGGCCAGCAAGGAGCTGATCGACTTCGACCAGGGCATCCTGCCGCCGGAGCCGCAGCTGGGCAATGTGGAGTACAAACTGAAGCTGATCAACCCGTCGCAGATGCGCTTCGAGCACCTGGTCACGCAGATGAAGTGGCGACTGCGTGAGGGCCACGGCGAGGCGGTGTACGAGATCGGCGTGTCGGACGCGGGGAAGTTTCACGGGCTGGACGACGCGGACATGGACAGTTCGCTGCAGACGCTGACGCAGATGGCGGACAAGCTGGGCGCCACGACGACGGTGCTGCGCCGCAAGGCGGTGGGCTACAGGCGCTCCGTGACGGAAGTGCTGGTGCGGAAGATCCCAGACGATCAGCACAACATCGAGGTGCGCGTGGCGGTGCTGGGCGCCGCCGGGGCGGGCAAGAGCACGCTGCTGGGCGTGCTGACGCAGGGCGTGGCGGACAACGGGCGCGGCAAGGCGCGACTGAACATGTTCAGGCACGTGCACGAGATCAAGTCGGGCAGGACGTCGTGCATCAGCCACGAATCTCTGGGCTTCGACGCCGTGGGCAATGTGATAAACACGAACGACATGATCACGGCGGAGGAGGTGCGCGACAAGTCCGCCAAGCTAGTCACGTTCATGGATCTCGCGGGACACCGCCGGTACCTGAGGACCACCGTCCAGGCGCTCACGGGCTACTCGCCGCACCACGCCATGTTGGTGGTGAGCTGCGGCAGCACGATTGGCGGCATGACGAAGGAGCACCTGGCCATCGTGAACGCGCTGGAGATTCCCTTCTTCATCGTCGTCACGAAGATCGACATCACGCCGCCGGACTCGGTGATCGACGAGCTGCGCTGCATCCTCACGTCCGTGGGCTATCGGAAGGTGCCGATGCTGGTGGACTCGTACGACAGCGTGTTCACGGCCAGCTCGCACCAGCTGTCGGAGAACGTGGTGCCCATCTTCTGCGTGAGCAACGTCACGGCCGAGTGCCTGAGTCTGCTGCAGCGCTTCCTCTACGTGCTGTCGCCGGGCGTGAGCAACGCCGAGCGCGAGCGCCTCGAGCTGGAGCCCTGCGAGTTCCACATCGACGAGATCTTCCGGGTGGAGGGCGTGGGCGTGGTGGTGGGCGGACTGCTGGTCAAGGGCGTCGTCACGGAGGGCACGTCGCTCAAGGTGGGGCCGCTGCCGGACGGCTCCTTCCAGTCCGTCACCGTCGCCACCATTCATCGCAACAAGGCGCCGTGTCGGATGGTGCGCGCCGGCCAGAGCGCGTCGCTCTCCTTCACTGCCAACGGCGAACTGCCCACGCTGCGCAGCGGCATGGTGCTGGTGTCCACGGACTACGGCTCGGACGCCGAGCCCTTCGGCACGCTGTACTTCCAGGCCAAGGTGTCCGTGCTCTACCACGCCACGTCCATCTACAAGGGCTTTCAGACGACTGTCCACATCGGCAGCATCCGCCAGACCGCCATCATCGAAGGCATCATGGGTGATAAGAAGCTGAAGACGAACGACAGCGCCTCCGTGCTGTTCCGCTTCGTGCGCCAGCCCGAGTACGTGCGCGAGGGCATGCGGATCCTCTTTCGCGAGGGCTCCAGCAAAGGCATAGGCGTTGTCACGCAAGTATTCCCGCTGAATGTGACTCTCCAGTGATCACTCCGCAATGTCTCACTCCGCCAGGACACTATTTATTCTTCAATACTGAGATTAATCTAGTTTTTTCGCAACTTGAATTCGCTCTCATGCAAATAAACTTTGATTCCCCCTCAAAACAAAAAAAAAACGATGTTGTGTTCTCGTTTCCCGGCGGGTGGCGCTGCTGGCGGGCTGTGAGTTTTTGGCGCGCGCCTTCTCTGGAAATCTATATTTCCGCCATGTTGAAATTTATGAAACTTTCACGCCATCACTTTGACAGCGTCGCACTTTGACAGCCGTGTTAGTTTTTTTCATATGCGTGTGCTGCGAAAAAGTTGAAATCACAAATTTCTGTGCAAAATTCTCCCCAAAATCTCGTGAAATAAATGTTTCTCAATCGAATGTAAATGCACATTTTCCGTTAAGAACCCCTCCTGAGCCTTGGTGCATTTGATAGTGTGTTGATTTGAATGCATTTTAGAGTTACTAATTTGATGCGAAAAATTTTGCTTCGCACGCAAAAGTAGAAGAGAGAAAGAGAGAAAAAACAAGGTTACCGTGATAACAAGAATTCTCACTCGAGTTTGCTTCCAAATTAACAGATTATTTTTTGTCTCTTGCATAAACTTTTGCTCTCGCTATTGCCCTATTAATCATATCAGTTGAAATATTCAAGTCCGTCAGCGAGCAGAGGACCAAAACGCTATAAAGCCAGCATGGAGGGATTTTCGACGACCGACGTGGTGATCATCCATGGCAACTCACATCCGGAGCTGGCGAATCTCATAGCCAGGTGAGCGTTCGCGGCGTGCGTGGCTTACGTAACTCTCTGACCCTCTCTTGGCGTCTCCCGGCAGCCGTCTGGGCGTGAAGAGCGGCTCCTCGAGCGCCTCCGTGTACCACAAGACCAACCGCGAGACGATGGTGGACATCTCGGACTCCGTGCGCGGCAAGTCCATCTACATCATCCAGACGGGCACCAAAGACGTCAACAATAACATCATGGAACTCCTGATAATGGCGTACGCGTGCAAGACCTCATCGGCCCGGTCTATCGTGGGCGTCATTCCGTACTTGCCGTACTCGAAGCAGTGCAAGATGCGCAAGCGGGGCTGCATCGTGTCCAAGCTGCTGGCCAAGATGATGTGCAAGTCCGGCCTCACGCACGTCATCACCATGGATCTGCACCAGAAGGAGATCCAGGGATTCTTCGACTGTCCCGTGAGTCTGTTGCTCATCAAATTCAGGGGATTTCCCTTGAAATATGACTGCCATGATTTGCACAGCTGCAGTTTGAAGGCTTTTCTGTGCACACATGGAAGTTTGTGCGGTTTCTGGAGTGTCTGAGAAATTGCAAAGGTGTATTTATATGCACTAAAACCATGGAGACAAGAAAACAAGGCTTGACGTGCCCTCAATTTGTAGCTCTTTGCCTGAAAGTGAGTTCATTTGAGCTGCACTCAGTCTCAGAAGAAGAATCCTTTGTAATTGAGATCACTTAAGGGCGATTCAGAGAGCTTTTAGTGAATTAAGGACTGTTTATTATTCCGTTTGAAGATTTTTCTCTTGAATTTTTTATTCAATTTGCCTTTTAAGCATGATTTTGGGATGAAAATGTCCTGAAATAGCACACATTTGACCAATTTAAGTAGTTTTCATTGATAAATTGTAGCAAAATAACGGCTAAAGCGCCTCCAAAGTCTTGTCTGACCACTTTCTCAGCTGAAAAGTGGACAGAAATGCTTTTCAGTCTTAAGAACAAGCTTAAACTTTGAGAAGAAACACAGAAAATGCACTAAATCTCCTTCCTTTTGTCGCTCTGCAGGTGGACAACTTGAGGGCCTCGCCGTTCCTGCTTCAGTACATTCAAGAGAGTATTCCGGACTACCGCAATTCCGTGATCGTGGCGCGCAATCCGGGCTCCGCCAAGAAGGCCACGTCGTACGCGGAGCGCCTGCGTCTGGGCATCGCCGTGATCCACGGCGAGCAGAAGGAGTCCGAGGCGGACGAGGTGGATGGGCGCTACTCGCCGCCGGCCGTGTCGCGCTCACGCACGATGGACGTGTCCGTGGGCGTGCCCGTGCACCCGGCCAAGGAGAAGCCGCCGATAAACGTGGTGGGCGATGTGGGCGGGCGCATCGCCATTATGGTGGATGATCTTATTGATGACGTGCAGTCGTTCGTGGCGGCGGCGGAGGTGCTGAAGGACAGGGGCGCGTACAAGATCTACGTGCTGGCCACACACGGCCTGCTCAGCTCCGACGCGCCGCGGCTCATCGAGGACTCGCCCATTGACGAGGTGGTGGTGACCAACACGATTCCGCACGAGATCCAGAAGATGCAGTGCCACAAGATCAAGACCATCGACATCTCTGTGCTGCTCTCCGAGGCCATCCGGCGCATCCACAACCGCGAGTCGATGTCGTATCTGTTCAAGAATGTCACACTGGAGGACTAAAGCGCGCACGCGAGTCTCCAGCGGCGGCGCGCGTGGATTTTTTGTGTTTTTTTCTACACAAACACACACTTGAGTTCTTCTCCCCGAGTCACGCTATCAGGAGCTAATCTAGAGGACTGTCGAAGCGACATAAAGGCATAAATAAATGTATTAAAATTGGGAAATATAAGCTAATCATTGATAAAGCCAGCTGAGGAAGTTTGTACGGCGATTAGCGGTGATAGGCAAGGTGGATGAATGGGCAGAAAACGCCACGTTTTTTCACCTCTCCTCGCGGCCTTATCGCGACAATTGGCGGTGGCATCTCGGGCATCTCGTGTGCGACTCCTTGGGCAAATACCCGGCAAAAATACGATCGTAAATGCGTCACATTCGAAGATGAACGTGAATTATCATATCGCGCAGAATTTGTGCCGAAAGTCACATGATTTCCATGTTTGCGCGGTTCTAATATTTGATGAGAAATCCCACGTTTCCTCACGGAGAGAATAAGGACAGTTCGTGACGAATTTCATTCTTGGAATGTATTCGCACTGCTTTGATATCTGATCTCGCTGTTATCAATTAGATAAACTCTCTCTTTGCTGAATAAAAAATTGGAGGAATATTTATGGTATCATTTTTCTGGTGAAATTTGTTAATCAAGATTCGATTGACAAAATTTTAATAGCTTTCAGCTGATCTTTTGCTGGTAATTTTTATAACTTTGCAAACATTTGTATAGAATTCCAGGAGATTTTTATTGTTCAATTTCTCAATAGAAATCAATTGGCAACCAATTTTTGACCAATTTAAAACCATTTCTGTGCTGATTAAGAATATTAATCGCACTTATAGATATTTAAGTCTCGAAATGATTGACTTTATCAATGCTCAGTTCAATGATTTCACTTGATTTTCAAAAGTCATCGCTCTTCATTGACGCTATCTTGTCTGGAAATCTCCAAGGATCTCGCTTAAAGGGCTCTCGAAGGCTGCGCATCGCGTCTCTTGATTTTCTGGACAAAGATCCTCGGCAGACAGAAGAATAGGAGCGGCTTCAGAGGCGGGACTTTAGCCGAGGGTGTGTTCATTGCGACATGTCTGACCGCCATCGTATCTGGTCAGCGTCCATAAATTACCGCGCCAAGCAATTCTGCCAGGCTACCGTGCGAATGGTCGATATCAGAGGTCATATAAGTCAATTGTCACGTCCATATAATATATTAAATTGACAACAGGTGATTTCGGCAACAGCGCGCTTTCGCCACTCGCCATCAATCATCTCTCTGCATCTGATCGGCTTTTTTGCCGGTGGCGGCAGTAAAAGTGAAGATCGATAAGTCATTTATGGGCTTTCAGCTTTACTGCAAGCACGCGAATAGGCGACAATTAGAGCCACAAGCAAAATTGCTGTTTGATGAATGAATGATTGACAATGAGATGATGGATTTCGGCCACGCGGACACTCAAATCTCCTGAACAACCCGATAAGATTCCCACCGAACGTCTCAACCAATTCACGCGCGACAACTTGCGGTCGCGCTTCTTGTCAACTCTGTGGCGCTTTGGGCGCTTTGCATTGGCTCTCTTTGGCTGTAGGGGAGAGGAGGGCAATGGAAAGTCGCTTTTAGAATGAATTTTGGTGTATTAAGGGCGAAATTTTGGGCAAAAATTGTTTAAATTGAAAAGCAATAGCTTCATTATTGCTAAAAAGCACAAATTTGTAAATAAAATAGGTGGAAATGCCTTAAAATATCACTTTCTTTAAGAATTCAAACAATTTGCAGAACATATTTGATAATTCTCTAAAATTACTGTGTTATCAGACAGAGAAATTATGTATTAAATTTGATTTTCTATGGTAAAAAAGAGTTTTTCCAGTATTTTCTAACGCAGTTTTCAGCTGAAAATGATAGAATTTGAAATAAAATAACCAAAATAACTTTAACAGATGATTAAAAGTTCAAAAAAAGCCTCTAAAATAAGTTAAAACTGATAATTTTCCTTAAAAGTTCAGTTAAACTATCAAATTTCTTCTTCAAGTTGCTCATTTTATCCACAGAAAACTCATGAAATCCAACCTAAATGTCCCTTGCATTCCCCTAAGATGAATAATTTAATTAAATTTCACGGTTATCAGGGCAAATGAGAGTAATTTGTGTTATTGACGTGAAGATATATTTTTTGGTGGCGAAAATACAGCAAGAATTAAACAATTCTTCATTGTAAGAATGCGGAAATTTTAATAACTCTCGATGCTCATGTTTATGTCTCAGAATGTGTTTTCTTGTTATCTTGAGGAAAAGGGAAATTAGTGTGAAATTTCGGGAGTGATTTGCGGGAAATTTTCCCCAAATAACAATTCAACATCTTTTTTTTATGATTATTGTGTCTGCAATATTTTATCGCACTTATTTAGTGACCCAATTTTTGGTTATTTTTGGGGACAATTTCACCCTTGATTTCTGTTGCTTCTGCAAATCAATGTGACAAAGTTCAATCAATTAGAAACCTTGGGTTGAGAAAAAGAAGGCATTTTGAGCACAAACTTCCGATACAGCACAAGATTTATAAAAGTAATAACTCTTGTGCTGCGCAATAAATCGCCACAATTTATGATGGATGACTCTTAAGATTTTGAATGAATACCAAAAGTCCCGTCGCGTATCGCGATAATTGACAATTTTATATGGTTTTGCACTATTCTGATTGAACTTAGTGATGTTGTGAATCACATTGTGGGACGCTTCTGGCCAATGATTAGCCACCAAAACAGAAGTGTGTCCAGAAGTGTGTCTCCTTGTTTGGTTTATCGCGCGCGCCTCTCCTTGTTTGGCTTATCAAAATCGCGTGGTTCCCGCCGCGAAAATCCTAATCAATCGGCCAAGTTTCACATCGGCACAGCCAAATGCGAAATGTTTATAGTCACTCTGTGAAAACAGCCGCATTCGCGCCAGAAAATGATGAATAGCTCCTATTATATCTCATATACTCCCCCTCCAGGCCGCCTTAACAGCGTACAATCCGACCAGAATCATGATAAAAAACAATTTTCTTCAAAGATTCTGAGGAAAAGTGCTCAGTCGTCGGCTGAATCACACCGAAGACAGGTTGATCAGCTTCACCTGTGCCTTACATATTCTGGGGCTTTTTTTGCAACAATATCTTCTGGGAATTGTGCAGTGATTGGAGTTTATTGTCGCGAAATATAATGCAACACAAGTTCTTAAGAATATTCATATCCTTTCTTCACTAAGTAACAGTTTAAATCAGTGATTTGTGTGGTATTTGCTGCTCCTTTTGTGAATAATTCAGGTGAGAATTGATACTTTAATGATTGCAAATATGCACAAAATCTCAATCTGATAAAAACCACGCGCGTCTTTCGTCTGGAATTTGTGTGGAAAATTCTCATCTTCAGACCTTGCAAATGGCTTCACAATAGAGAATTCTCTGACGTTTGTGCGATAGAAATTTCCCTCGGAAAATGCACATTTGCAAAAGAAAACGCGATGTTTTCTCAAGTAATTTGTGGTACAAATTCTAAACACTAATGAGTTTTACAGTCTTTCTCCTTCTTTACTTGCTACTTCACAGCAGATTCATTCACTTTCAATGGTCTACGAGATTTTTCCTGCTCTCTTTATGTTGTGCAAAATCATGCAATTAGTGGAATAATAAAAGGCAGTTAATGAGATGTTCTTAAGGTACTTTTTGCTGCTTCTCCTGGGCAAAAAGGAATTCCTTCAGACAGAAAAATACCTACCCAAAGAAAGATGACACAACATTGCGTGCAATTTTGCAAAAATAAATGTTTAATAGAGTCAAGAAAGTTTATTCTGCGCAAATTTAAGCGATGTATTTTATGTGACAATTATGCGATATCGTGACATAAATACATTTTCGAGCGGAAAAACTTCACAAAGAGTCATTTTCTGCTGTGTTCTACACATTGATTTCCCAATAGAGTTTCCCGGGGCAAAAATTTCTCCATCCAGTGCGCGCTTTTCATTGATTTTCCTCTTGGTTTGCAACATGCAAACACTCCAACACAATAGACGAGAGTCTTCATTTCCGGCAAATGTACCTTGAACTTGAATGCAGTAAAGTAGCAGAATTGTTTGATTTTCATTTCCATGTGAACAATTTTTCTGTGATAAAAATGCAAGTTGCATTGTTATTATTTCCACTTTTTCTCTCCTTCCGCCGCATTTGTGATTACACTCGCGCTCTCGGATGAATTCTGGCTTGAGAGAGAGAGAGAGTGATAAATGTGGTGAAGCAGAGCAGAATTTCCTTATCTAGAAATCTGCCCAAAATTCACATCTGCAATCGCTCATTAAGAATTTGTATGAAAACGTTTTTCGCAGATTCCGCAAACTGACGCAACACGCAGACAAGATGGCTTACGATAATCACGGCATGAATGACTCAATGTTGAACATACCTTCTGAGCCAAGAGGAGCTTACACTGGCTCAAATCAGTTTATTCGTGAGTATCATCCTTCATGATAAATCCCCACACACTAGGTTAATCGCTCTCCAAATTAACATTAGCATTTTTGCAGATTTCCTGTTGTGTTGCTCACAACACATCGACGTCTTCAGATTGAACTGTGACCCTTCCCAAAGAGGGAGATTAGTTGGACCTTAAATTGGGTGGTTTTCAATTCGAGTTTCCCCCCGACTTTAACCCCCTCTTCCTTCCTTACTCTTTATCTCGCAATTTTAAGTCCATTTTTAGGTGACTGACCAAAAATACCTCCGAAATTGGGTTGATTTTTGTATTTCTCTTTCAAATCCAGGTTTAATTTTGTGGGTAAGACACTCAAATCACAGGTTTTGTTTGTAGGTTTCGATCTCAATTGAAAAGAAAAGGATCTCAAAAGGGTATTTAGATGCTGAATATGAAATTGCAGAGTCCCAAGTAACAATGTGTCTTAGTTTCCCTTGTCTGTCCTTGTTTATCTATGCGTTCTGATGTTTTGAAGATATGATTTGAATCCTTGTTTCTCTATCTGTTGTCTTCTATATCTGTTCAGCAAAGTCTGTTCCTGATTCAGTCAATCCTTTAAGCCTTCCCCAGCGACCATAGATATTTATTCTCTACCTTTTATCTGTATTTATCTTGATATTTGTAGAAATTCACAAATTACACACATAATTATTCACGACAAATATTCAATTCTCAACGGTTTTCGTTGATTGAGTCACACGAAATTGATTTGTCGCGCTGTAAAACCAACAATTCGTCCATCTATTATTACAGTCCCTTCTGAAGACACTTTTTGCAGGATTTGAATGCCTGAATTACAAACTCTTTTCACAAATCACCAACAGAAACGAAATTACTTGCTCCTGAAGATTGCTTCCAGGCAAATTTAATTCCAGCACGAATTGGCCGTTGTAAGAAATCCGTTAGCGAGTAGAAATCTTGCCTGTTTGTTTGATTTTGTGTGTTCACCACCCCCCAGAAAAACAAACAACAACACGTCTGATGTATGAACATTTAATACACGACATCACTCACGTGAATTTTATTGTTCTGTAAATACTGAGAAAGCGTCAAAAAGCCTCTTGTGCCGCATTTCGCTGATCTTCTGCCTGTATTTTGCAGTCAACGAGGATGAGAGGAAGACAACGAGGGATCATCTTAGGGCCGTTGCACCGTGGTGTCGACAGAGGGCGAGGAACATCTTCCGCAAGAAGACGCTGTACAAGAGACTCCCAATTCTCAGCTGGTTGCCAAAGTGAGTACAGAAACTTCTTCCGTGTTTGACGGCAGAAAAAGGTATACTTTTATCAACTATTTGCAAAGGGATGATGTGTTGTGAAGAATTAATCGTAAATCTTTCTCTGGCCTAAAATTAGAAGATCTTAACACGCGGTGTGTGAATCATGTGCTTGAGGGTCAAGTTGAATTCTGGCTCAATTTGCACGGTTTCTTCATTGTTAAACTTGCTCCAGGAGATAATTTTCTACTGCTCGCGTATCAGCTGTTGAGTTATTGCGATGAGAAGAAATTATTATGGCAGCAATCTCAGTGCAAATACTGAGGGTGGCTTTGTAAACTAGTTGTGGAATTTCTTCTTTATCACCTGTAATTAAAAAATTACAACAATTTGCTCAGAGTTTGAAGAAATAAGCTTTATTTCCGTATTTTTCTAACTATGTAACAATGCAGTGTTTATTTAATGAATTTTTGTCATTGAAATCTACAACAACTCTCTCTATAAATTGGCAGAAAATTATTGTTGAACTATAATTGATGGAAAATTGCGGATTGACGTCAGAAGAATTTTTTCACATAATTGTATTGTATTCTTCCACTGAATCGATACGAATCATCATGATGCGAAAGGGGAGTTAATAAATTTTGATATTCGAAGGAAGTGTAGCGCGATAGCATAAGATAAGACGCTCTGCACCAAGTGTTACTAACCGCAAGTCAATATAATGGGAGCATCAAAACAATAACCAGTAAAATCTTGGTAAATTATTGACAAGCGTCGTAAAACATAAATTGGACTGGCGAATTCCATCCTATCGATCGATGTCTCATTGGCGGATAAAGACAAGTAGCACTGATAATCATGTTGAATTTCGTGTGTCTCTCAATTCGCGGTTTGCAATCACACAACAATAAAACACATTCCGCACACGATACGATATTTTATCATAGAAAGAACAACACACAAAAGCTGTGGAGAATTTCCTTTTGAGCAGTCATGTCACGACACAATTAACTTTTAATACTCATTAATCTCAGAGGCGCATGATTAGATAAATCGCGGTGATTAAGAGATGTCCCAATGCTTGAAATACTGCTTCCGCCGCAGGTACTCTGGAGCTGATGCTGTGGGGGATTTGGTGGCGGGAATCACCGTGGGATTGACGGTAATTCCGCAGGCGTTGGCGTACGCGGGAATCGCGGGATTGCCGGCGGCTTATGGCTTGTACGGCTCCTTCATGGGCTGCTTCGTTTACATCATCCTGGGCTCGCACAAGGACGTGCCCCTTGGCCCCACTGCCATCGCCTCGCTGCTCACGCTGCAGGCATCGGCCGGCGTGTGGCAGAGAGCCGTGCTGCTGGGCTTCCTCACGGGCATCATCGAGATCCTCATGGGCATCCTGGGACTCGGCTTTCTGCTGGACTTCGTATCAGGACCCGTCAATTGTGGCTTCACGAGCGCCGTGGCGCTCATCATTCTCTCCTCTCAAGTCAAGGATGTGCTGGGAATCGCCGCCTCAGGGAACACGTTCGTGCAGATGTGGACGTCGATCATTGAGCACATCCAGGACACGAGACTCTGGGACACTGTCCTGGGAATTGTGTGCATAATTGTCCTGCTGCTCATGCGGATGATTGCGAACGTTAAAATCGGGCCTGTGAACAATGAAGACAAGACGACAATGCACAAGGCCGTGAATAAGATCCTTTGGCTCATTGGAACGTCCAGGAATGCCATTCTTGTGGTGATCACTGGAGGAATTGGAGCTGCCGTTCACTATTCCGGACACGCTTACTTCAAACTCATCGGCGAGATTCCGCCGGGTCTTCCGGCATTCCAGGCGCCGCCTTTCTCCATTCCCGCCGTCACCAATGGCACAGAAATCCTCCAGGAGGAGGAATCCTTCACGGAAATGGTCTCAAATCTCGGCTCTGGACTCATTGTCATCCCTCTGATTGCCCTGCTGGAGAACATGGCGATCTGCAAGGCCTTTGCCGATGGTAAGACGATTGACGCTTCCCAGGAATTGATAGCCATCGGCACGGCCAATGTGTTCAACTCCTTCGTCCAGGGTTATCCGGGAAACGGCGCCCTGTCCAGAGGAGCTGTAAATCACGCCAGCGGCGCCAGAACTCCCATGGGAAGTCTCTACACTGGCATCCTCGTCATCCTGGCTCTGCTCTTCTTCACGCCCTACTTTTACTACATCCCCAGAGCCGCTCTAGCTGCCATCATCATCGCCGCCGTGATTTTCATGGTCGAAGTGCGAGTGATCAAGCCGATGTGGCGAAGTAAAAGTGAGTGATAAAGATTCGTTGAGAGTAATCTCAAGTTCTAAGCACGCTTTCTCTTCGCAGAAACCGATCTTCTTCCCGGAATTGCTGCCTTTATCGCTTGTCTGGCGCTTCCGCTGGAGTTTGGAATTCTGGTGGGAATTGGAATCAATGTGATCTTTATTCTCTACCATTCTGCACGCCCGAAGATTTCTGTTGAATTATGCGCAGTAAGATTCTGAAGAATTTTGGGGATTTCCTTTGTTTCACCTTCCGAATTAATCCTTCCAGACAACTGGCGTGAACAGCAAATACCTCATGATAACACCCGACAGATGTCTGATCTTCCCGTCGACGGAATACGTGCGGAACCTGGTGAACAAGCAGGGTCTCAAGTCCCAAACGCCAGTCGTCATCGACTGCAGTCACATCTACGGCGCCGACTACACGGCGGCCACGGTCGTTGAGACGTTAGTGAGCGACTTCGAGTCGCGCAACCAGAAGATCCTCTTCTACAACCTGAAGCCTTCCGTTCTGCACGTATTCGAGGGCGTTGATAACAAGATTCTCGTCTATTACGACTTTGACGCCCTCGAGCGCATGATCAATGAGAAGTGATGCTTGCAGGTCTGCAATGATTAGGCTTAAGCTTAGACAGTAAGTTGTACAAATGATCCACTGCATCTGTAAAACGTCTTCCAACGAAGACTCTTTATTTTTAGTATTGTAATCATTGTAATGTAATAAATTATTAAGAAAATTAAATAGTTTTTGAACAGTTGAACGCGATTGGAGACATTCTGTTGGTCGTTTTGAAGAGGTAAGAAGTTTTAAAATCTCTTATCATTGAAATTAATCATCACAATGTTCAAATTAATGACTTAACAATTTTTTCAATACCGGAACTTTCAAAAATGTAAGCAAAGTGACTAGTAGTCTTCACCACGACGTTATGTGGCTGTGATTTAACTTCAGACATTCTTTTCTATCGGCATTAACGTCATCTTTTTATCAATGGTAATATCAGAAGTGGTTTAAAATTTTATTGAGTCTGATTACAAAAATATATAGAGACAAAATGGGCAGAAACAGTTGCTGGGGAGTCTCTAGTCTACATTTGAACTACTCCTGCTTTGGTATTAAGCATTGTTAGATTTATTGAACGTTTTCTTTTCATAATAAATTATAACAAACAGTCAAACTTTACACCGCTTCGTGCTGCTCTAGGCGAACAGTCGCAGAGCGAGGAGCGACAGAAGGACGAAGAAGGAGGATTTCAGTGCATTGCCAGAGCCTCCCAGGTTCGGGTGACCTGGAGCAGGAGTTGGTCCGGCTGCAGGCAAATCCGTCCTGTTGAACTGCTGCTGAATCCAGGTGCTGTGGAACCTAATGGCTGTGTAGACGCCAGGTGCGTTCGGCTGACCACATCGGCGATTGTGCGACATAATGGCGACGAGGCGATTGTCACAGTAAAGAGCTCCTCCGGGATTGTTCTGCTCAAAGGAGGGGATTTTCTCAGTATAAACTTGAGACTTGAATAAAGTAAAATTACTTACAGCACAAGGATTTGGATTGCCAACCACAGATCCAGCGCAGATCATTGAATTTTGAACTCTGCCGGCAATTTCATTCAAAGTGTTGCAGTGGTCGCGATTGAAGATGTTCTGCTGTTGGTGCTGAAGAGGAACATTCAGGTGCTCTGAAGAGGGATTCAAAGGAAGTATTAACTTTGATTTTTGCACTCAAAGTCTTATCTTATCTGATATTTTGCACTCTAGAGGAAAAGTTCCCTCCTGACATCTAAGTGTACTCACGAGGGGGTGAATTCCAGCCCACAAGGGTGCACGGGGCGGTGTCAGGAACTATCCTTGTGTAGAATTCCACTGCCTCGACGGGCGGCAATGGCGGAGCAGGATTGAAATTGATGTCTGCAGTTGTTCGCAGCACTGCAACATTGTTCCACTGCTCGTCAGGATTGTAGTGTTCATGGACGAAAACGTGGCTGACTGCCATTCCTGTCGCACCCTGAACAATGTTCACAGTGGACACGAAGAGGGTGTAGACAGTTGGTGCCAAGCGCTCGTTGTTGGCGTTCAAGGCGCACGTCGCGGCCGTAAGGACATGTCGATTGTTGAGCACTGTGGCGTCACAGAACCTGTTCAGGAACACAAGACCCGCGTGACTTGGGAACTGACCCGGAAGCGCAGCCTGCGACACGGCAGACCCAACCACAAGTCCTGCAGAGAAATATTGTCAGAAGGACATTCCAAACGCACCCAGGAATCACGGCGGAAACTCACCGAGGACTAGCAAAGTGGCGAAGTAGATCTTCATGGCGAACTGAACGGAAGTGTTTCTTGCTCACAGCCTTTTCATGAACTACATTCCGCCTCGCTCTGGAGTCACTGTATCAGCGTGATTTCACCTCACGGCTCACGATGGAGTATTTTCGTACCGCCTTATCAAATGATATCAGGTCAGGATTACAGATTTATTGTGTGAATCAGGAACGGTTTACGAAATTCTGATCCCGAAGCATTTAATCACACCGAAATTTCAGCACTTTTAGCAATGCCAAAAAAACCACCGACATTAATCACGCTCAGCTTCTGGTCTAGCTATGAATTTCTGCAGCAATTTACAAATATATATTGAGTGATAATTAAATTGAGTTTCAATTCAAATGATAAACAATCATAGTGAAATATTTTATTGTGTATTTTTATTAATTTAAATTAATTTGTATTGATAAAAAGTCAGTATTTGACGAAAACTTTGCCTTTCGACGCATTGTGAAAATCAATGAGAGAATTTTGATAAATCACGGTCTTTGTTCGCGGTGCTGAAACTCGGACTTAAACCACCCTTTAATCCCCCCGGATGAGAGTCATAAGTCGTTTTCACGGGAAAAAATTAGCTGATTAGATAAAAATCTGCGCACAAGTTACGAAAAAGTGTTGAAGAATCCAATCGGATCCTTCATTTTCAGCACAACTCTCGAGAATTGTGCTTCGACTTCACACCTGAGTTATTAGTTTAAGACAGTACACAGAAAATGTACAAGATTGTGATACTTGTTGCTCTTCTGGGTAAGTTTGTTGAATTGATTTAGTTTCTTCGCGGGGTTTAATTCCGGGGATTTGTGTATGTGTTTCAGGCTTTGCCTTGGGCAATCCTGTGGCGGAAGATGCTCCACAAGGATTTGTTTCCGGCGGAACTAATGCCCAACAGGGAGAATTTCCGTCGACGGTGAGTTTTGAAGACTGAGAAAGAAGAAAAATGTTCTTAAGTGCGGTGATTTTGCAGGCTTCCGTGAGAGTGCACAATGAGTTCTTCCAAGGAGTTCTCGTGAATCAGAATCACGTCCTCACGGCAGGAACGACTTGCACGCTAAACGGACGCTCGGTGAATCACTTCTGGATCAGAGTCATGCTGGGCGATCTGCACATCACCGGCAGCAGCATGCATCGCGAGGAAAGGACACTGACTCATCTCTTCATCCACGATGGATTCAATCACCAGACAGGCGTGAACAATATCTGTGTCCTTCGCTTGGCGCATCCCATCCAATTGCCTCACCCTGTCATCGAGGAAGCCATCCTGAACACCAGGATTGTTCCTGTCGGAACTTCAGTGCAGTTCGCCGGCTGGCAAACTCCAATTCCGGTATGAAATGTGTCTCTGTGTCCTGACGATGTTCGAGCTTCATCTCCTCTTATTCCCACTTTTCAGGCCGCTGATAATTTGAGATTCTTGAGGCAATTCAATATGCCCATCATCACGAATGCCGTTTGCACGACTCCGCCTGGAAATATCAATACACAACTGGTGAACATGTTCTGCGCCGGACAATTGACTCCAGCTCCAACGGCAAGTCCTTGCCTGGGCAACGTTGGCGCCGGACTTTACTGGAACGTAAGTCTCAATGGAATCCTTTTGCGCTGTCCAAATAATCACACTAATTCACGGTTTTACGAACAGAGACAACTCATCGGCATTCTTCACGATGGATTGACATGCAATCAAGTCAACAATCCCAGCATTTACATGGATGTTCGCTTCTACTCCACTTGGATCACCCAGACCTTCACCAGAACTGACCTCATTCCGCCAAATACGGAATTCCCGCGCGCAGCACCTGCCCAGGAAACCCAGAACTAAGCATTCACACCAAAATCGCCTTCATTTTGTTCCTTATTCTGAAAATTTTACAATGACTTTCAAATAAAAGGCGTTAACTTACATGCGAGTTGATAAAATTCCCTCACGCACTGATAAGGAAAAGCTCCGATGTTGAGAGGTTGGAAAAGCTGCTGCAGATGTCTCTTGTCAGCTCTTTTATCTCAATTCGTACGAATTTTCGCGATATTTTTAACCGTTGACCAATTCGTTCGTGACTAATAGACATTTTTGTGATTAGATAAGCTATCGACGGCAAGAATTACGCTCCCAATTTTTTCACCTCAGTCTTCATATTCATTCCATCCAAAGAGACCTCATTCACTCCCGTCTTCACGCGACATTCACTGCATTTCACAGTTCAACAAGTTCAACAAAGATGAAGATACAAGTGAGCACGAGTTCATTGTTGTTGGCATTTCTGCTCTGCACAGCGAGTGTCCTTGGCCAGGACGATCAGGAAGGTATTCTGGGAGTTTAATGACTAACACGCAGCAATTGATTCACGTGCTTCTTTTCCCCCTACGAAATGCCGCAAAGATGACACAACAACTGAGACACAGTATGATGATTACGATGATAGCGATGTGCCTGTGATTCCTGTCTACATCCAGCCGCGATTCGACGAAGAGGGCGACTTCAAGTGGTTCCCGCGGATCATCGGCGGCACACAGGCAGTCATTGGGGAGTTTCCCGGGAAAGTATCACTCCAGACTCGACTGGGGTCGCACTTCTGCGGAGGAACTCTGATTGATCTCACGCACATTCTCACCGCAGCGCATTGCGTCACGGACTCACGCGCTCAAGTCCTCAATCCTGCCGCGGTAAGTCGCCAAGGATGGCTGAATTTGCCAGCGCACAGACTTACATAATCGGATTATCCTCACACTCAGTCTTATCAGAGGCAAAGTGCGGTTTCGGTGGCAGGAAGTGAAAGTGGAATCACATGTCTAATGATTTTATGTGCATTGCAAGTTGTGTGACTATAAATCTTCACAGTGTTTATGGCGTCAGAGAATCGATCTTACTCACCATTTTAATATGTTTATTCCGGCATGTTTTGATTTATTCGTAAATTGGAAACGAATAGAATTTCATCCGAATTCGTTATCGGTGAATTATCATAATGAAAAGTAGGGCGAGGTTCTCTTTAGCATGTTTATTTAACATTGAACGTCTGAAAAGTTTTGTATTTAGTGCATTGAGAGCAATGAATTTTGTCAGAATTCCCTTAATTTGATCAGTAAAAATTGCAGAAAACATCTGTTGAACATTAATAGAGCAAAAAGGACTATATTTTAGTGATAAATGCTTCTAATTTGATGAGAAATATTGTGATTGTTGTGTATTGACACTGAATTTTCTTATAGAATTCTTTCATTCAATTATTTGCAAGAAAAATTATTCATCATTTTGTGTCTTTAATGCCAGACGCTTTTCCCACAAATATTTTGTAACACATTTGTTGCGTAATCAATGTGCATTTGTCACAGCTCACCTCTTGCAGGCAAATGAACTTTTGCCTCTCGCTCTTATCGCTTATCTTATCAGCGTCTTCTACTATCGTTTGTACAGATACAAATAATGGCCGGCGATGTGTCGATTGTGCGAAACGACGCGGCGCCAACGAGAGAAGTGCGCTTCCTGTCGCACATCTTCGTCCATCCGGATTACGACATCGCGACCATGGAGAATGACATCGCCGTGCTGCGCCTCAGCCTGCCGTTTCGCCTGCAGCAGGGCGTCGTGTCGCCACAGCCGCTGTCCAGGAGCATTCCGGCCGTGGGCACGGTGTGCAACCTGGCGGGATGGGGCACGACCGCCGAGGGCTCGAACACGCCCTCGCCCACGCTGCAGCGCGTGGACCTGGACATCATCGACACGGACAGGTGCAATCAGTCCTATCGCGGACTGCTGAGCGCCAACATGTTCTGCGCCGGACACATGGCCGGCGGCAGGGACTCGTGCCAGGGCGACTCCGGCGGCGGCCTGATGTGCAACAACATCGTCACGGGCATCGTGTCCTTCGGCTACGGCTGCGGCCGCAGACACTTCCCGGGCGTGTACATCGACGTGAGTCAGTACATCGAGTGGATCGAGACGAGCCAGCAATTCGAGGGGGCGCACGTGGACATTCCCACGCCGCGGCCAGCGGGCGCCGCCGCCTTCGTGCCATCGGCGCTGCTCATCCTGGCGGGATTCCTCGTGAAATCCTGCAGACTGTTCTGAAGCTCTTTAATACAATATTTAGGGACTTTGTCAAATAGTGATGAATAAATCTTTTCCACGAGCGTTTAATCAAATTGCTATCCACTATTCTGAGTGACGAAGAGAACATCTTTCTTCTCCTTATGAATGTTTAAAATTCCGTCAAATACCCGAGAAAGCACGTCAGTTTTTTCTTCTTTCCCACATCGATTTCATTAAATATTTACAGAGTTTATTGTGGCCGTGATTTATATACTTTTCCACCAGCCATTGTTGCACGAGAATCAAGTGAACTTTTCTCAATGGCTTTTAAGAGAAGACAAAATTAATATATATTTGAAGGAACAGTGCAACATATTGCGCAAGATTTTAAGGTAATTTTATGCGCATTAAAAGTAATGAGAAAGTGAGGTGTGAATTCGAACCATCATACGACATTCCGGACTTGATAACGGGAGGAAAATTTTGTAATCTCCACCCTCAATGAAAGTCTAAGTAAGACCTGTAAATACCCACTTTATCACCGTGGAAGCAGGGCTCAAAGTTGAATGGCAATCGTCTCTGGGCATCAGCAAGTGATTGAAACGTGCATGGCTTGTGGAAGTGTGGACAATCGACAATATTTACCAATGAGAAATCACAACACACGAGCCAATATCACTAACTGTCGCTCGTGGTGTACAATATCACGGGAATATTGGAGATTCTATGTGTGTTTGAAGAATGTTAAGTTACCTCTTAAATCTTCCAATTATGAACATTATCAGGTTTCACGATTGAACGGTATCGATACTCAGGAGATCATTCAGAATGATAAGCACGTGTTTAAAAGACGGTGAGGCGACACATTGTTGGCGTAGTGTCTCAAAGATCATCAAAGGAAGTGCTTGGTTTTCGTGGACTGTGTAAAAGAGAATTTTGTGTGCCATGAAGTGGATTCTTCTGCTGTGCCTTGTCGTGGCACTTTTCGCCGATTCCCAGCAATTCTTCCCGCGGATACAGAAGTCAAAGGATGAGATTCAGAGTACGCGTCAACTCTCAGATTGTCCGAGAGATTTGGGGGGAATGATGGTGTGAATGTCTTTTCCAGAGGATGCCGCCGATCTCCTGATGAAGGAGTTGGAGAAGCATCGCCAGACTGGCATCGAGACGCCCATTCTGAGGACTCTGCTGAAGGTGTTCGAGGTGCCTCAGCAGCTGCTGAAGCTGGAAGGACCTGAGCTGCCCGTTCCCCGCGATGACGCCATGTGTGCCCTCTGCAACTCCGTCTTCGGCGCCTTCATAGATCGTCGTCGCATCGACGGTCAGTCGCGCGATGAGATTGCCGAGTTCGCGAAGGAGTTCTGCAAAGCTCTGACCATTTTCCCGCCACGTGTGTGCGACGGAGCCGTCGATCTGAACGCAGACATAATGGTGCACATCATGGACAACCGTCCGGAATTCGACGAGAACCACGTCTGCGCCTACGTCTTCCAGAACCTCGGCTGTCCTGCCGACATGTCGGCCTTCGAGTGGTCAATCAACGTGGCTGGGAACAAACCGCCACTCACCGGAGACAAGGACAACACAGTGCCTCAAGGACCCAATGACATCAAAATTGTCCACATTTCCGATCCCCATTATGATCCCAATTACCAGGAAGGCACTCATGCCGTCTGCGGAGAGCCGAGTTGCTGCCGATCTGATCAGCCTCTGCCGCCAGGAACTCCGGCGTCAGAAGCGGCTGGATATTGGGGTGATTACAGGGACTGCGACAGTCCCTTCCGGGCTGTACAGGACAGCTTCCGCCACATCCGATCTCAGCATCCGGTAAGTGCTGAATGATCTTGAGATTTGTGCAGCTTCAATGGAAGTTTTTCTTATCTCTTTCAGAACATTGATTACGTGTACTTTACCGGTGATATTGTCGATCATGGCATCTGGGCGACGTCGTTCGACTGGAACAGGAACAGCATAAGTCGCGTCCACACGGCGCTTCGTGAGAGTTTCGGCGGAATTCCCACTTATCCAGTCATTGGAAACCACGAAGCTCATCCCACAAACGTCTTCGCGCCAGATTCTCTGAGAGGAAATGCTATGTTCTCCACTCAGTGGCTGTATGACTTCCTCGCCAACGAGTGGTCCGCTTGGCTTCCCGCCGCGGCCTTGACCACAGTCCGCAACGGCGGCTACTACACCGTCCTTGTTCGGCCAGGATTCCGTATCATCGCCCTGAACAACAACCAGGCCTACACGTGGAACTTCTGGGGATTGTACGATCCACAGTACGCCAGGAATCAGCTCCAGTGGTTCCACGACACACTCCTGGCCGCCGAGAGTGCCGGAGAGAAGGTGCACGTGATTGGCCATGTGCCGTCCGGCAGTGGAGACACTTACTACGTGTACGCGCGCGAGTACGCCAAGGTGGTGGAAAGATTCTGGAACACCATCAGTGGTCAGTTCATGGGCCACACGCACGCTGACCAGTTCACGGTCTTCTACGCCCAGTCGAATCCCCAGCAGGCGGTCAATGTGCAGTGGAACGGCGGCAGCACCACGGCGTTCACCGATGTGAATCCCAACTACAAAGTTTACACCGCTGATCCGCAGACTTATCAGATCAACGGCCACGAGACGTGGATCTACAACTTGACCCAGGCCAACCTCACGCCCCAGCTCTATCCCAGTTGGTTCAAGGAGTACGACTTCATGACGGAATACGGCATCTCGAACATGAGTCCGGCAACACTGAACGCCCTCGCGGAATCTTTCGCGAGAAATCCTCAGCGATTGCACAGGGTAATAATAGAAAAAAAAATCTCTCTGAAATCGACAAACAAAGACTAATCAATCTTTCTCTCTTCACGCAGTATTGGCAGCTCACGACATCCCTGGCAGATACGTCTCTGGCCAACGGGTGCGATAACAACTGCCTTGCCAGTCATCTCTGCCAGATTGTCCGGAATGTGTTCGGCAACAGCCCGCGCTGTGACCAGCTCCAGAGCATTTTCTGGTCAACGGTCGGCGGCTCAGCATAGTGCTTTCGAGGCACGCACACAAACTTCTTCCCAAGAGATTCATTAATAAAGTCAGCGCGTGATTACATCAATTAATGATCGCCAAGTGAAACTTTCTCTGTATTGTTATCAAAAGTGGGATTGCGGTTCGAAGAAGTGGGACTTTGGGAAGAAAAACAAGCTGTAAATCAGTCTCTCATTAGTGCTTGGCGAGTGCAAGTGTTTGAATATGGCATTAGCTGGCATTAAATTGTCTGCGCTATTTACATTGCTGCTGCCGCTAATTACGGCGCGATTGATAGATAATTTAGTGACAATTGGGCCCACTGATGTTATTCACGTGAATGCGGGCGCCTTCGAGAGGGAGTTCCATGATGAATTTGCCAAGTATGAGAGAGATAATGTAACCACAAGTCGTCTTAATGAGATGATAAGACTCTTCAGTGATTCTCTCTACAAAGTGCTGATTGTCGATGATATTCCCAATGCGAGAAATGTGAGTTTAGCCTATTTGTTCAATATCGATTCAATCGAAGACGGGCGGAGTTTAATTTTGGATTCTCTCTTATCAGCCGCAACTTTGTCTCAAGTGTCGCGCTGTTACGTACACATTTCTCGGCTTCAATGCAACTGGAGCCGATGATGAATCTCTCGAGAGGATTGCCAATGATCTCTGTCTCTTGCTCAAACTCGAAGGAACCGAGGCTGTGTGTCGAGACACAATTGCCACATTCAAACCGACTATGTTGTACATTCTGCGCAACACAGGAAACACTCTCCCGGACAGAATCTGTGGCATTCTCTATCAATCCTTCAATTGTGGCTCCATTGAGGATCTGTACGAGGAGTTCCCGGTGACATTCCAGCGTCCCACGCATCCGCGGAACACTTCGAGCAAAGCCACTCCAGCGCACAATCACAGCGATAGGAATCTCACGATCCTCCACTTGACTGACTTCCACTACGATCCTCTGTACGCCGTGGGATCGGCTGGGAACTGCAAGGAGGGCATTTGCTGTCGAGGAGATCGCGTTGCACACGATGGAGCTGGATTCTGGGGTGATTATCGTGGATGTGATTCTCCGTGGCACACACTGAAGAATGTTGTGCAGGAAATCAAGAGAAGATACTCCAAAATCGATATGATCTACTTCACGGGCGACATTATCGACCACTTCAAGTGGGCGACATCGGTGGCGGGTAATAAAGAGTCTATCACGAATCTCACACAACTCTTCAAGAGTGCTTTCCCAGGAATTCCCCTGTATCCAGTGTTGGGAAATCATGAATCTCATCCGGCAAATACGTAAGGCAAATACGGAAAGTGCAGCAAGAAGATGAAAAATTCAATCATTTTCTTCTGCTTCCACAGATTCGCTCCGTCCAGTGTTGAGGGTGAAAACATCTCCAGCCAGTGGCTGTACGAGCATGTGGCGGACATTTGGAGCGATTGGCTTCCTCGGGCGGCCCTCGAGACCCTCAGAGAAGCTGGCTACTACACAGTCAAGCTCTACAATGGCCTCCGCATTGTGGCCATCAACAACAATTTCTGCTACCACACAAACGTCTGGCTTCTGCACAACACCACGTACTTCGCCCAGCAGCTCGAGTGGCTGCAAGAGGTGCTGCAGAGGGCCACGACAGCCCGGGAGAAGGTGCACATCATCTCCCACATTCCAGCGAATGAGAGAGACTGCTTCGGACCGTGGGCGAGGGAGTATCGGAAGCTGGTGGAGAAGTTTTCTCCCATCATCAGTGGTATTTTCAATGGGCACACCCACGAGGATGAGTTTAACGTGTTCTATTCCAAAAGCGATCCATCAAAGGCACTGAACGTGGCCTGGAATGGTGGCAGTGCCACCACATTTGCATACTTCAACTCCAATTTCAGGATGTATTATGCTGATCTGACCAACTTTGTGAGTGTTCCTCGCCGTGCATTAAGTCCAGCACAAGGGGGAGATAATGGTCGGATGTTGTGTACAATTTAGCAGAAGTCTTTTGAAGTGAAAGTGCAAAAATATTACTTTACGAATTTTCTTTGAATTATTCTTAGTATCACATTTATTGATGCTAATTGTTTTTAGATAAAAGAAACATTGCAAATTGTGCTGAGGCCAAACATAACCTCAAAAATAACTTTTTTTCGGGTTAAAGTAAAGAAAGATGGTGAAAAGACGGTTTTAGACGGATTCTTACAGAAATATTGAATGTAAACTCGAGAAATTTCATTCAAAATTGAGATTGATTTCCAACAGACACACGAAGTCAAAGTTCTGGAAATATTGTACAGATTTCAGCCAATTATCTCCCCCTTGACCATGCATACAACTAAAGCATTCAACGGGGAGGAATTATTCATTAATCTGCCATTGATTCGCACAGGAAGTGCTGGATTACGACACGTGGTGGTACAATCTCACCGAGGCGAACCTGACGCCGACCAGGAGGCCAACGTGGCACTCCTACAGCTTCGCCCGCGAGTACGGGCTGAAGAGCCTGAGTCCGGCGAGTGTGGACAAGCTGGTGAGGGAGTTGGCGGCGGACAAGAATAAATTACTCTCGGCAAGTACCTTCATAATTCATATTTATTTCAAGATTATCTCTTTTTTAGCTAAGGTATAAGTGTTTTTCTGTTCTTTTTTTTCTTCTTCTTCATATTACATTTTACAGTACTGGAAGAGAAAAGTCAAGTATTCCGATGCCCAACTGAGTCAGGGATGCGATGATGACTGCCTCACGGACACTCTGTGTGATATTGTTTTTGTGGAGCATGGCGACAATGTGAAATGCGAGGAACTCTTGAAAATATTCTACAGTTAATCTAAACATGAGTTGGCTCACAACGCGAGGAGGCTCCTCTCCCTCCCTCCCTCCCCCCAGAGACTATTACACACACAATACTATGTCAATTGGCCAAACCAAGGGATGCGGAATGATGATGGCGGTGAGCAAAAAATAAACAACTTAACAGACAAGGGTGGCAATGTCTAGGTCGTTCTCGGTGGCTGGTCGCACGGACACGAGGGCTATGTTGCTGCCCCGGGCGCTGGACTCCAGGCGAACGGACGTCACATCGCAGAATATTGCTTGCTCAGGACCCACCTTGTCCGTGTGGCCACAAATCGAACTGGTCCTCTGCATTGTGTATGAATCCAGGCCGGCAGATCCTCCGATGCTCAGTTGGTTCACTTCGCCGCTCTTGGAGGTGCACTGATGGTGGAAGAGAAATGTTTCTTGCTCAGAATTCGATTAGAAATGGTGAATAGTTCAATATTAGCTCTTCAAGAGCTTCCTTTGAAACAAATTAAAGCAATACTTTGAGTTTCTTTAGGTTATTTTTCTTTTCTAGGTTATGAGACTTCCTTAAAGCTGTTTTAGTAGCTAAAAGATAAGCCTAGTCAAGTTTCTAAATCAAATACTTTTAGACCAGTAAAGACAGTTCTCACGATCTGATATCCAAATCTTTGCTGAACTTCAACTTCTTCTTTAGACGACTAAATTAAGATTGGGACTCATTATCTCCCCCTTGATGCATTCATACCTCATTAGATATTTCAGCATTTCGTCCAATCTTCAGTCCAACAACTGACACAACTGCAGGGAACAGAGCTGTGAGGGTGCAATTTGGGGAGAATTCCGAACTCTGAAGCCGATAGAATGGAGCCAAACCCTCAGCCATGATGTGACAAGCTGCAAGCAATCCATGATCGATCGTTAGGGAGGAGATTAGCTTATAAGAGGCGACTTACGTTTGGGATGGGGCCGAAATCGCACGTTGACGTGGAAGGAGCCGCGCAGGGGTATTCGGTACTGGATGAGGGCCGCATTCTGGCTGGATCTGTAGACCTTCGGGGCAATGTGGTAGTTGGGAAACCAGTTGACGTTCTCATTGCAGAACTCCTTCACGCGCTCCTTGATGTCCAGCTGGTGATCGTGGATGCCGGGAAAGTATTGGCCGTTGAGCTCCCAGCCGTCGACAAACTAAAATGACAGAGGACAGAAAATAGCGATTTACACCCTGAAAGAAGCCCCCGATTTGTCTTACTGCCATTAGAGCGCCAGTCTCGCAGGGAATGTTGCTGAACTTCACGGACAGCTCGATGATCTGATCCGGGGCCGCGATGACGTACAGGCCGCACACCTCCGCCGGTGAAGATCTCTTGGAGCTCTTCATGCCGAGCTGGTGCAGAATGGGCGGCTCTTGCTCTTTCCGGTACACGAAATCACCTTCCTCCGACGTCACGTGCATACAATCTGGAAGAATGTTGTGCAATTAATCGTTAATTAATTCTCCGCAGAATGCAATTCAACAGTCTTATTAGCAGTGCAAACCGCAAGGCAGTGTGACAATGAGTTCATCCTTCAGTTCCTCTGTTAATTAGTCTCCGTGAATTATTTCTGTGAGAATCTATATCAATTAACCCACAGAGTCTTACTATGCAACACAAATTATTGATGGCCTCTTCATGCTAAAAATCCACACAGTTCCAATTTGACTATTGATTGAACTTGAGCAGCGTTTTTTTTGCTCCCGCAGAATGTTTACACGAGACTTGGACCTTTTGAACTAATTGAATATTTATTTTACACGTCACATCATTATTCCAGGAGAAGGCTTCAAAAACACCCTCACTGAATCAATATCCTGTCCATCTCCATGCAAAACGTCCCCAACATTTGACGTTGGAGAATGTCCAGCAGTGTTGGGCGGAAAAATGCTTTCCTTTGCATATCTCCTAGATTTCTCATTCGATTGCCATAAGTAGCACGGATATGGAAAGGAAATTTCATTGTCTATAACTATCTAGAATATACCGAAGTTGACAAATGGTCGCAAAATGGTATAAACTACAGCTTTTTGGCAGAGAAAAGTCTTTTTATGCATTTTTCAATGAAAACTCTAATTCTGGGGCAATTTCTAAATGATTTTCGAAACTAATAAATTTTTGGAAAGGTAATTTAGCATATAACTGTCTAGAACGTAATAATTGTGTTAATTCATTTCTTTTCTTGCTTCTTAAAGTGTTTTGACCGCTTTGATAAAGTTTCTATAAATTGTTATTAATTGTCTTGCAATTTTACTCCAAATATTCACAGTAGCGCTATTTTTCAACAGATTTTCAAAAGTAATATAGTTTTAGAAAGGGCAGAGAATTATCTATAACTTTCTAGAACACATCATTTATGCCAGACCACGTCTTCGTCTGTTTCTTGCAGGATTCTGGCAAGATTAGTAGATTTTTCTTCATTCATTTCTTGCCACGTAAAAGAACAACACAGAGATGACAAATGCTAGTGTGGGAAATTCCGGAAAATATATTTCTATTTCGCACGTTTCACACATATTCGTCGAAGGTTATTTCGAGCCTCATAAATGTGCAATATCGCCAACAAGTGGTTAATTATGGGCGATCTTTGGGGAGCAATGCGGTGTTAAAGACGCAAGAAGTGTCGTTAGCAGGGCGCGATGTCAGTGGGTGTCTTTTCTCATTTAGTGGGACAACTTTTATTCTCGACCACATGAAAGTGCTGGCAATTAATTTCTCCATAATGCGTCTCAATATCGTAAAATCCTCCGCCTAATGGACTGACGGCTGGTCTGTGACTGTTAAATTCGCGTGGCGGGTGTTTGCTTATCATTAAATTTTGCACATTTCACCCCCGCCAACTGGAGGAGTGATGGAAAGGTAAACATGGGGCCAGGTGAGGAAACGCTTACCTGTAATTGTGTGTATTGTTCGCTGGGGCTCCTTTTGAATCTCAAAGGGATTCCTAACTGCTGACCACGCCTGAAAGTGTAATGTGAAAAAATATATGGGTCTCGGCATTAATATTCCATGGACTTCCTCTCTTCGCCACTCTCTCCATACAATTCATTCATGAAGTCTCCACCCAAGAAATGTAGCCCAATTTAATTTAACATTTACAGAAAAGCCAGCGATAAATAATCCCCTGGGCTTTAATAGCTTTAGAGTATCTCCGCTCGAGCTTTTTCCGTGTGACACTCTTGTTCCACCAAAAAGAGATAACGGCGATACTTTTGGAGAAGTGGGTGGATTGCAAATGCCGCAGAGTTAATTGCGCCACCCTCAACTTCTTGCCAATCTATAACGCAGCATAATTGTTTTTTGTCAACATCTGAGGATTAAATCCCTGTGCAAATCTGCCGCGCGATGCGGAGGATTCGCGAAAGATGGGAGATTAGTTGAGGGCGATGTAGTGATAAATTAATAATTTATATGCTGTGTATCGCCGCAAAAGGAGGCGCATTACGTCATATTATAACTCCTTAAACTTTCAACAAGCGCCGTGTGCTTAATGTTAAAGCGAGAAAGAGAGAGCTTTAAGCTCTTCTGAGATTGAGTAAAGTATAATGAATTAATTAACTTATCAATTAATTAATACACTTGAAAGCCTCTCTCTAAAATTCTAGTGAGCAAATCAATTACATTCTCCCAAGTAATGATTAATTGTTGTACTTTTGTTGGACTTGTTCAACAAACTAACCAGAAAATTAAATAAATATCCCAAGATTGTTTCTGTTCTTTCCGCAATTCAGAGGAAAATCGTCTGGGAAGTTTGTTTGGTTCTTGTGATTTTGTATTTCACTGTGTTTTAAATGTAATTTTAAGTTCTTTCAGAGTTCTACTATTGCTGGAGCTTTTGAAGGCAAAGTTCAAGGCAAAGTTAATGTGAATGAAATGTAGAATTTCTGTTTCTCACAGAGAATTTGATTGAAACCCACTCGAAGAAGAGTTTCTTGTATTTCACCCAAAGGATTTATACGTTGATATTCTTTTAAGGATGATATTTGATGATTCACATGCAAGTTCTTGAAGGCAATTTAATAAAGTTTCACAAACTCATGAAATGTTGTTTCTGAAATAATCTTGAAAGACAAACTGAAAGTGTATTATTAAGTCTTCACATTTTCCATTGACAAATATTTGATTTATCGATGAGGAGAAGAATAAGGATGGAAATTGCACAAAATCACGATATAAAATCTTACAGACATGAAGATAAGATTTGTCTTATGGCTTAGAGAATGATAGTAATCTCTATAAAACCATCAAATTATGCTTCAGAGCTGAACAATTGACGCAGAAGGACTTTTAGTGATGCAAAACATTAACTTTCATTGCCTGAAGGCGATGAATAGACACAACATTATCCTCAAATATATAATTTATACATTCAAAATGAAAACACAAACTTTTCACATCACGCTCAAGTAGTTTCGAGGTTGTCGGCAAGTTTCTAGAGGTCATCATCCATTCTCTGTTTTGATTTCCTCCCTGAATCCACCCTTGAAAGTTAAACAGGAAATTTCACTTTCGAGAAAAACTCTGTGAATTTTCTTCTTTTCCCAGCGCTTCAAATTCCCGAGAGTCCTTAAAACAATTTCACTGCTCATTTTCAACCATGAAGAAAAAAAAATTGACTCTAATATTTCATCTCCATAATTTGAGTGGTGGAAAGAAAAAAATTCCACTCTATTAATTTTGCGGGTGTCTTAATTAATGTGATCATGACTAATGTCGTCATCCCGTCTTTGCTTTCATTCAAGAAATAATAAATGGAAAGAAATGTTTCTGCCAGGGAGGAAAAAAAATTGAACATCTTCTCCAATTTCTGATAAAGTGTCTTCGCAGAAACATTCCGCCCGCAGAACTAATTACTGATTACGGACTCTGTGTGACGGTCGAAGTGCCTCCGCATTTGTCCAGTGGCAAGACACAGCAGAGGAACACATGTAAGGCTTTTTTTTATTCTTAGGAGATATTACGTTGTCCACTTCTAATGTTACCACTTGAATTTAATGGTGAAAAAATGTCACACAATCTCCTGAAGAGTCTCAAGCCACCCAATGTGGCGCCCGTGAAAAATTGCACAACCAATTTATCTGGCTTTCGCGTGTGGTTTTATCTTTGGAAGCCAGTGACAAAATTACGGCAACAACAGCACAGAAATCATATAAATAAATCTCACTGTGTTATATTAATGTAATCACGTTGGAAACGCAGAGCTTTTTAATTGAAAAACACTCTGGGACTTTAGAGGTTCCCTGAAATGAATTTTAAAGTAGATTTGCGCATAAAAAATCTCAATTTCTCCACATTTATGCATATGAATGAGGTGAAATAAATCATGTTACAAGACATATAAAATTTTGGCATATTTTCCTCTCTCATGGCAGAAATGTTTCTGCAAATTAAGCGTGACTCCGTAATTTTGTGTGCGGTCTTTGCATGAAAAGTAGCTCTTAGTTTAAATTGCTGCTGATGAATTCTGATTAGGAGAAATGTTATAGAATTTCCCAACCACTTTGATGGTTGAGATGGGAGGGAAAAGTGGATTTGCGAGAGAGCCTTCAATTACAGCTCAACACTGTCTTACCTTCACCCCGAAAAATATGACGGAAATTGTAAACACCACAACGACTTTCATTTTCAACTTTGAACTCAGGCTCTTCTTTGAAGAATATTAAAATTATGCTTCGCCTCACAAGTTCACTGTTTTTTTCCTCGAGAGAGAGACTTTCAAACACGGACGAGGGATTTTTTATTTAAATATTGAATTGGATTCTCTATTGATTCATTGTCACTTTATTAATCACTGTGGCAAATTGTGAAGAATTTTCCTGCGCTTTTGGCGTTTTGTGTGTGGGGAATTTTCAATGTCACTCTCAGCCTCCCGTGAAGCCGTTTAGTGTTGCCTTTTTCCTCGCAAAAGCGCAAATGCCAGTCCCGACAGGAGATCCTCCTTTTATACCCCAGCACTGGATGAGAGCTGAGGGGTGGCGAGATGCTTCCTTAGCCGACGAGAGACGCCGTCACATCGGTGCGAGCGTGTCCTTAATGGTCAGGGAAGCACACATTTTCCACATCACACAATACACAGCAAAACTTATTCTAGCACAACAGAGGGCGGGAGGACAAAGACAAGAATGTGCAAAAGTTAAACATTTTCTTGCGTCATTGCAAACTTTTATTGGCATTGAATAAAAGTAATTATATCAGGATTTCCGCCGCGTTTATGCTGTGCTGTAAACATCCATGAGCCGCTCGAAAATCCACCCCCAAAGACATGTTTCAATAGTCTTTGCCTGCTTCTCAAAGGTGTGAGAGCAGGATTAAAAGAAATCTATAATTGGCATAGGAAATGTATCGATTACGTAGGTGTTGGAATTTTTAGAAGGACTTCAGCCAGTGGAAGATAAATGATTGGTTTATATGGAGGAGAAAAGTGTTACTGAGCAATTTTTCTTAAAGATTTATTACTTGGAGAGCTCACGAGGATTAAAAGTGCTCCAGTTGAGCTTCAAAAGACTGTAAATTAATGAGAAATGAATAAAAGAAGACTCGAACTGAGAGCTTTACAATCCTGAAATGTGGTTTTATTTCGCTGGATGTTCCTGGCAATGTTTTTGGATTGTAAAATGATTCATGATTAATTTATGATGTCTGAAAATTGAGTTTGACCAGAGAAAACAACTCAATCAGAAGATAGAGTTAAAGAAAAACGATTGATTTCCACTATTTCTGATCAAAATTGTCGTTTTTCCAGTTCAAAATAAAGGTTTTCTGGCAGATTTGCTAATAAAATACATATTTAATTGTCATTTGAAGTCATGTGAATAATAAAATACTGACAAAACGTAAAATTTAGTGGTAAATTTTAGAAAATATTATGTTATTTTTCCTTAAGAGAAGAAATAGGAAATCTTGTTTTAAGATTAACTCTCGGATTTTCCAAAATTAACCCAGAGTACACTGAATTTAACCCCTTTTATGTCTAAAAGCACCCCTGATGAATTGTAAAAAGACTTTTTCTAGAAAGAAACTTCGGATTTTCTTACTTCAATTCACCGTTTTTAGAGAAAATAAATTCTACAAAGTGATTCTTACTCTCAAATTTCTCCTTTTTATCAATAGAAAATGCAGTGAAATACGTTCAATTGAATACTCACATCCTTGGAAAACTCTCTGAAGGTTGATTTGTAATTTGTGATGACTTCAAAGTTCACATTACCTTTGCACTGAACTTTATTCATTGATTCCCCATCAATGGAGCTCCGCATTGGCCACCAACTTCAGTGAATTTATCGATTTTGCGGCAAAATGTAAGCTCATCATGTAATGTATAGTTGTGCTGATGATGAGAGAGACTCGGACAAATATTGACTCGTGTGCCCGGAAAACTCTGGCACAAGTGCAGAAGAGGATTCACTATAAAATAATAATTTATTACCGCAAAGAAGTACATATTCTCGCACATAAATGCTCTTAATTCTGTGGTGGTATTTGCGCTGCGAAGGCCCTCGGATGAGAGTACTGAGCGCTGGGGTCGTTCCTGTCGAAGTACATGCCAGGATTCTGCTGCGGGATGTTCTGGTACAGGCCGTAGGAGATGCCCGTGGCCGCTAGCTGTTGGGGGTGGAGAAGAACAACAAAGAGGCGTTCGTGAGTGAGTGAGCGCGTGGAAAAGTGTGGGAAACCAAGAGAGCGTGAAAATGAAAAATATGCGAAGGATGAGAAGCGAGTCAAGTTGAGGAGGAAGGTAAAGGTAAGTCCGTGGATCCCGCCTTGTGTGTGGTTTATAAAACAAGTATACCCGTTTTAACCCGTTAATAGATGCGAGGATGAGAGCCATTTTCGCCAGCAGGAGCGCCTTGCCGCCCAGCACGGCCAGGAATTGGAACCCCATCGGCATGAGAATCATTCCGAGCGCCGTGAAACCAATTGCAATCATGGGCAGCATGTGCTGGCGTCGTCTTCGTGCCTCTCCATTGGCTGAAAAGCATACAAGATTATGTTCATGTCTGCACAGTTCACTTAACGGTGGCTAATTTCAATAAATGTGGGTGAAGTACATCCTCTTCGCACGTGTGCATGTTTAGCCATAACTCTCCTCATTCACGCTGACCTTAATTTAGCTTTGAAAAAAAAGAACAATACAATCTCAATTTGCCTCTCTTTCCGAGAAAAATGTGCACTCATTTTTCCGCGTGATTTCCGCACACTCACGAATCTCCTCGCCATGCACCTTAACTCACTTAATTCGATATTATTAGCCAAGTTAATTAATTTCCCATATTATTGCTCGATATCGTGCGCACCTTGTTTGGTTTTTATTAAAATCAAGATCGTCAAAGTGAGAGATTTTTCAGGTGAGGAAAAACTCATCTCAGAGATGAAGGCCGATCGTGGCATTTTGATGAATTTTCAGTGATGGGGAAAGTGTGGTGAAAAGGTCACGATATATTGGAGAAATTCAATTGAGATTCCACCCCTTTATCAGCTTTCTCTCTAAACTTTGTTCATGGATATTTTGGACATAGAAAGGGAGAAGTTTTCATGAAATTTCACTGCTTTTCACTCTGTTTGCATCCAAAATTCGACTTTTTGATGTAATTTTGGGGAACAGAATTTTACAAAATGAATCCGGAAGCGATTTTCTTGCTGTGTAAAGACAAAAGCCCTTTAAAATGCATTTTGAAAGACATTTTGGTAAATTTTAAATTATTTTCTTTGTAATTTCATGTTCTAATTGATTTTAGAAGTGATTTTTCAGCGGGAAAAATGCATTTCTAATGTATTTTCAATGTTCTTCACAGTTTATTTCTTATAAAACGCCAGACTTTCAGCGTGAATTGAAGCATTTTCCGCAAATCTTTCGAAGCATCTTTTTGGTGTAAGTTTTCAATGAAAAATTCCCATCACATTGAGCCAGATGGAAGGGTGTTTTCTCTGTGAAAACTGAGCCTCCCTCGAGAGTTCAACCATTGCCGATGGTCATGGGCACATCTCTGTGCGTCATAAATTCGTAATTTATAAGGAGCTTTTCGGCTCTGTGTGAGAAAAGTTTGTGAAAATTTAATAATGACCACAGCAGAAAGCCCGTGAGACAAACCCACGTGGGATGGTTCGGATGCAATTTTGGGCAATTACAAAGTTTTCGCCATTACCTCGAGCACTGGCCAAATTGATTTCCACATGATGGGTGTTGAATGTGGAGGCAATCGTGTGGAGTACCTGCTGAGCCCACGATTTGCCCATCAGTTTCCTCTCGTCAGTCGCCGTGTTTGATCTTGAAGGAGGAAATTATGCAGAGTGAAAATGAAGTCCACGCACACACTTTTTGGCCTTTTCGCTGTCTTTCTTACCTCGCGCCATCGATGTTCCTCACTAATTTAATATTATCCGTAATGGGAATCACCTCGGAATTTGTCACATTGCTGATAATATCCAAACTCCTGCTCTGCAGACACTCCCAGCGCGTGATGTCGTGCCTTTTGCCACAGCCCCGCCACAGACTCTTCGCCTCGCGTGCGACACTTAACCACGAATTATCCACAGTCTTTGCATCACCGACCACAGCTAGAAATGCCACGAGTGCAGTTGATATCACTAGTTTCATTGTCACACAGATTGCAGAACGGTTGCAACATACAACAAATCGAGGCGGAAGACTCTGTCTTCAGCGCAGCTCAAAACACCATCAACACTGACCATCTTGTCTGCGCTGCATCTCAGCTTTATAGCCGCCGCTGCGGTTCTGCATGGCTTCAAGTGCAACGCAGTAGGAAAAGTAGGACTCGGCGATATAGTTTTGCCGACAGTCTAATTGCTATATTGGCTTTACATCAATTTTTCCTTCATTTTGTATTTTAGTGTGGCGATTTTCTGTGATGCGCACACATCAATCTGCACGGGACTGTTGAGCGCGGAGAATTTTGCACACACAGAAAATCAATTAAAATTCCCTCTTTGCATGTAGAATTCGTTATCGTTTAAATTAAATAGCGATTTTATTGTACGAATACATCATAGATATTTACATAATCTCTAACATTCTTGCTCCACTACAAATTAAACTCAACAACTTATTCACTTTGTTTCTTCAACTCATCGTGCGCCATTGACTCTTTTCATTGCAATCTCCTCAATATTTATTTGTATTTGTTACGGACGCTGGCCAGAAATTGTGTCGTCGTGTCTTCAATTCACTAGAACGTTTCGCCTTTAATCAAATGGAAAAGTTTTTGATGGATGAGACACCATAATTTGTCTCATAATTTTTGCATTGCACTGAATTTCCTCACCAAATTCAACATTATGTTGAAGAAATCGTTAAGCAAAGCGTGTCGATTTCAGCTTCTCCCCCTCCTAAGAATTAAATTCATATACGGAAGAAAAGATGTTTGAATCTAAATGCATAAATTTCATCTCTCACAAATATTAATATATACTTCTTTTTGCAACAAGGTTATAGAAAAATAGTTTCATCTCACATCTTTGCAGCAATTTAACACAAAACTTCATCGTCTTCCTCCAATTTAATTGTGGAATTTGCCTTTACACACACTATAATTTTACGCTGTCTGTTCTTCTTCTTTCTTTCTGTTTTTCTTTGTTTTTTTTTTGGTACTTAAGACACAATCATTGAAGACACTTTCGTGTGACAAAAAGAATCCCATCAAACGCCTCTTCTGCAGTGCCTTCATCACGTCTTCGCCGGCGATGGCGTTGTGGAGGCGAATCTGGGCAGAGACAGACCGAATTTCGTCTCAATCCCATTGATAATTGGCACGGCGGCCTGATAGCCGCCAATATGGTCGGGATTCTGCTTGAACACCTTCGGCTCCACAGTCTTCACCTTCTTCACGTCAGATCCCGCCGGTCGGTTGCCTCCAAAGTCCACCACGAAGAGACGCTGCAGCAGCTCATAAGTCACCAGCGTCACACCAAATTGCGGCGAAGATCGACACACACGCGCCGCTGTGCCCTTCCAGAACGCCCGCGGACCCTCTTCACGCATGATCTTCCTCGTGGCATCCAGCACGCCCGTGTACGTCGTCTGGCCCGAACGCGCCACCACCTGAAGACGCGTCTTGATGACATCGGCGGGCGTCACCAGAGACGCCGCCGGAACACCGGCAATGGCGCCGGCGGCGAGCAGAGTCAGCGGATGATTGTACCTGCAAACAATGACGAATTCACGTGAGTCTCACACGTTTTACTGGCGTGCAAATGGAGTGATAATGGCATTAGTGGTTGTAATGGCTGTTTATGCGTATCAAAACGGCGTTAAAATTGTGCACGCGATTGTGGTTAATGAGTGGCAAGATTTTAGGGCACTGTTAAGCTAACGTATTCCATTTTCATTGATGTACTTAAAGTGTTTCATAGCAGTACTTTTGATACTTTGTGTGTGTTTTTTTTTTGCTTTATTTTTATCTGCACAACAAAGTTCTGAATCTCTAGATTTGGTGCAAAACTCAACGTTTAATTGATATTTCTAATGCTTTTCTACAATAAAGCGATGAAATATTATCAGAAAACAACAATTATTTGCATTTCAGCTAGAAAAATGAGTGTTTTTGTCAATATTTTACGAAGTATAATGGTAATTCAAGCTCTTGACTTAACACTTGACTTCCCAAGACTGTTCTTCAAGACGTTTTACAGTCAAATTGTAATAAATCAATCAATTTCTATGAAATGAAGAAGTTTTATTTGAGTTCTTTTGCTATTTTCACCCATTTTAATGACTCAATTTGTGCTTTTAAATCATATCCAGTCAAAAAAAACTGTCACGTAAAGCACAATTTGGCAAATTTCAATGCGATTCACATCGTGAATTTCAACGTGAAGGACTTTGAAAGTGTCTGGAATGGAACTCACCCATCCTCATCAGCAAACATGGCTTTTGTGTGCGCGTAGGCGGGAAAGTAGATGGCAGAGAAGGGAACATCGCGCAGGAAGCACGCCCTGGCGCCCTTGTACAGCCCAAACAATCCCAGATCCTTCACCACACTCAAGGCGCGCACCTTGGCGCCGCCGGCAATCTCTCCCGCCACTTGCAGTCGAATCTTGACAATCTCCAGCGGATTGGTGAAGATGACTTGACTGCCGCCGGCACAGGCGCCGGCCAGCACCTCTCCGTACAACGGCACGACGCCCTTGTCGCCAATCTTGTCCCTCACGAAGTCATTGACAGTGAGCTTGATGGCCTTCTCCGGCGCAACGCCGACCAACTGCGGCACCAGGCCGCGATACAGGCCCAGAACGCCCTCGTGGCGGATGACTTTCTTGAAGCAATCCCAGGAATTTCGGTACGCCACCTCGCCAATGAACGATCCCGTTCGCTGATTCTGCATTCGTGTCTTCACCAAATCAATTGGATACACCGCCGTGGCGCCGGCGGCACCGGCAATCGAGCCCAGCGTGAAACGATACGCGCTCTCGAGTATTTGAATGAGAAAACTCCGATCGTCCGGACTGGAGACGGCCTTAATTTCCGCCAAGCGATGTGTCATATGCTTAGCATAATGCTCAGGTGCGATATTGCTCAGATCACTGTAAACTATTCGCCTGCAAGAAATCAGAGAGAGAAAGAGAAAAAGTCATGCAATTGAACACATGATAAATTCACAAAATGATGAATTTAATTTTTACATCAAGGATTTTACAGGGGAAATTTCACGCAAGACTTTTTATATAACATTTTACAAAAAAAATTCCATACAAAATCTATAATAATAGCACTAAATTCTTCGAGCTTCCAACATTTCTGTGGTGCACAAAAATCAAGACACAAAACGGGATAACAAGACAAAAAAACGTGTGCCGTCAAGACATGTGAAAGAAAATCAAACTAAACGTGGATTATTCCATACACTTGCCTATTCTTGTCAATTTTTCTTAATTTCCACCAACTTTTGGGAAGCATTTTAAAGAAAAAACACAGAGAGAGAGTGAATGGGAAATTGTATTAACAAATCAGTTGACAAAATATCTTCCGCATTATTATATCAATCAATCAACAGATTACAAGAGAGTAGAAGAGAGTAAGAGATAGAGAAGAATCCTCAAGAGATAGATTAAATTGGAAAGAGAGTCTTTTTTTCCGTCTCACCACAAGAAAAACTTAAACTCACCCAGTTTGATGAATCACACCGGACATTTGGAAGAGAATATCAATTTCTAGTGGCGTAATTTGGCTCATAATTTGTGCTGAATGCAACAATTCATCCTTCGTTATGGGCTGTATTCGATTGCCATTCGTTGCATTGAGGTAGATGCGCTTAATCAACTCCATGTTGTTCAGCAGAGAGTTGAATGCCATGAAATACGGGTAACTCACTTTCTTCCCTTCAGTAATCTGCCCGGAGAGAGAAAGAAAGAAAAGTGCGCCAGCAATAAATCATCTCCGCATTCTCGAGTACGAAATTTCCAATCATTTTACTCACAGCAACGAGGTTGTCTTTCACCTCAGGCGCCAACAAGTGCTTCTTCACCTTCACCATGATATCCTTGAAGTCCAGCGGCGAAATGTAGCCCGATCCCGTGGGATCCTTGCTGTGGAACGCCTCCATGGCGTACTCCTCGTGGAAATCGTGCAGGAATTGACTGAACTCCGCATAGTTTATGGCTCGTTGCTTCGTCTTCCCAAAATACCTCTCCATGAACGATCCATCGAGCTTCAGTGGCAGTTTTGCGTACAGCGTTGTCTTCTTTATCACATCCACGAAATCCGCTGCAATTGAGAAAGAAATGCACACAAGATTTCTAACTAAATTAACTCAATAAGAATTGTTTTCTTAAGGCTAATCTCTTAAAACACCGGTTAAGAAGGGAATTTAACATGGAAATTTGTGAATTTCTGAAGTTTCTTCAGCCTTTCTAGTATCCAAAATGACCTGCGTAAATTGAAAATTGATTTCAATCAATCTTTCAGTAGTTTTGAGGCTCAAAAGGACAGAAAATGAAACATTTTTGGCAGTTTTAAGGCTAAAAAGGACAGAAAATGAAGCCTTTTCTGCACTTTTCAGTTTGATTAGACGAAAAAAAAATCAAATTAAAGGATAAAATTTTATATTTCCCACCGTTTTAAAGCTATTTTGATGAGATATTTGCAATGTTTTTCGATATTTTAATAAATCTCTCCCAATTTTTCTTATCATTTCATGAATCTTTATGTAAGAAATGGATATTAATCACTTTTTGTCCAATATTTTCCTCAACATTTGTCAGAGAAGTAGTCAAAATTGAAGAAAACTGCTATTAATTTCATTATTAATCAAATTTCTCAATTTTCCACTCAAGATTCACTACGAAAGTCACTTATTCACCCTTTGAACAATAAGATGTGTTTATTAACACGCTTGTTTTCCATCTCAACTAAAAAAAAAACTACTTGATAATAAATTATGTTGGAAAATTTCGACCTTCACACAACATTTTCACAGTGAGATAATCAGAAGTACAGCAGAATGTCGAGTCTGTGCGACAGAGTAAATATTTACCATATGCAACTGTGCCATTGCCTTGTGTGTCGAACAGCTGAAAGGCTGTCTTGTACAGAGCGTCTGGCGTGCAGAGGAGGCCCTCGAAGGCCTGAAACTCCGCAAATGAGATGAGTCCATCCTTGCTGGTGTCTGCAATGCCGGCCAGAAGTTTCACCGATTCCTGAGAAAATTAAATAACAGAGAAAGTGTGTGAAAAAATACTACGTAAAAATATTTCCCTTATCACTTATCACACTCATTCCACTCATTCAATGAATCAACGTGGTCTACATATCGGCGCACTCTCGTGTTTATCTCTCCCTCTCTCTCGACTCTGTCTCACCGATCAGAGTCAATGAATTCATTTATATCACGCACTCACGTCGTAATTCCGGCGTGCTTTTCATTGAAGTCTTGTGACGCGTGTCCAGAGGTCAGTGGAAAAGATCTACAAACTGTGTGTGCTTGGCTCACCTCATGAAATCCCGCGTCCGGAAAGAGTCCCAGGAATCCTCTCGCGAAGTCATCGCTGGTCATAAAGTGCTTCCCATCTTTCTGTTGTGATGCATATCTTAAGAAGACTTCTCGCAATTTCTCCGTCGACGCACGCTTTATATGTGTTGGTCCCTGAAAAAGACACCGAAAGTCATCATCTAAAATGCACACAAAATCCACTTCTTTGACCCAAAATACCCATTTTCTAATTGGCATTATATTTCCCTGGAAGCTAATTTGATTGATTAAACAATGAGGGGAAAAAAAGAAAGAACAGAAGCGCCTTGAAACCACCTCAACAACGTGAAAACTGTCGTCCAACTAAACTCTTTATCGTGTCTCTCTTGTCAACCCCAGAATGTGCGCTTCTTTCCAGACAAACACACACATTTTCAATGATAATCATACATTTTTTACGTTCCATTTTCACTTGATTCCATTCGGCATCACAACGCGACATGGAAAATATCGTCTCAAACTTTGCGCCCTTTTCGCTTTGGTGTAATTTATTAGAGACTTAAATAAACGTTCTTTTCAGACTGTTTTTATTTGGTTTAGAGAAATTTAACGCCTAATTTTATTTGTCATTTTTTCTTCCACTTTTATTGATGTATTTTATGATTTATTGTGCATTAAATCTCTCTAAAGTGTTAGTTTTTCTGTGTCCAATTTTAATTTCACGATCAATTTAACTTTCTTCAATGAATCTTAATCATTTTATCAGTGTTGATGTGTAGAAAATTGCTTGATAAATAGGAAAAATCTCCCATCTAATTAGCGGGGAATTTTTTTGCGCGTTGTTTACAGCGCGAATGACAATTTTTGTCACTCACGAAGGCGATAAAATTGGGTCAAGTGCAAGAGTGCAAATAAAATCTAATTTAAAACGCTCTTTACCGGCGCTGTTTCTTTATTCATCCTAAAAAAAAATAAACTTCACAGGCAATTTCGACGCTTTATCGACACGAGAATTTTGTCACTTTCTCAAGAGATTTTCCAGAAACTTTTCATTTATTACGTTTGGCTTTCTGCAATTTCACATCAATTTTTACAAAGAGCGAGAGAAGGAAAAACTTTGGCTGAATTTGAGAGGCAATTCGAGATGTGTGATAAAGTGAGTGTTTGTGGGTGAGAGGAAAGAGAAAAAGCGTGTGATAATACGCAACAGGGTGTATAAAATGGAAAGGAAGTCATTTCTTCACACAGAACAATTGGGAAAATATGGAAAAATACTCGATAAGATAGTAATTCTAGTGATTATGTATGGTTAGAAGTGATTTTCACGTCAAACTTGGCAATTTAAGAACACTTTGAAGCTCCATAAGCACTTATTTGGCATGATTTTCCCTCTCAATTAAATTTGCCATTGAGAGGAAAATACAGTCGGAAGTGAAAACATTACAGCATCTCAAGTGGAACTTTCACCGAACCCTGTGTGCATTTAAGAACATCAGACTTGGACAAACAATCGTGGCTGTTTTAATCTCTTGCCTTCACACATTCGCTGCGTGATCTAATAATATTAGAAAATTCATTCTTTAAATATAAACTTTATAAGAAGACATCTCAATCTCTCTTTCTCACTCTCTTGAAGCGCTTGATTTGTCTCCGCAGGAATTACATAAGTTTGTCACGTTGATGTGATTTCGTATGGATTTTTCGGCAGAACAGCGCGCGCGATTGCCGGAGTTGCATCGCAAGGTGGTCTCAATTGCATAATGACCCTGAATACCGATCAAATAGGCGCGCGAGAGAGCACACAATTGCACACAGTTACTAATGACAACCGACTATCTTGTTGCTTCTCTGCCTGCAAAACGAGGCACAAGGTCAGTATAGATTAAATGCATGCGTGCAGCACGATTTTCAGTGGTTGCAGAAAAACACCCCCTTTAAATCCCGACAATTTCCTTCCTTCCTTCCTTCCGGAAGCCGCTGTGTGAACACACCTCCGGTGGCGAAGGCACTTTTGGCGTCGCCTCCGCGACAGCTGAAGTCATGTCTCTGGTGATCAGTCGTCGGGAAAGGGATTTCCTTGGCCACAACAACACAGAAACACACGCACAGACACTCTTTAATTGGCTGCTCAACAGCTGGAAAAAGAGTCACTCTTGCACGGACTGTTCGTGCTGGGAAATCACACGCAGATTGAAATCTACTGGAGCGCGCGGAGCATTTTCCTCACGGCGACTTTGCAGAGCCACTTGCAACTCCTTCAGCCAATGTCCCGCACATTACTACACTCGCGCGGGTGCGCTCAAGTGTAATAGTTGAGAACGGAAATATCTCTGTGTATAGTTTTGGTGTGTTTCTCATCCGCGATGACGCGATGTTTGCGCTAATACATTTTATTTATTTCCAACTCTCCTCTGTGAGGCCTCAATTTTTCACATTGCACACACTGACTTTTCCCCGCGCGCGATGCACTTTTCTGCCGCCGCCGCACGTCACGAACGTCAGGCCATATTATACTGTTATCGCGACACCCCAAAGAGACAGAGATCTTCACCCTGAAACGGAGGAAAACAACCGCCCAGAGACACCGGATTCAATAACAAAGTCATAGAAAATTATAGTTTTCGATGAGAAAAACCTCAAATAGAGAGTTAATTAATCTCTGCAGAATTGTAGAAAATATATTCAGAGATTAATTAATCGTTTATTGGGAGGAAAAACTTTCTATCGCACCGCAAAAGTGCATAAAAAGTTTTTGAATTTTCACTTCAAAACGTGAGGAAATTGGAAAAGAAGAGAAAAAAAAATGAAGAGAGATTGCTAAAATCACTCCAAACAAGGTGAAAATTGTGTAAAAAGAGAAAACTCTGGTGTAGTGTGAAAAAATATTAATGATACATTTCACACCAATGTTTCACTATCGATCATGACCATGGAATTGAAGACTTAGCAATTTTAGAACAGAGGAAAAGAGACATTGAATAAGTAGTTTAAATAAATATTAAATAAATGATTGCAATTTTTATATGATTAATTAACAATTTCAATACCAAACGGAATAAAACTGTTTTTCACTTATTTATTCATTAAATAATTCTGAAAGCTTTAACGTCTGAAGATATCTTAATTTTTTCTCTATTTTTTACATTGGTTTATAGGAAAAAGGAATAAATATTTTATAGAGAAACTGTCAGTATTGCTAAATTCTCATAAATTGAATGAAATTATGAGTATAAAAATTAGTTTTAGACGCATTTTTACACTTTTTAATGTTCATTTGCTTAAGAAGAATTAAGAGCAATTCTGAGATGAAAGCAAGATTTAAATAGTTCGAATTTAGACAATAATTTTTGAGATTATAATCATTATTCGAAATACACTATTTGAGGGTCAATTTGAGCGAAAATAATTCAAATGTACGAAAATTCTCACCCGGAAAAGTAGAATTTCAAGCGAACTAAGAAGCCATTTTAGCCATTTAAGAACCGAGAACTTATTCTAAGAATGTTCTTCAGTGTCAACAATAGAAATTGTCTACGCGGTCGACAATCCTTCCCTGCCATTGAGTCGCGTAATCTGCGCTCATCCGTGGCCACATGCAAGGCAGCAAAAAGCAAATACTCCCAATATTTGCCGTCTGATAAGATTGTGGGAACATTCGAAGAGATTTCGCCCATCTCAAGATTCCTCAGCCGGAGAATCGCTTATCAGCGATGATTGTGGCAATTTTCCCTGATAACAAGTGCATTCGGGAGTGAATGCAGGAGCTTCACAGAGAGAGTCTGGGACAAAGGAGGAATTCGCGAGTTCTTCTTCTCACGGTGTTTTCTTGGCGTTTCTTGGGCGGCTGACAATTGCCACGTTCAAGGTTCTTTCCGCCCATCAGAAGCGCCGCCGCCCGGCACTGATTTGCTGGCGCTTCCCAATTCCCAAAGCCACTTATCCAATTTGCTTCAGCTTCTGCGGCATTGTTTACCTCTTGGCAATCAGCTTGGCGAAAGAAAGATAATAAATCACAGGGCATTGCTTGCAGCAGCACACAAAGTGTAACCTCAAAAGAAGGCCGAAGAAGCTCGGGCAGAATTTAAGCACTTTTTACCACTTAATTAATTCAATTACGGCTCCTGCTCACTTCACTGGAGCACGTGTGACATCCACGCTGGAATGTGACGATATGATTTTGTGCTGTATCACAGAAATTACACGGAATTTATCAGGAGATCACGCGACACTGAGATTTTTCAGGTGCAAATACTGCAAAACGTCAAAGGTCAAATGCAATTTCTAGTTAGAACATTTTTCCGGTAAGAGGCGCTGAGAACAGTTTAGCCGAGACACATTTTCTATTATCTCGTTCAAAATTCTCTGCAAATTCTGATAAAATACAAGTTTTTTCCTATAATTCTGCATATAAATCACAAGTAAAATGAGTAAAATTCATTGCAAAAGAAATCCCTATAAATTTAAACACAAAACGATTTTTATTGTACATCTAAAATCCATAAATAATCCTTTCGTCGTCACAGAGTTCAATGTAATAGTAATTTTTTCCTCTTTTTTGTGGAGTATCTCGATGTACCGGCACAAATCGATAGTTTCATCGAAACCTTTGGTACAACCTCGTGAAAAATTCATCACGGTTTTTCACACGTTAGCATCCTTGCGTGAATTTCAGCGCACTTCACTTGTTTAAAGCACAGAGAGTAATTTGTTAAAAGCACTTAATATTAATCAGCGACAATTGGCAGCGAAACTACCTTCTCAGATCCACAACTTCAATCTTCAAACTATCACTCAGGCTGATGTGCTGCGCCTCCTGGAATATTCAAATGGTTTAATACTGTTTCTTAGATCAAAAAGACAGTCAAAAACGCACCATGAACAGTGGCGGATCGTTGGGATGCGGATGGAATCCCGTTTGTCGACACTGCGCGATGAATTCCAGTCCATAGTTGGGCGTGAGGCAGAAGAATCCGGTCCTGTGCATGGAAAGCAAAGCGATTAATCGCACATGTTGATTGATTAGGCAATCAGGCGCTTACTCTTGATACTTGGGCGCACACACGATGGCCAATGCCTCGGGCATCATCATCTGATAAGAGCAGTGAGTGTGCAAGTCCACCGAAGACAGAAAGGCCGTCTGACTCGGATGGGTCTGGAAGCAGAGACAGAGAGAGTTAGAGTGACGAAAAGTGACTCATTGTTGACGAGAAGTGCACGCGAGAAGCGCTGAGAATGACTCAAACGACAGCAAATTGGAATATCAAGTCGTTTTGCGGGCCATTTAAGATTATATGAATGTAAAAACCGCAAAAACATTTGATAAGTCAATGCGTGGATTCGACGGGAGAAGTGAAAATTGAGAAAAGTCGACTTTTTATGCACTTTTACGAAACTTGAGTCAAGAACTCAGTTAGAAATCAATCAAAACAGAGAAAAATCAGCACTTTAAGGCACGATTAGAATGAGAAATCATCAAAAGCGCCGATAAATCGGCTTAAACGCCTTCAAAACACGAACAGATCAAATATTAATGTTCTAAAAAGTGGTAAAAATACTTCTCAAAAGAAAGTGTGACCCTATTTTAGAGACAATTGAACTCAGAGTGAGTTAAGAAAGAAGGTCATCTCGTTAATAAAAATTGTCTTCTTATCACTGAACGCAGTGGAGATGATATCAAAGGGGAAAAACGCTCCAGCAGAGAGAGCAATCTTTGCGGATGATTCACTGGGAAACTCACGTGAATCCAGCCCAGCGTGATGAGATTGTGCTGATCCTGCACGTCGAAGATCTCCTCCTCGTTCATCGTGTTGCAGCTGTCCGACGTGCCCTTCTGCTTGGGCAGGATCATGTGCGTGAGGAGGAGTTGATTGTGCGCCAGGCGGCCGGCCAGGATGGCGCACGTCTCCACGTTGGCCTGCGTGTTGCTCTTGGCCAGGTCCAGGAAGCTGGCCATGGTGTCGATGGGCACCACGACGGTGCGCAGCACGCCGTCGAGCAGACTGGAGGACGAGGAGGGCTTGAGGTTGCGGTCGAAGCGCGGCTTCTTGTCCGACTCCGGCAGAATCAGTCCGCTGGAGCTGGAGCGATTGGGATCTGAGGGAAAGTCGTTCGGATACACGATGTTGTCCAGCAGTTCAGCATTTGGGGCGCTCGGGGCGTATTCTTGCCCGACGGCACCGCTCGTGGCGGCCGGCGGGAGGCTGTTCTTGGCCCGTTCGCGCGCCGCCGCCGCCTCCTTGGCACGCTCAGCCTCCTTGTTGGCCAGGAATTGCGTGTATTCCTTCTCATAGCGCGCCAGCAGCGTGACCTTCAGCTTCTCCGTCACCGGCAGCACCTCCTTCAGCTTCGCCTGGTTCTGTTGCTTCGTGGCCGCCGGCACGCTCTTGTATTCCGGATGCGACTTAATGCGCTCGATGAACAGCGTCATGAACTTCATGTAAAGAATGTACGCGTCCTCCAGATTGCCCTCGGACAGATACACGTGCGCCATCCGCACCATCTCCATGCCCGAGCGGTAGTACCTGATTGGAGGGGAAAGGGGGATTAGTCATCCTTGCGAATTTAGGTCAACACTCGCTGACCCGCGGAAGCTTCGCGCTTACCTGCGAATGGGAATGTTGAGGTCGATTTCCGAGAGGTTCCCGTGATTGGCGAGCTTCTTCAGTCTCGCGTGCGGCTCCACGATGCCAAATTCCACGAAATTCACCTTCTTTGACATCTCGACTCGCGCTGAGGAATAAATAAACTGCACTAAAAGCCTCTTCCGAGGTTTCACTGTTTTCTTTCCGTCTTCACGTGAACGCCAAATGAGACAAAGCAGCCACAGATATTGCAATCCAGCGCGAGTGTTGAAGCCTGGATTTTAGTGTTGATAGTCCAGAAAATGGGCAGCAAAGAATCATATTTTCTTCATTCACACGATCTTAATTCATTTCGCCTTGACTTGAATGTCAAAAATCACTGTAATTTGAGATAATCTCACGAAACTAGCGATGGTTATCGTACAAATCACAAATTTTGCCACACAAAAATGCGTTATTGCGTATTTTCTATGTTTGCGATGTTTTCTTCGGCTCTCGTCGTGCCGCATTCGACTGTCCGAACTGTCAGAGCGAATAATAAACAAAGATGTCGTGTCGACAGGTTTACAAGTTGCTAAACTTGTGTAATCGCCTGGAAAAAGTGAATTTCCTGCGGAGAAATGTGGCTATTTTGTCCCAACGAATGTTCCTCAGTTCACGACAATCACCTGTACACAGTGCCTCAGTCATTAGAGTCCCGGTGAGACACAAATACACCGGGAAGGGAAAGGCAAGCGGCAGCAAAGATGAGGTTAGGTCAGAGAGAATCTTTCTTTGGGCACATTTCTCACCACTTTTGCTCCCTTTCAGGACTCTGACAGTGATGCTGATGAACTCGAGGAGCTCCAGGAGAATGACAAGAATCTAATTAAGTCATCAGTGACGTCCTTGCGAGCTGATTTGCTGATAAGAACTGGATTGGGAACGGCAAGAAAGTGAGCATGATAAGCGAGAGAGTTTTCCGGGGAAAAGTTACTGATAGAGTTTTTGTCTTTGGCAGCAAAGTGGAGACGAAATTCTACGAGGGAAAGATTCGTGTGAATGGTAAGAAGATTCCCAAGAAGAGCTACCATGTGAAGGTGGGAGATGAGATTGATGTGATTAAGAATGTGAGTCCCAACAATCCGGAACACTTGGTGATTTCGAGGCTTGAACTTGTGTCGGCCACTCCCAAGGAGGAGAGCATCTCTGTGCTCTTGAGGCGCTTCAAGACGCTGGTGGTGGACAACTACGACGAGAGGGATGCGTACAAAGAGTCTGATAAGTCCGAAGGCTGAGGGAAGATCGGTTTAAGCGAAGAGTAGTTGAAATAAGAGCCATAAAGTTCTTCCAAAAGTCATTTTAATCATACTTGAAGGGGGCGTCGAAAAAGGGTCGCGTTAGGGTGAATTTGAGGCCATCCACTGCTCCGCTGCTGTTGGCTCTGGTCGCGATGTAGGACAAGTGCGCCGTCTTGTCCGGATAGAAGACCATCGTTTGGACGCAAACAGCCATGCAGATGCCATAGATGAGGCCGCTGAGCGGCAGTTTGTTCACTTCCCTCACCGCTTTGGGGCAATTCTCCTGCGCTAGCAGATATTGCCAGTAAACCTGAAGCATTGTCACGATGCACGTGGTGAAGAGATTGTAGTTCGGCCAAACGGCATAAGCCAAACCGCCCGCAAATCCCGCCGCTATGTTCACGAAGTCCACACTGTGTCCGCTTGTGTAATTCTTCAGCAGGCAACTCGTGAGTCTGTAGCAGCCGATGTAAGCCATGAGGAAGGTCACGAGATTGTAGTTGATGCGCTTTGTGGCCAGCGTGAGGAATTGACTGGGATTGCTCTTGATTCTGCCCAAATTCGCGGTGATATTTCGCAGAATTTCCAACATCAATCCGTAGTTTGCATAGGTTCTCATGCCCTGAAGGATGAAACTCACGCACTTCTCCTTGTGTGTGCAGAGCGTGACGATTTTGCGCACGTCCTCTTCATTGGGCGTTTCGACATTTGTGGATTTGGTGATTTTTGGTGGAATTATGAACCAAAATACGCCCGTCTTGCGCTGTTTTGCCAGCAAATGCAGCAATCCAGCACTGCCACACATGAACCACAGTGTTCCCCACCATTTGGACTTCCGCATCGACTTCATGCAGTCGAAATCCATGAATTTTATGAGGATCTCAAAGAACTGCAAGATATATTAATCCGGTCAAAGCCCCGCTTCTTGCTGCTTAGCAATCAATAGAAATTGAACCACAATTGTGGGGAAAGAAACGCTGAAAGTCACTTACCATGCAAGCGAAAGGATTGGCGTGACCCACGATTGCATTGTTGGGCAGCAAATTCACTGTTTGAGCGCCCAAAAATGTGGGAATCAGAACTGTTGTTGAGTAGTAGCATCGCTTGAAGATGTTGCTGAAATGCAAGATAATTCGGTGTAATTTAACACTTAAGCACTGGCTTGAAGAACTTACTAGAAAATGCAGGACCAGGACATGGCGATGGCGAAGGAAACGTGTCCAATTGCCGAACACAGGAATATGTCGAAGATCCCTTTAAGGATTGCCTTCGTGTAGTTATCTTTGGTCTTCATCACCACTGAAATCTGAAAGCGCAAGGGAAAGATAAATGTGCTTTAAGTTTGTACATCATTTTGTGCCATTTTCACAATTCCTTAATCGTAATCTGATCAAGTTTAATTCGTCTTAAGAAAGGAAATGTTTCTGTCTTGATATTCAGTTGGAAACACTTTAAAAGAATCGAAAAAAAAAGATTCTTATCAAATTGTGAGGTTAGGAATCCTCTTTTTGATCCTTTTGAGGTTATCATAAGAGGATAAAAGGTTGTTATTACTTCAAACTAAGTTCAGATCTAGTTTTTTAAGCGAAAAATTACAAAAAGCTCCGGAAAAGGACATTATTTTCATACGTTAAGTCACTTTTGAGGTTATGTTTGACTTTAAAACATATTTTTCACTCCAAAACTACCATAATTCCGTAAGATTCTTAGCGTGAAATCTAAATTATAGCCATAAGAAGTGGAAATTATTCTAATTTCTGTGCAAGAATCACAAGAACTAATGTTTTAGCTATTTAAATTCAATTTAATTAGTCACATAACCTAGAAAAACATTAATATTGCTTTTTCTTAGCAAAATTGCCCAAAGACAGAAAAAAATGCGTTTATTTAATTTAAAAAGAACCTTTAAGAGCCAATTGTAGCACATGTTTGGATAATTTCATTTTTAAGATTCCCGTTGAACTGTACACCACTTTCAACTGTATTATCTCCCCCTTGGGAAAGACACGAAAAACTCTACCGAACTTTACGAATTTACCATAATTGCGGGAAAGAAGAACTTCACACCGTCAAACGACCAATTTGCCATGTAGTCCAGGAAGGATTGTCCACAGCTGGTGCTCCAGGGATGGATGAGATCCTGACAAGTCCATCCCTTCAGTATCTCATTGACGTATTTGCTGTAGGTCGTCATATTAGCCACAGAACAAGTTGATTGCGCGGTTGGGAATTCACTGAAGAAAGTGTGGCCAAAGCTCAGAGAGTTGCAGTTAATCTAATTAGACGGTGTTTTTGCAGGGTGTAATTATCACTAAATGGCCGAAAGTGGTGAGCAAAAGGAGTGGCGGATAGGAGAACATTTTATTTGCTAATCACATGCAAATGCATCAACAAATTCGAGCGACGCGCGGTCTTCGTGCTCTATGCCAGACCCATTAGCATTGTAGCATAAGACTCTGCCAGCGTGTCGCTTCTCTTCTGTGTGGCGATTGTCATGATTTGGTAGACGTACTTGGGCGTCTCGCCGGGGTTGAAGACGCGACATTGGTAGAGGAAGGCCGAGGCGAAGGCGTAGATGAGTGTGCTGAAGGGCACTTTGTTGAGGAACTGGATGACTCTGGGCTTCTGCTCAGCGGTCTGATTGTAGTGCAGCCAGACGACTTGGATCATGCGACTGAGGCCGAATGAGAAGAAGACGTATTTGGGATAGAAGAGGAATGCAATGCCGGCGAGGAAGCCAGCAATTGTGCTGGTTTTCGGCGAATCAGTCTGCATGTGGCGATTTATGAGGCAATTGCACAGGCTGAAGAGACTCCCGAAGGACGAGAGGAAGAGGAAGAGTCTGTAGTCGAAGTTCTGCAGGAGTTTTGATAGGAAAGAGCCGCTGGAAGAGCTGCTGATGTGAGACACAATTGCTTTCAGCAGAGTCACCATTAGTCCGAAGGTTGTTGTGCGCTTCAATTCCTTGAATGTTTGATGAAGAATTCGATCAAAAAGAGGGATTTTTGGGTCTACAGAATTCTTACTTTCAACACAAAACTCTCACAGGATTCGTTGTGAGAGCAAATGTGTCTCGAAGTGCCGATAATCTTGTCCATCCAACCATTTCTGCCTTCGCGGAAGTGTGAAGTTGAGACATTGTTATCTCCAGGCGCGGGAATGTTGAAGAACCTGCAAAGATTTCATGCAATAAATATGGAAATTCCCTAATTTCATGTCAAATTTCACCAGAATTTCTTAACAGCGCACGACTTGTAAACATAAGCGATCACTGCACTGCAGATCTGAAACATAATTGTCGCGAAGATCGTTGATCTCTTCAGCACGCGAACAACATTGCTCTTGGATGAGCGGAGAAAGTACTCGAGAATCATATTGAAGCCGCCAATTGATTGCATTTCCCTGATGTTGGGCGGCAAGAAGTGGCAAAACAGTGATCCGGTGAGACATGGCAGGAACACAAAGATGCAGTGATGCTTCTTGAGGATGTTGCTGAAATGAAGATCACTCATTTCATCCACTGTCTTTAGCGCACATCACACAATTGTGTGGCTCACAAGAAATAGCAGAACGTGCCGAAGCCGAAGAAGACCATAAAGCACGATCCTGCCATGATGGAGCGCAAGTATTCGCGCAGGATCTTGCTCCAGAACTCCCAACTCCAGCGATCGTACTTCTGCAGCGCCGGAAGCACGATCACTGGGAAATAGTACTGCATACCGCCGATGATTCCATCGCGAAACGTGGTGAAGGCAAAGTGTTCACACGTGACGCCGGGATGTGTGAAGAAGTTGCAGGATTTCTCACCCAAATTCTCGTAGAAGAACTTACTAAAGCCCGCCATTGAGGAGGAGCTTTCCAAGGGGTTGTTTCGCGCTGAAGTGTGAAATGTAAACTGAAGATTGTCGTGTGAAGTTCGGCATCTTAATAAGAATGGTTCGGTGAATAATTAAGTACAGTCTTCCTGTGACGACAAATGTGTGTCGTATATATTACATTTTCACTGTCTCGTGAGCTTCATCAGCCAGCGTCACAACGAGACAGACTGAAGCTTCTTAAGAATTCGCTGAGAAGTGATATTTTGGGCCTTTTTCGAGGCTCAAAAGACACTTTTCGATCATTCAAGATAAGATTTTTCGTGCAAAAAGCCTGATTTTTGCAAATCAACAGTCAATTTTGGTATTTTTTCAAGGATTTTCAATGGTTTCCTTCAGCTTCAATCGATAAATTTGATCCTTAATTGCTGTTATTCATGATTTTCCAGCTTTGCCACTTCCATCAGTCCAAGATTGGACAGAGTGTGCTGCAAGCGACATCAACCTTGTGTGTTTGGGGCGATTGAATGAAATCAGTCGCTAATTACCTATTTGTTCTAATCAGTTCACTCCAATTGAATGTGACACCGAATGAATTGATTCCATTTATTTCTCTCTTTCTTGCAAAAATACATTAGATGTGCTTCTTCTGTGATTGAAAATGGCAAATACTCTAATCTTTTCCCACCACCAATTCTCAGTGGTAAAGTTATCTCTGGTTATTGTGGCAATTAGTTTGAGTTAGTGATTGGATTAGTCGACTTCTTCGACGGTTGGGCCGCGGCCGGAGGTGTTCTGGCCGCCCTGCGGCTGAGCCTGAGGTCCGCCGCCGTGCATCTTGGCCATCACGGGTCCGCACACGCGCTGAGTGTCCTTCAGGTGATCCTCGAACTCTTCCTTCTCTGCCAGTGTGTTGGAGTCCAGCCAGGACATCTCGGACTGGCACTTGTCCTTCACCGTCTGCTTGTCGGCGTCCGTCAGTTTGCCCTGCGGCGCCTCCTCGACAGCCTAGAAAGGGATCGGGTAATTATGAGTTTGTCCTGAAGATCTGGAGAATTGTGACTTACTTGCTTGCAGCTGAAGATGTAGCTCTCCAGGGCGTTCCTGGCGGAGATTCTCTGGCGCTGCTTCTCATCCTCGTCTCTGTACTTCTCCGCCTCCGACAGCATGCGATCGATCTCGGCCTTGGACAGGCGTCCCTTGTCGTTGGTGATCCGGATGTTCTCGGATCGACCGGTGCTGTTATCCTTCGCCGACACGTTCAGGATGCCGTCGGCGTTGAGATCGAAGGTCACTTCGATCTTGGGCACGCCTCGCGGTGCTGGCGGAATGCCGGTGAGATTGAAGGTGCCCAGGAGATTGTTGTCCTTCGTCATGGCGCGCTCGCCCTCGAACACCTGGATCGTGACGGCGTTCTGGTTGTCGCTGTATGTCGTGAATGTTTGCTGTTGCTTGCATGGAATCCGTGAGTTTCGCTCCACCAGCTTCGTCATGACGCCGCCGGCGGTCTCGATGCCCAGCGACAGCGGTGTCACGTCCACCAGCAGCACGTCCTTGATCTGGGAGCTGCTGTCGCCCGAGAGAATGGCGGCCTGGACGGCGGCTCCGTAGGCGACAGCCTCGTCGGGATTGATGGAGAGATTCAGGGCTTTGCCGCAGAAGAAGTCCTGCAGCATCTTCTGGATCTTCGGGATGCGCGTAGATCCGCCCACGAGGACGACGTCATGGATCTGACCCTTGTCCATCTTGGCGTCGGCCAGGGCTTTCTCCACGGGCGCCAGCGTCGATCGGAACAGATCCATGTTGAGCTCCTCGAAGCGCGCTCGCGTGATCTTCGCATAGAAATCCACGCCCTCGTGCAGGGCGTCGATCTCCAGAGAGGCTTCGGTGCTAGACGAGAGCGTCCTCTTGGCTCTCTCGCACGCCGTGCGCAGCCGACGAAGGGCTCTGGCGTTGCCCTTGAGATCCTTCTTGAACTTGCGCGTGAACTCCTCGGAGAAGTGATTCACGAGGCGATTGTCGAAGTCCTCGCCGCCGAGATGAGTGTCGCCGGCGGTGGATTTCACCTCGAACAGCGATCCCTCGTCGATGGACAGAATCGAGACGTCGAACGTTCCGCCGCCCAAGTCGAAGATCAGTACATTCCGCTCACCCTTGAGATTCTTGTCCAGTCCGTAAGCCAGAGCGGCCGCCGTGGGCTCGTTTATAATCCTCTGCACATTGAGGCCGGCAATGACGCCGGCGTCCTTGGTGGCCTGGCGCTGGGAGTCGTTGAAGTACGCCGGCACGGTGATCACGGCGTCGCTGACTTTGCCGCCCAGGTAAATCTCAGCCACTTCCTTCATCTTGATCAACACCATTGAGCTCACTTCCTCCGGAGCGAATCTCTTGCTCTCGCCCTTGAACTCCACCTGCAGCTTTGGCTTGCCGCAGTCGTTGACCACCTGGAAGGGCCAATGCTTCATGTCGTCCTGGATTTTGGGGTCGTCAAACTTGCGCCCGATCAGACGCTTGGCGTCGAAAATGGTGTTCTTGGGATTCATGGCGACCTGTTGAGGGAGAAAAAGGAGAATTTTCCACCTTTGAGCTTGTGTTTTATCCTTTAAATAGCGTAAGATTTATCTTTTTACCATCGTAAATTGACTTTTATTGCTCTTAAGAGAAGTTTATTGTACATAAAGTACATTAAATGTAAGAAATTCATCACACTTTGTGGTGTGTTTCTTGTCTTTTTCGTGAAATATTGCCTTTTTTGCACGTTTAAACCTACAAATTATTGAAAAGACAAGACAAAACAGTAGAAAATGATAAAAATGTCTTGAATAATCTTGTAAAGAATAACTGAATTGGGTGAAAAAGTCCAATATTTCATTCAATTAGCATAATTCTCTCATGATCTTTGACGGAGAGTCTCTTCGCGCTGCCGTGAAACTGCCAAATTTGCGTGATTCACTTAACTAAAAATAATGTGGATATTTTGGAGTTTGTGATGTAACATGAAGTATATTTTATATGAATCTTATTTTTAGTCTCTGTCGCTTTTTCTCACACAATAAAGAAAAAACCGAGCGAATTTTCTAGAGTTCCCTGAACTGAAGACACTTGATTAGGAGGGAAAAGAAATGCATTTTGGGGCTTTTTTCCGCCTGAGTTTGGATTCAAGCTCATCTCTGCACACCCACAAGAATAAGAAGAGTGTAATTGAGTGAATTGAGTGTATTTTGCATACGATTTGTGTGCGTGAATCTGGCGACGCTTCATCGCATCGTTTTATTCCATCTGTATGGCCGCGATTGAGTGATCAATACGCAGTGTGAGAGCGGTGAAATCATTTGGAAAAATGTGCTGAGGCGAATTTGCAATTGAATGGCCATATAGAATGTTTAGGTGTTGACATAATTAATTCAAATGTGCAACACTATAAATTTAATAAAGGCGCAATTCATCTCTCCTGTGCACAAATTGTATCTGCGAGTGATTAACACGTTGTTTTACCAGACATTACACCATATGCCAATGCCTCGGCATCGCCGAGAGACAGAGATGATAATCCCATAAATGGGAAAACAGTGGTGAGACGCACAGAGGCTCCGATTGCGCAATGACATGCGTTAATTGGTGGACTTCTGTGGCACCTGATGGTGCACTTTTTCTCACCTGATTCTTGGCCGCGTCGCCGATCAGACGCTCGGAGTCCGTGAACGCCACATAGCTGGGCGTCGTCCTGTTGCCCTGATCGTTTGCGATTATCTCGACTTTTCCATGCTGAAAGACACCCACGCAACTGTACGTTGTGCCCAAATCGATGCCAATTGCCGGAGTTTTTCCCATCTTAAATCACACCAACACTCTTTTGAGTAATTTGAGGAAGGATTTTAAAGGAGGATTTTTCTCAGCAGAATCCTTTACAATTCTTATTTATTGTAAGATGAGAACTTCACGATTTTCCACTGATCTCACAAAATCACCTCTTCGCGGTCGCGGTTCAAACAAAAATAGAGAATTCTTCACTATGTGCTTCAATTTATGCTGGATATAATCATGACTGTGTGAGTTTTAGTTGCGAAGCGTGAGCAGAAATTCACAGATATTGCAAATGAAGAGTTTTTTCAATTCGCCTCTCAATTTGTTCGCAGAGTTGAGACAGTTGGTGACGAAATGACTTGAAAAAATCACTTTCAAGACGCATTTTGATGCCTTCTAAGAACTGTGATGATTGAGAAGAAGTTTCCATCAAATTCTTGCTTTGGCTGAGATGCGAATCAAAGCCATTGAGAGTTTGACAGGGTTTATCCCGGCTTAATACACATGCATCGCGGAAAACACACAGTAAAACACTTGGTGAATTTGGTGGGAAATTCAGAGTTTACCTAACATTTTATTAATAAAGCTCATTGGTTTTTGTATTGAATGTATAGAGAATTTACTAGAATTCCTAACACACTAACAGCGCGTGAAATTGGACCGAAGATGTACATTTGAGAGCGCGCGAATAGTCAAAAAATGGTGCCTATAAATAGATGTCCGGAGAAGGTGATTTTTACTTTCTTCCTTTGCCCTTCTTCTTCTTCTTCTGCGCCTCTGGCCACGCGAAGCCTCTCGACTTGAGCACATCCTGACAATGTTGGAGAGAAAGTGTGTCTCGAGTATGTTTGTTCGTGAAACAATTGCGCCTCTCACCTGAACATTGTGGCAAACGAAGTAGGCATTCTCCATGGCGGCCTCGTTGAAGATGTCGCCCTGGAAACGGCCGCTCTTGGACTTGCTGGAGGACTTCTTGGACTTGCTCTTCGAGCCGCGGCGCTGCTCCTCGCCGTCTCCTTGGCCGTCGGATGAATCCTTGCTGTTGCGCTTCTTCTTGCTCTTCCCAGCCATTCTCTTCACTGACTTCGCGGAGGATTTTAGCACAATTCGCACACTCTTTTGTGTCTATCGATCCAACAAAGTCACGCTGTGCAATCAATATTTCCACCGCAATATCAACTTCTTCATCGCTGTCGTTAATGCATTAGCATTCCAGAGACTGTCGCAGTTTCGAGGATTCCTTACTTTCTTTGGAATGTGGAACTTTCGTGCAGGAAAAAGCTCAATTTTAGGAACTAACGAATAATACAATTTTATTTGACTAGTCAGAATTTTGCAACTGAACTTCATCACTTTTGCTACAGATGCATTTTTGGCACGAACATTTTTCCTACAATAAACTAACACAGATGAATTATTAGATTCTTTCCCAAAACGAAGTGCTCTCTTGAGATCGGGAAGCGCGGAAGAGTGAGTCTTGAGAGATGTTCTCTTAAGCTAATAGCGCTACAAAGAGACAGATGGCAAGCGCTGAGGAATATTTGACGGCGTCTGCAGATGAAACTTCCTCCTCGTACTCTGTGGGGGCGACGTAAATCAATGGGCGCGAGTTGAGAGGCTGAACGGTGCGGAAGTTGTGGGTGAGGATTGTGCCATTGTTGGTCTTGATGCTCTTAAAGCGCTCCAGCTGCTCAAAGGATATTGGCAGAGATTGAGTGAAAACTGTCCATTGAACCGCCTCGCCTGCAAGAGAGAGAGAGATGAAAAGCTGTGAGAAAGACTGGAAAAGCTTGCGGGAGAGAAAGATTCTTATGCAAAATGTCGATATTCCCGTCAAATATTCAATGCATCGAAACTATTTGTTGTTCTAATGAAAGTTGGCTTGACTTGCTAGAATCTTTACGATCCTGAAATAGAAATTGTGGGTTAACTATAGACTGATATTTGTATCTCAGACCAAATATCTCATGATCGTGCTTTCAAGTGTCTGGCTTTAATATCTGGCGGAGCTTTGAGTTGTTAATTTGAAGATAAATAAAGAATAGTTTAGAATTCTCTTTGCCACAATTTTGGATCATTTTTTCACTGCTTTCTGACCTTTTACAATAATATTTTGGGTCGAAAGTCACAGTCAATATTCTACTGGGGTTCCAAAGGGTGATTTTTCTTGCCATAAAACATCTTAAGCATCATCAATCAAGCGGCAATCAATCACGCTAATAAGCCTTCGCCGGCAAGCCTTTCTTACCACATCCGGGCGTGGTGAGCGAGCCCTCGTAGCGGAAGTACGCGTCCCGATTGCGGGGGAGCAAATCATCCGGCGAGAGTGGCTGCAGCAACACATCCGACATGCCCACCACATCCTTTGCCGTCGTGGCGCTGTCGAGGATGTTTTCCAGGTCAGGATTCGCCTGCGACGAGACGTAGAAGAGCACGCCGAGCACCGCAACGCCATTCCGCGTGGCCACGGCCTCTTGAATCGTGGGGAATTTGCTGTCGAAGTGCACCAAGTGCAGCTCCAGCGCATATCTGGGGGGTGAAAAACAAGGGGTTTTGTTCTATTTCCGACATCCCCATCGACGACACAAACATACCGGCGGCCGTTGATTGTGTGCTCGGAGCCCCAGTGAAAGTGCATTTGCTCCATGACGTACTGCTCGCTTGGCAAACCCCCACCGGAAAGCACCACATTTGGCGGCGATCCAACGTTAATTTGAACTGACGTTGGGAGGAGAGAAGATTCGCATTAGGTCTATGTCAAGTTCACACCTTGCATAACATATATCGAGTGGATCAATCAGCTCAGCGAGTCTCTCCTCGGCGAGCACGAGAGATGCGGGTAATTTGCAGAGAAGTGATAAGCTAGGGGTTGATAAATGTGGCGCAATCGAGCGTGATTCACGCTCATTTAAGCTGTAAAGACTGCGCTTCAAATGCTGCTATTGCAGACAATTCTATTTTCGCACAGGAAGATTTTATTCTTTAAGTGTCTCTGCGGAAAATTGTTAAATTTACATTCAATTTCACGTTTTGTGGTGATAAATGAGATGCTAAGAATGTGTTTAATCAATAACAGTTGAAATAGCTTCTATTGAGCGCAAATAGTATCAAAAAAGGTTAATTTGTACATTTTTAAATCATAAATATCAAAAAATTACCCTCCAAAGCACTTGTTGAGAGGCCAGCATGGCCAGAAAAACGTCAAACAATTTAAAACTCCATTTAAGGAAGAAAATGGACTTTATGAGCGTGAAAATCGCGTCTAAAGATTAAAAAAAAGGCGATAAAAGTCACGTTGATTTCTAAATAATCAAATTCATTTTTAAAATTCAGATTAAGACACAAAAGCGTGGCAATTTGCCGCCCTTTTTGGCGATGCCGGAGCAATAAATTTGAATAAATTGCATGGAGATGCGATGTGGACAATTGAGAAAACCGCAAACGAGTCAATTGATTTGTGAGTGTAGAAAACTTGTGTATAAACAAATTATAGATTTGATTAGTGACTTCAAGTGCTACTTTCGCTACCTAATTGACCCCGCACAGGCGATAAATTCTCACATCTTTCTTTTCGACTATCAACTTTACTCCTCTGCAAACAATTCAATTTGCATTCGCAATTGAATGATTGCGTCTCGTCAATGAGTCTTTGAGACACTCTATCAATTGCAAATTGCATTTCTTGGCACAGAAGAGTTCTTCGTGTGCGTGATTTCTACTCACTTGAGTGGCCGGTGTTGAGCACCTGCGCCCCCTTGATGGGCTCGTCGTAGTCCTCAAAATGCAGGAGTGGGAATTTGCCGCGAACGGACGCTCTGAACGACAGATCCACTGGACTCTGCTTCAGGCCCGTGTCGCACGCGCCGCCCCAGTTTTCCGGGCCTATATTTAATTACAAAGACGCAATATTTATCCCCTGAAAATTGCATGCAAATTTCATCGAGATTTTCGCACAAGTGTTTGTTTTATAAATAAAATTTATTGCTGCATATAATTTGTTGTTTATTGAGCAGCTCTCACATTCGAATTTACTTCTGACTTTAAGGACTTTTGAGAAAATAACATTTCATATGCACGGTTTGCAGATTGCGCGCTTGCAAGAAGGCAATAAACGCTTAATGCGTAACACGAGTTTAAATATAAAGCCAAAAGGCGTCTCACACTTCAGCTTTTCAGCTTCCAAAGCGAATTGACGATATTAATTATGTAAAAATTGTAACGAATTCGACGACTTTCTATACTTCACATGTCAATCAGAGCCATCGCGTCTATTTCTGATGCCCACAAAAGTTTCTCATTAGTGTATTTTTTGCAGTTTCACAGGGAATTTATGCTGAGATTTTTGTGGCAAAAGTCGTGAAATGTGAAGCACTTTTCACAGCAATATTTGAGTGGAATTTGAAAAATTTACTTTTATCACTCATTCCATTAATTGATCATATACTTTTTATGCTCTCTTTAATATCTCGACAGTTTCAATGCCATTCATGACAAACATTCTGAGCATCAAAGCATGTCAGAGGTTAAAGTGAAACCTGAAAGTGTTTACTTTGGCTCAAAGGATCAAAGGATCTTTGCAATATTCATGAACGAGCGCATCTCTGTCAAAAGCACTTCTCAGACGTTCTTTCTGCAATGCTTCACATGCACAATGCTTTTTTCCGGAGTGTAATTATATCTCTCACTAAACAGATCCATTTTTAATATCATTTTAATGAAAGTCCACGCGCTTGATGAGAATCTGAGAGAACAGTTCAGTGATTATTTGCATCACGAAAGAAATTATTATTGCTTCACTTGCTTTTATTGTCATGCTGAAAAATTGCATTTGCAGAGACGAAATGTTGCTGTAAATTTATCTCTTCGCATTTTTAAGGAGTTAAATTTGATGCGAATAATTTGTGCCAATTTGAGCAATTTCCTTTCTCATCCAGAGTTGCAATTTTTAGGATCTTCTTGAGGAGTGAAAAACAGGATGCAAGAAAATGATTGAATTAAACAGTCAGAGCTGACGAATTTGGACTTTTTTCAGCTCAATTTCATGACTTTGGAATAAATAACTCGAATAAACACGAATCAAACATTTGAATTTAATGTTTTAAATATAAAATGCCATTTAATCAATATGATTCTTGAACAGTCTTTGGCATTGATTTTATTAAATCATCATAAAGTTCTTCTAAAAAGCGTAAAAAAATATTTCAGCACATAAAACAGTGTATTTTCTTTGTCGTCTAACTATATTTCACCTCTTTTTGCTTAAAATCAAACACTTTATTCTTGTCTCAGTCTTGGCAGAAGAGCGGAGATTTGTGGCTGTCGTAAATGTAGGTGAATTTCATTATCCGGACAATTGGGGCGTTTGTCCATTGAGTGAGTAAATCTTGCAACGATTGGACAGAATCACTGGTGATAAGAGCAATTTACCAATATATTATTCCATTTGTCAACGACTTCGCAACAGCCCTGCTGAGTCTCCGCTCTTGGCCGTGACTGAGCAAAGATCAGCGTTATCAGCAGTGCAGATAAGGAGTGCATTAGACTTACCAACGACTTCGCCATTGGGCCTGGGCGTGGGATATCCCCAGTGGGAGGCGAAGCTGACGCCGCTGGCTGAAAGTCAAAGGGAGAGTTTCTGAGTCTCTTCATCATGGGAAATCTCTGAAATATGCAACTAGTGCAGAGATGAAGAGCGTGAGTCAAAGGAAATGCGGCGATTTCTGCATTCTCACGAGATTATGCTATTCTTCGCATGCAAATTGCATGGCAAATTGCTCTGGATAGTGTAAATTTCCTGGCCACAGGAAGTGAAATTGACGATAATTGGTCTCACTTGGGGATTTATTGTTGTCGCTCGCGGAAATAAGCGATGATATTTCAAGAAGCAAAAATATATTAAAATGCTCTCTAAAATTAGACATCTCTTTCTCAGTAAATTGCGGAAAAAAACAGAATTTTTTCACCCTATAAATTCACGATTGCCTGATAAAAGACCTCAGAAGAAATTCTTGCAGATTATGCTAAAGCGATGGAGTTGCGGAAGAGACACACGTTTTCGGTTTTTATTGCATTTTACACCGCAAAGCAAGAAAATGTATTATTATACAATTGTTTTATGGTGATGGAGCCAAAAGAAGATTTACGAGCGCCAAGAAAAACACACTTAATCTTATCATTGGGCATCATCTATGCAGAAAATGGGACCAAATATCATGCTGATGACGAAAATATGGGGCTTTTAAGGAGTCTCGATGGCTGATGCAGAAGATCCGGGCAGAAAATGTCGCATTCTGAATGGATGGTTTTATTGGTTTTAATGCATTTCATGAGCATTTGGAATGTTTTGTCAATAGGAAAATCATGAAATGGAAATACTTAAAGTGACAATAAATTTTAGTGTGAAAGAAAATAGCTAAACATTAATATTTGTCATGTTTGCATAAAGAGGAACAGGAAAATGAATTATTCAAACATTTATGGGGAAATAATTACTAATTAAACTTCTATTTTGCACATCTTTTGCTCTTTTGCGGCACCAATTATTCCCTCTAATTTTTTTCTTATTGATTCGGCATTTTCTGCACTGATTTGTGAGCCTAATTTGCACATTCACGCACCTGAACACAACAGCAAGACCGCTAAATGCCACATTTTCCTGCGGTAATTTTTTCCTAATTTGCAATGCTCTCGAGAACTATCGAGGATTCACACGCGCTTTCCCTGAAACTTCCGACAAGCACAGATCTCAGAACCGCTCCGAGCATCCACTGTTCTGCATCTGAGCGCGCGTTCTGCAGTGAACTAAGCTGTGGGGAGAAAATCTGAGGGCTTTTATATAATCATCAACTGCTGAGCATTTGAGATATGGCGAGTTCTGGCGATGAAGGCGGCATTCTCGTGACACTTTTGCATTATGCCTGCGGAATAGTGCAGAAATTTGATTGACTCACGGGGCGGAGGGGGTGCAAAAGAATGCCGGTGGGCGCAAAGGGTGGGAAAAATGAAATTGCGGTGAGTGAGAATGTGATGCAAACCGTTGGGGCGTTTTTAAAAGGGAGAAAAAACATAGAATAGTGGGCAGCTTTGGCCGTGTTGTGCACAGATGGCGCGTCGCGGGCGATTGTCAGTGCAGTTCCACGACTCGTCGCTGTTTGGCGAATGCGCTGCGTGCAGTAGTGAAAAACAAAAAAAAGCTTGAAAAATGGACGAACTAGCGGTGGAAGTTTGTGGCGAAAATGGAGCATATTATAAGGTGTGTGGGCCCCAGGAGTGCTGTCGGGGGAGTGAAGAGTGCGTGAAGTACGGCCGGGGCACGGCGTGGGGGCGCTCACGCGGCCGCTTGGGTGTGAAAGAGCGACCGGCAAATGGCAGCATTGCGAGTGGAGACGTGTGTGACGCCGCCATGTCCGTGTCCGGAATGTGACAGGGCGTGAATATTTTCTCTCGCCCAGCGAGTGCGGCGCGCTCGAGGGGGCCGCGGCGGGCGGGGGGAGGGCGCAGGGCGCCTCCACTGGGCACCGGGCGGCGCGAGGGCGCGCCCCGGCGCCCGCGGAGGCCGCGCGGTCCGGGAGTTGAACAGCCTTCTGACCAACACATTCTTGACTGAAATATTCTCTTTTTGCATAAATCATCGTCCCCTTTTGAGCCGCGCGCTGTGTGTCTGAATAATTCGTGTGTGTGAGGAAGGAATTGAATTTCCATTTTGTCTCTCTCTCTCTCTCTGTCTCGGCCACCTTTTCTCAACTCCTTTTTCTCGCCCATTCACGCCGCTTCTCTTAGGGTGTTGTCACAGACGTCTTCGACGACGGCGTTAAGGTTGCGTTCGAAGAGGAGTAAGTAGCCCGCGCCCGCGGCGCCGCGGCGGAGTGTCTCACGCTCGCTGTCCTCTGTCTGTCTGTCTTTGCAGTTGGCAGGAGGAGTCCAAGTTCCACTTCAACCTCGTGCGCTTCCCGCCCGCCGATCCCAACAGCAGCCTGCCGCAGCTGGCCGAGGGCATGGAGGTGGAGGTGTACTCGCGCTCCAACGAGCGCGAGGCGTGCGGCTGGTGGATGGCGTCCATCAAGATGATCAAGGGCAGCTTCCACGTGGTGGAGTACCTCGGCTGGGATCACAGCTACACAGAGATCGTGCCCGTGGAGCGACTGCGATTGAAGAACACAAACCTGCCCATCAATGCCAAAACCTTTCACCGATTCGAGATCGAGGTGCCGGAGGACTTGCGGGACTATGCCAAAGTTGAGGGTGTCGACAAGGAGTTCCAGAAGGCCGTGCGCGCCCTCGTCTGCCGCTACGTCCCGGAGCGCGGCATCTACAAGTTCATTTCGAAGAATGAGATGTCACAGAAGCGCGCGCTCATGATGCAGGACATGCACTTCCGGAATCTCAGTCAAAAGGTCAGTTAAGCCGCGGGCCGCAAATGTTCTCTGCTTCACTCTGTCTTTCTCTCTCTTCTCTTTCTCGGATCACGCAAAGGTAACACTGCTGAAGCGAACGGAAGAGGCTGCGAGGCAACTGGAGTCGACTAAATTACACAATTCTGGAGGGTGAGTCTCGCTTTGCCAATTTCCATCAATTCTCCACTGAAAGTGCAACGAAAGTTGTCGGTTTTTTCCTTTTCTCTTTCTCTCTCTCTCACTCTCTCTCGCTCTCTCGCGTGATGGAGAAACTCCAATAAGTCTGCAGAAACTGTGATTTTCTCGTCTGTCATCTGGAAATGTGATGCAATTTATGCTTTTTTTCTCTCTCTCTTCCTAGTTTAAAGAGACAATGAGTCGCGCTGAATCACAGTTCGCACAGGCTTATCACTGGTTTCTTATCATGTGATGTTATAGTAAAGTTTCTCTCTTTTTTTGATTCTCTATAAAATTGAAAGATTTTCCGAAAATAGATTTGTTTATTGCCTTTTAATGCTCAGTGATTAAAGTAAACATTTTATAGGGAAAAACACATTAAGAAATGTTGCCTAATAAGATGAAATTTTTTTTTGAGTCATTTTTATCACTTCATTTGTGTGGCGATTTTTCTGTTTTTCGAAAATCGTGGAGAAAATGTGGCAAAAATCTTGGTTATGTAACTCTATAAGAAGAAACTATATTTATAAATAACTCTTCCTGAGTGTCTTTCGCAATTCCTCATCAGAAGAGGTTGATTTTTTGGTATTTTTGGAAAGTTCGAATTCTGCAAAACATCCAAAAGGCAAATTTGATAGAAGAAAGAATAGAAAAATTGCGATTTTTGATATTTTTATGGCAAATTTTCTCACGTGCTGAAGAAGTCAATGAACTCAAGCAATTTTATCAGCGTTCATCGCGCAATCTTAGAATATAATTCTAGTTCATTTTCTTGGTAGAAATAATATGAAGCAGTTTATTGGCAGATTGCAATAGCTGTGAATGCGCAATTTGTGCAAGAATATAACCTTTGTTTAAATGGTAACTTGAGGCTCTTTTGCACGCGTGTTTTGATTTTGAACCTTGACAAAACTGTGTGAATTGAGAAAGAAGGAAAGAGTTGCTTTGAAGTCTTGCTTATTGCGCGTCGCGGAATGTTAAGGTTTTCTTTTTATTTATATAATTATTAATAATAATAATATTAATATTTGCGCTTCTCCTTTGCATATAATTTCGTCAATTTTCGCACCACACAATGATTTTCTCTCTCTCTCTCTCTTTTCCTCTCTGCAATTGTAGATATTCGGATGAATTCAGAGTACGTGAAGATTTGATGGGACTCGCGATTGGAGCGCACGGTACTAATATTCAGACAGCTCGGAAATTGGATGGCGTTCTTCATGTGGAGCTGGAGGAGAATACATGTACATTTAAGATATTTGGCGATGTAAATATTTAATTTATCTATTATCCAAGCGATAGGGTGGCGAAGTGTTGACTGTTTCTCTCTCTCTGTGCAGTCGGACGAGGCTGTTAAGAAGGCGCGATCGCTGCTGGAGTACAGCGAAGAGTCCATCCAAGTCCCGCGCAGTCTGGTGGGGAAGGTGATCGGGAAGAATGGGCGCATAATTCAGGAGATTGTGGACAAGAGCGGCGTGGTGCGGGTGAAAGTGAGTAGAATGACTTTTACACCCTCCGCACAAATGATGTTGAGAACGAATGGGAGTATTCACAGATTGCTGGCGACAATGACACGCAACAGAGTATTCCTCGTGAGGAAGGTCAAGTTCCTTTTGTCTTCGTGGGCATCGTTGAGAATATTGCCAATGCCAAGGTACTTCTGGAATACCATTTACAGCATCTGAAGGTGAGAGACTCTGACTTACTGCTTTTTCTCTGCATTTAGAATTGAATTGTCGACAATTTTGGGCTCTAAATTGTGTCCAGAAATAGATTATTAGCGCCTAAAGTGCACTTTTCAGTATTTTATCGTACTTTTTCCAGGAAAAACTTGAAATTGTTACGAATTTTTGACACTGAAATGTAAATGAGATTTTTGGTATCACTGAAAATCCTGAGAATTTGGAGATTTTGAGGGTTTTGTTCATTTCCATGCCTAATTTCTAAGGATTTAAGAGCGAAAGATTCAGAAATTTCATTTCCAGAGCATTTTCTAGGGGAATTTAGGCTTAAATCCTTTCATTTCCTACTCAAAAATTGTAATAATTGATGACAAAACCAATCGACAATCTTTTAGAAGAACAGTTGATTGAAGATGTTCTCTTTGTGTGCTTTGGAGAAGTGACTGAAAGTGTTCTTGTTTCTCTTTTCCTCTTCATGCTGTGCAGGAAGTTGAGCAACTCCGTCAGGAGAAACTGGAGATTGATCAGCAATTGCGTGCACTTCAGGGCTCGTCGCTGGGCTCCATGCAGAGTTATCCATCGTCCAGGCGATCTGAGCGCGGCTACAGCAGTGATATGGACTCGATGAATCGTGCTGGGCGCGGAGCACCGCGCGGCGGACGAATGCGTGGCCGCGGAAATCCGCGATATCATCCATCTGGTAATGATTTCTCCTCGCAAAACACCGTCGATGACTTTAGTTACACTAACATGAGTGAATTCACGCCATCCGCAAGTGCGGCGGACGCGCATCAGGCTCAGTATCATCAGCATGGCGGCGGCAGCGGCGGCGGCGGCGGTTATCAGAAGGGCGGCGCGATGGGACGCACGCGACTCAGCGGCGACAGGCGGAAGTCTGGCGCCGCTGGCTCAATGTCGCAGCGCGGCGGCAAGAGTCGTGGCAACGGACTGTCGTCTGGCGCCGCCGCTGCCACTGTCGCCGGCGCGGGTGATGCTGAGCCTGATGACGGACAAGATGGCAGTGTGAGCCACACAAATGTCATGAAAGCATCGAGAACTTCTGCTCTTAGTGACAGAAGAGTTCACGCAGGTAACAAAAATACAATTTCACACACAAAAGTAGATGAATGAGAATTGAGAAAAAATAGTGAAAAGGATTTTTCTTTGTGTCGAAAAAGAGAGACTTGAATTTTGGACTGTTAAGAGATTTTGGCAGAGTGTAAATTTATTATTATAACAAGAAAAAAGGGTGATTTTGACTTGATGTGCTAAAAAGTTGAATGAAGAAGAATTTAAATATTACTATAAAGTAATTTATATTTAGAGTACAATATTTTTTGCCATTAACAAGCAAAAGGAAAAAAAATGGTTCTTTTTTTTCCTCCTTTCTTCATATCTTTAATAATGCTTTTACATGAAATGTAAAGATTAGAAAAAAGCATATAAGAAAGTCAAAATCAAGAGCCTAATAATTATTTCAAGATGATTTCTATAACTTATTTTTTTATTTGTTTCTTGTAAGTGAATGAAAAAATGTCTTGTTTTATTTTTTTGAATATCTTTGTGATATGTTTTGTTTTTCTTCTTTCTTTGTGTTGCATTTTGTTGTTTTCTTTTTTTTTAATTAACGTTCGTCAGTTTTCTCTTTTGCACTTTGATTCATTTCATTAACAATTTCATAATAATAATATTGCTAACATTTGTGTAAGACTGACATTATTTAAAAAATTGAAAAAATGGTACAAGTTTGTGTGGAAGAAAAAAAAATCAGTGTTTCTCAAAGAACCTGAAATGACGAAAGAATCTAACAAAAAAATCGATGAGTTTTTCCGTTCTTTTGTAGGATTAAATATGATTAGAGTAAATTAATTAACATTAAGCACTTTGTAATTAAGTAAAAACATAGATTTTAATGGTGTTTTCTCTGTACATAAACTTCCTACTATTTTTTAGATCTTGTGTAACAACTAACCAAAACAATTTACATTAATTATTCTAACATTGTTGTAATTCTTTTCACCTAAAAAAAACAAAAACACTAAAATCACTTCTTCTGAAAATGCACACAATTCGGAAATTTCCCACAAACACACACACAATGAGAGAAAGTAATGCAATGTGAATCGATAGAGCGCTTAAAAACAGTTTGCCAATTGATTTCCTCTGCACGCAAAGACGGAGGATTTATTTACTTTCGATCCGCGCATTATGTAAAAATGCGTTTAATCAATAATAAGAGTTGAAGTTTGATGGGCAGAAAATGCACAGCATTTTGACAGTCAGACAGAATATAGAATGGAATTGCGTTCGTTCACTTGGCATTGATGGACGCTGGAGGTCAAAGATGATGATGACGGTGATGATGATGATGATGATGATTGCCGGGAAGATTGGATGAAGAGAGTCTATTAATAATATTTGGCCAAAATGCAATTCAACACATTCTCGTGCATAAGGTTGATTCTTGTGCAATTATTTCGAATTAATTTTAATAGAGCAGAAATGCGTCAAATCTGTCGTGGCAATAATAAAATTAAAATTGGCACAAAACATTTTCACTGCAAAATGAGTGAGAAATTTATAGTTATTGATAGAAAATGCAGTAAAAAAATAAAATTGCCACAATTGACTGTCTTTTTTTTCTTCTCTTGTCACAAAACACAAAACAGAATTAAACCAAACGGAAAAAAATGATTGAATAATTGCAAAAAAAAATGGTCACGCTTGAAAAATGCGCAAGAAAAACACTTAAGAAATAAAACATATTTTTAAGAATCTTAATATTAATTGAATTTATGATGAAAATAATTTTTTCATTAAACAAAACTTCTTATTCTCACTTTTTGTTTCACCTTAATTTTTTTCCTTTTCTTTCAAATAAAAGGATAAAAATAATTTTGTATAATATTGAATAAATTTTCTTGATTAGATTTTAAGATTCACAAAATTTATCGTGTAGAAAGAAGAAAGAAAAAAATGTGTTAGAAAAAGAAACACACGATAAATTCACTTTTATTTCTCTATTTCACTGAATTTTATCACATTGATTTTTTCTTCTTGAATTTTTTTTTCTTTTCTCTTTTCAATGGGAAAATATGTTAAGAATAAACATTGTTTAATTGGCAGAAGAAAAAAAAATGTCTCGAGTGTCTCGACGAGAGAAATGTTGTGCCCTTTTTCTGTATATTTATTTACTGTGTTTTTCTAATTATAAATTAATGAATTTCTTGACATTTTGATGTCTTTTCAATCTCTAATAAAAAATTAAACTTTGGGCCACATTTGAAGTCCAGACACAGTGACAAGAAAATGGTCCAAAAGTGCGCTTTTTCGCATTGCAAAACACAAAGAAAAAAGAGCAAAAAAAAGCCAGAGATTTCGACGAAATTGTATTTTTGTTACACAACAAATTCGATAGAAAAGAATATTGAGAAATGATGATGAAAAAAAGGGCGCAATGTTGCTGTCTGTTGAGATTGTTTTCGATTGTCTTGCGTTTCTTATTGGCAATCTTTCTCTTCTGTTTTTCATTTTTCTTCCTTTTTTTCGTCTTCCCTTTTTGATTATCCGCTGTGTTTTGCCTCTTTTTGTCCCTGCTGAAGAACAAAAAAAAAAAAGTGGTTTTGTGACTAATTTCATGCGCGATTCTCGCCTTTTTCTTTCTCACCACAATTTTGCAGACTCGAGACGTCGCGAGAATGCCGACGAGGATTATCACGCACGCGGCGAGCACAAGCGCAGCTACATGGACGGCAGTGGCGCTGAGGGTGGAAGTCGAGGCGGCGCCGGCGGCAGCCGCGGCGGGAGCAGCTTCGAGAGGGGCGAGCGTCGCGGCGGACGCGGCGGCAACGATCGCAGGCCCGGCGAAGGAAGGCGGGATCCTCCAGAGTACGGCGCGACTCGAGGCGAGAATTTCCACCATCAGCAGAATCACGAGGAAGTGCGCGAGAGTCGAGACGTGAGCAGTGTTGATCGAGGTGGAAAAATGCTTTTCTTGAGTGTGTAATTTTGTGGACTCTTCTTTACTAACCGGCGCTTCGTCTTTGTCTTCTTCAGCAGATAGTCAATCATCGACAGAGGGCGGCGGTGTAAATAATCGACGACGACGCCGTCAGAAGAATACGACGCATTCAAGTAAGATGCTTTCTTCAGACTATTAAACACTGATCTTTGATTATTTCTTGAAGAAATCCATTGAAAATTATTCACTAGTCGATAATTCAAAGCCAAGACAGTTTCTTTTAGACAAGAAGCGAAAGTTTAGTATCAATTTTAACGCAGAAAAATGTGAAAAACATAGATTTTGTATTTCTAAAAGCTTTTATTCCTATTGATAATCGACTAAAATCCCAATTTATTGAAGTTTTGCTAAAAATAGTCAAATTTTAGATGATTTTCCAAGTGATTTTGACATGCTTAGACTTTATTTTGACCAGTAAACAATTCAAAATGATCAATTTTTATTTAATCTTATTGGCAAACAAGAGTAATTTCCCTCATTCTTCATTTTCTTGCTCATTATTTGCCTGAGTTCAGAGTGAAAAAGGACTTTTTCTCTGTTAATTTGCAGCGAATGGCATTGCCAAGCAGGCGACGAGCATGAATGCGAGCTCAATGAGTAATCCTGGCAGTGGTGAGACTGTGGAGAAGGCTTCGGGCGCACAAGGCGGCAACAGCAGCGGCCAGGCGGCGGCGACAGGCGCGAACAGCGCCGCTCCGGCTGGTGGGAATCCCAATCCGAAAGGACAACGAGAGCCGCGCAACCGCCGCGGCGTGGGCGGCAGCAAGCATCAGGCGAAGGGTGGCGCAGGAGCCGCCGCGACGCCCGCGGCGGCCGGCGATGATCTCTCTGCTGCCGCCGCTGCCAAGCCAGTTGCGCCGGAGTCAAATCACATCATCAACGGTGCAGCCTAAAGTGGACACAGAGGACACATGACAGAGCAGCACACAAAACACACGAAAACAGGCGATTGGCGAGAGAGAGAGAGAGTGAGCAGGAGAGGGAGAAAGAGAGAAGAGAGCGATGGGCGGACGCGATAATATCTATCACACACCACATAAATATTTCGACTTAATGAATTACCGAATTTGAGAGACACTTGATCTTAACCCGAAGAGCAAAATTGCGCTATGTATGGAGAAGAGAGAGAGATAACACAAGATCACATGCATAATATTGTAGACAAATTGATGTCTTTTTTCTTTAGTAAAAAAAAGGGGATTTTTTTTCGTTGATTTTCCCAACCAAAGTCACAAGTTGAATTGGAAGAATTTGACAATATATATATTTCCTTTGGTTGATAAATCTGGGTTTCTTTGTTTCGATGGGAAAAGCAGTTAAAAAGAAGAAAAAATTGTATAATTTCTTTGTGAAGATGAGGGAGAAAGAAATGAAGTTAAATTATGTGTGGCTCAATTTGAAAAGATTGAAGCTTGAAAAAAACATTGAAATACAAGATGAAATATTCAAAAAGAAAAAAAGAAGAGAAATATCTTTTTCGAAGATAATCCCGAGAAGTGAAACTGCAGCTGAAGAAGAATGGCAGATGATCTTGAAGAGAGAGAAAGAGATAAACAGCAATGCAAATTTCTTATCGTAGAGAAGTGTTTCACATAATGATCACACACTTATTCAGTTGTGTAGTGTTGTTATGCAAAGATTGATGAGCATAAAATTGAATATTTATCCCCCTTTTTGTCATAATATTTTTGGTTGTTTATTCAATAACTATTCTTACTTTTACTGCTGGCTTCAAAATAATAATGAAAATGAAGAGAAAAATACATCATAAAAATAAAGAGAGAAAGAAAGAGAGAAAATTTGTGAAACAGAAGGGAAGAAAATGTGAAATTCTGGACTAAGAACTCAAAGTTAAAATCTAAATAAGTAACAAATGATTACACGCTGTAGTGAAGAAGAAGAAGAAGATGATGATAAAGATGAAGATGAAGAATTTAAGTAAGTGAGCTTTTTGTACTACTTTCTTATCATGCGAGAGTTCTATAATCAATTTTTTTTCTTTTTTCCCCCAATTTCAATTAAAGCCTCTGTATTTTTATTTTGTTCATTTCCACCAGTATATTTAATAATAATAATGGAAATACAAGTTTTTCTTTTCCTCTTCTTTGATGAACTGATATAATTACGAATGATAGAACTGTTTTTTTTTGTCAAATCCTAGGATTATAAATATTTGCTATATTCGATGATGATAATGATGATGATAAATGGAAAGAATTGTAATGAACAATGCGCGAAGGGAAGATTAATTTAAAAACGCTGAACGTGTTTAATGGAGAGATAAATGATTTATTTTGCTGATTTACTAACACCTTCCTATGACCACACTTTAGTGACTTTAGTTATGTAGGATGTTTGTTTCTTTGGTGCGCAAGGAATTTTGCGATTGAAAAGCAGGCTTAAAAAAATATTGAGAGAAAATTAAAAGGATTGTTTCTTGATTTGCGACTTTTTTTGTACGACATTTTTTCGTCTTTCAAAAGGGTGAAAACAAGAGAGAGAGAAAAACACACGAGAGAAATAAATAAAAAAAAACTCTTCTCATCTATTACATTAGTTACAATTTACATTTTTTGCAATGTAGAGAGAAAAACAAAAAATGGAGAGTAAAGAAAAAAGGAAAGGAAACATTTTTAAAGAAGAAAAGATGTAACACTTAAAAACAGAGCATAGATTCTTATAATGTAATAGCATTTTGAGTGTTTATTGACGTGGAGAAAAAAAAATACAATGCGAAAAAAACATGAGTATAATTAATGGCAAAAAAATATGAGAAAATGAAAATAATGGAAAAAAACCCAATTTTGTCTTTGAGGATGAAAAAAAATGAATATGAAAACCAACATTGTACATGGAATTTACTCTACTAATGCCTTCAAAGTATTTCATTTATTTAAATACACAGAAAAATAACGGATACAACCATGTATATTTGAGGTGAGTAAGAGAAAAAAAATGAGAGCGAAAGAGGGAGAGGATAAACAAGGAAAAACGAGAGTAAAATGAAGCATGGGAAAAAAAGAAGGGAGAAGAAAAAGAGTAAATGAAAATGAGGATATGAAAAAAAACACATGATTTGAGACAATTTGGTATTTTATAAAGGAATAAAAAAAAAGATGAAAACAAGTAAAATCAAATACACACATGATTTTAAATGAAATGAAACGGTTACAATTACTACATTAAATAATGATTAATATAATTCAAACCTTACTATTAATTAAATTAAAAATAAAATTCGTAATAAATTTATTTGTTGTATATAAAATACGTGTGATTTTATTGGCTTCACCTGTGCCTCTTCGCACGCGCGCTTTTGCATTTACAGCCGGAGACTTTCAGGGGTGTTCATAGGGAGGAAAATGTGCTGAAGATTTGTCGGGGAAAATTTCAAATTCCTTGTTTATTTAGGTTCAAATCCGGCCGAGCAGATGGTGAATCACGTCGACGCACTTCTGCCATCCGAAGCAGTCAGACTTGTGAGGGAAAATTAGATGAAATTGCACAATAAAATAAGATCCTTCGCCAAGGGAAGATGTGAAGAAAATATTCACTGTAATTTAACTCTTGGCGGATTTACTGACTTTTCAGATGATTTTTCACACGCGCAGCACTGAAATCAGACACAATTTGGTCGGCAAAAACTTCAGGAGTTGAAGAATTTCCTCTGAATTTCGCGTAAAGCTTCTCAACCATCAAGTGCGTAACTTCTTAAGTGTTCTTTGGGCAAAATGTGTGAATGTGATTTGAAATTCATCTGCATTGTTTATTTATCACAGCAAAATTCACACTGGCTTCCGAGATTCACTTCAAGGGGGAGATAATTGCCTTAAATAAGGACACTCCTTCGTAACACCTTCATTACATAAGATTTTGAGATCATTTCTACAATCTCTTAAGTTTCCATCCGATATTTCTATAGGAATCCTCTTTAAATCGCTTTTTTGGGTATCTTTTCTAATCATAACCTCAAAATATCACGAAAAGGACTTTAAAAACTACGTTTAAAAGCTTTCTAGATCACGAAATCAGTTTTTATTTATTCTTAGAGTCAAAATCGTCAAAAAAGTTTTCATCATCACCATTTTCCAAGTTTTAATGACTCTTTCTGAGGTTATGTTCGACTTTAACACAATTCGCAGTGTTTCTTGGCATCAATGTCACAGAAAATCAATGTTTATTGCATGCAAATGCAGAATTGTGCCAAAGACTGTCGAATTGATGTATTACAATGTGAATTATTCAATAAAACTGTCCTAGATTCGTCACATAACCTAAAAAAAATAATTACTGTGATTGTTTTAACGTTAAAAATTAGAGAAAATCCAACGAAACGAGATAATTTGGCAGTAAAAAAACACTTTGATCATATATAAATATTGTAGGATTTTGAATACTTCTACTTCACTGAGTTGTACACCACTTTTGACTGCATTATCTCCCCCTTGAATATGTAGATAAATTCCTTGGTTAATAACGAGAAAATCAATTAGTTTTCTTGGAAGCTTCAGCAGTGTTTCTTTAACGAAATTTCTTCTTGATTCTTTCTTAGAAATGAACAAACTTAACAATTTTCAATTGGTTTTCTCGGTTTTCATGGTAAATTCCAACCTCTTAACTTCCGATAATTCAATGAAAACGACAAAAGTTAGCGATTTGCCTCTAAGTAAGGATTTTGCCAGGGAAAAAAAGTGACTCAGGCGTCAAAGATAAATATTTCTTTTCATCCCAGTGCCATCGAGTTGGTTATTCGTGCTGAGAAAAGCTCATATTTTGCCCAAAACTTTATGGAAATTCCATCGTAGAATGTTTGTGTTTTATTTGAGAAACATGAGACAGAATTGAAGTTGGGCGAAGAAAACATCTCTCGAGGCGTTTGTATTTCATTTTGCTGCTTTTCTAGGTGGTTTTCCTCCAATCGAACTCTATAATCAATCGGATTGTGAGATGTGAAGAAAAGTGTCTTCTTGTCGACAGATTGTCGGGGATTAATTCAAAGTGAAAGTCTCCACAAAACGATGTCTTTAGCTTTGTTTTATCGATACCACAATTACTTCGCTTCGGCCATTCAGTGTGCGGCGAATGAAATTTCCCTGGGTTTTCTCGTATTGATTTCTTCTACTCTGCAATGGAATCTCTTCTTCTGGGGTGAACATCAAAGAAGATGGAGAAAGAAAGCATGAGAATGGACAGCTTTCTTCTTGTCTCAAAGCCGCTCCTCCTTTCAGTCGCATCTTCGGCTGCAGCGGCTGGAGAAAAGGAGAAAATTGACGACGGCATTATCGATGTTGTGCTTTCAATCCGCACACAATCCGTGATCTTATTAGGGAAATGCGATATTATCCTGTAAATCAATTGGCTCAAAATTCAAATGAAGCTCACACAGAATCCTCCAATGCCGGCGGAAGAAGTGTTGTGTGGGAAGAGGCAGAAATTGAATCACAAGAGCGGAAAGCGAGGAGATTGAATGTGAGAGGTTCTCACAATTTGTGTTATCTGTGGTAATATTTCATACTGGCTTCAAATTGTCGTCCAACCATTGAATTTTCAGACGAATGAGCAAATCAATTCAGGTGCAATTCTCGGGCAAAGTAGAGCATTTTCATTGAAATCGACACTCAAACTTCCACTTGAATCCATTTCATCGGGGAATTCATGTAATTCGATTGCTGTGCATTTCTCTGTTTCACTTCTCATTTGCCATTTTCCGCAGAATTTCATACATATAATTTGAAAGTTTTCCAACAAATGAAAGCGACGAATAACGTTGTGGTTTCGGTTTCAGGCAAAATTGTGTCTCTCTTGTGTCAATCCAAGAAAAAGGAGTAGAATTCATGATCAATGTCAAATCATTGTGTTTCTAATTTATCATTTAACAAAATTAATACTTAATTTGACCCACTTTAACATCTTTGACACATTTTGAGACAATCCTTGTTTTAGAAAGTGTCAATTTTCATTATGCTTTCCACTATTAATCTGTCAATATCTACCAATATTTTTATCCGATTATCATAAATGGCACAGATTTGGAAAGGGAACTTTGTCCTCTACAACTCTCTAGAACATGTCAAGGATGTAAAATAGACACAAAATGGTGTTTCTGACCATTTTTTGGGATAAAAGCGACACCCAAGTCTTTATATTAATCTTGCAATCAAATCATCATTATGACTACATTTTTCCGTGGATTTCAATAATTAATGGCGTTTTGGAAAGCTGAATTCACAGCCTACAACTTTTTAGAACATATCAAGGGCAAAAAATAGTCACAAAATAGTGTTTTTGAACATTTTTAACAATAAAAGTCTCTATGAATTTTCGTGACGCCATTTTATTATGGCGAATTTTAGAAAATTTAAGCGTTTTTGAAAGAAAAATTCACAGCCTATAATTTCCCTAAATTCATAGAATTTTCCACATAAATCATCCAATTGATGCAGTAATTGAAATACCTTCAATTATTGATGCGCGAAATCCTTTGCAATTGTTATTTCCGAGAAGTCTTTGGCAAATGGCACGGAAAGTAATTGCTTTGTGCATCTCACGTCGCATTAGCGGCAATTTAATTGCAATTCCCATGATTATTACCTGGTAAATGAAATTATCGGGTGCGCTGCTGAAGAGAGAATCTCGCCATGCATAATTCCGTGCGTGCGGCGTCTGGAATTGATTGCTTCCTGGGGAGGTGAAAAGGTTGGGCGGAAAGTGCGCGAGATGAAATTGAGAAATCACACCTCTTCATTCTGTATATTTTATTACCCACTTTTTTTACATGCATTTTCTCTTGATGAGATCTCCATTTGATGCCGAGATCTCTGATATAACAATTTATTCATCTTCTTCTTTTTTTTGTACATAAATCTGGGATATACTCAATGTTATGGGATTGTGCTTTTAAAGTTTAAGTAAGTAATATTGTTTGCTTATCGTTCTCAAATGCTATCAATTTTTCGCGTCTGGTTTTCTTGTGTGTGTGTGTGTGTTGATTCTAAAATGGGGGTTCAGAGAGGGAGTTTTCCTGCGGGGAAACTCTACAAGATTATGGCTGACTTTTTCATTAGTTATAATATAGAATTTCTCTCTAAGACAATACAATATAAAGTTTTTTTTTCTTTTCCTTTTGATTCGTCTAAAAATATCATTGTCCTACGTTCTAAATTCCATTTTTTTTCCTTTACACAAATTCCATATGTGTATAATTGGGCTCACTGAAAAAATTTGTGAGTATAATAAGGGGATATGGTGTTCAATACGCTTTCTAACATCATCTTCTGGACTGTGCATAGCATTTCCATATCAATTGGGTCTCGCAAATTGGGCCGGACCTTCAATCCTGTTTTGGGGTTTTTTTGTGCTCAAAAGAATCACCACTGGCTTCCATTCGATTTTGCAATGGGAAGCAATAAATATTTATGGACGTTAGGGAGAGATGTAAAAATGAGATACAAAAGAGGAAACAATTACTTCAAGAGTCGTTTTCCCATATATTCTGCAAATATACTCAAATAATGGATAATGTCTCACGCTTGATTTCATATCGAATCACACAAATTGATGACCTTCTGCTCTTGACATCTGATTGATAAACTGTTGAAAGCCCCCAGAGGTTGTTGAGTGATGCAAATGCTTGCAATCAATAAATCGACCTCTGCAGATGGAACAACTCTTCAAGCGAAATGAATTATAAGAGGGTTGAAAGCGCAAAAATGACTGAATTTGATAGACAAGCGTCACAATTGCATTTTTACAGATTTTTTGGAGTGAAATTCAATAGTTTTAAAATGTAATTTGAAGTTATTTTTCATCAACTCACATTTGCCTGCACAGGATGAAATGTAAAAAAACGTCCTGTTTGTATGTTTTCCCAGGGAAAATACAGCAAAAAGTCCTCCCAAATGCAATTATCAAATGGACTTTCGCAGTGATTCTCTGACGAGCTTCAGAATGCGGGGAATATTTTCAGGACTACTTCGTGTCTATACACTTGGCCAAGGATCAGAGAGAGAGAGAGAGAGCATCTTTTGCCACAGCAGGGACTTTACAGGAGCCTCTCGAGGTCCTCGCTCTCGGCATCGCTGGTCCCCGTCTCCGTGTCTGAGTACTCCTCGCCGCGGTTCCGCCGACAGCACGGATAGCGCCGGTTCTCGTCCTCCATATCGCTCCAGTGCTCGAACTCCTCCTTGTGGTGCTCCAGGAGCATCAGCGAGGGGAACAGGCTGTCGCAGCCGCTGCACCTGCAACAAAACACACATTTTGGAGCTTCCATTAACGTCTTTGTCGATATTCTTGTGAGAAGTTATCGCATTTCTTACAGGCACAAATCCTTTGGTCAGTTAAAAATTCCAATTGATCAGTTTAATTAATAGTCAGTCAATATTTTACTGACCAAACAGATTTTTTTACTGACCAAACTGATATTTTACTGATCAACTTGGATTATTTTTTGGGAACAATCAGAAATTTTCAAGGAAATATTCAATATATTTAAATCTCTATTATAATTCTTCTAATCAGCTCAATATTTGTGCATTTTTATGCAATATAGCAAGATAAGAAGCCTCTAAAAAAGTATATTTTCCAAATCCTAATCATGTTTTTGTGGTAATTATTGAATTATTGCACAATTTGCAGTGTTTCTTATCATCAAAAGATAAATGGCGACATTTATTGCATAACCAAATGATTTGTTTTGCTGAAACATGATCATAATTTCCCCCAATTGCAATTTTGGCCACATACTCTGTTACGTCATTTGGGAGGCGAAAGAGAGAGTTTCAATCTAATTGAGAGGTGAAATTGTGCAGTGTCTCAGGGATTGACGAAGGTGGAGTGAACGCTTCCAGTGCCGTCGGCAAAATCACTCTCCATGGACGTGCTTTCCCTGGGAAACCCACCCCAAAAGGGCCAAGATAGTGAGTCTCATGCACAAACTATCGCATGTTGGCTGGCTGTTTGTGTGTCTGATGTCAACTTCAGAGCAGTTTCGTGGGAAAACAAATAAATTTAATTAAAGCTCTGCCTCAAAATTTGTAAGTAGATTATTTATGTGGCCGCACTTCGTGGACCTTTTCGCCTCACTCGCTCTTCTGCACTGGGAAAACTCTCTGCCTCGGAAGGGTTGTGGACGATTGCGAGCAGAGTGCAATTTTCTGTTGTATTTCAAGTGTCACAATCACTCTCGGGAAATCCATTTGCACTCAGTTTTATGCATTTGCTAATAGGATAAACTGATTATCTCACGTTCGTCATTAAATCAACACCTTTGCCATTAAATTGACATTGACAGAATGCTGAGCAAGTGATGAGTTTTATCAATGGATTTTCCTTATTTTACACTTCTTCACTCTATCAAACTTTCAGCAACTTGTCGATGCGCCGTGAAAAGCAAAGAAACAAGCGACAAGTTGGAAATTGTGATTGATTTGCTTTATATACAAAACATTGCAGAGGGTTTTGATACTTGAAATAGATTTTGGTTTGAAAATATCTTCCGAAAATCCTCTAATTATACTGCTTATGATCTTGTGATAATAAAATAGTAAATACATAAAATAAAATTCAATTTTTAGATCGAAATTCTGTATTTTCTCACAGCAAACTAATAAAAAAACCTTGATCAAAGAATTAAGTTATGTGATTGAAATTTCCAGGCTTTCCCATTTCCCTTTCGTCATCCACCAAAGCCACGAATCCTCAGCATATATGTATGATTTAATGCTTCGCTGTCTCTTTGAGTTTTGACTAACCCGCCAGATTATTTGATGGAATGTTTTTCCCACACATTTTTTTTCGTTTGCGCTTCGCGTTCAAACATTTGAAATGCAAATCAAAAATTTGTGTGTGTCGCAGAAGCACAAAAACTCTTATTTAATAATTTAGCATATATTCTCGTGAGAAAATAAGAAAAATGATAACTCTTAATCCGCCTTTTTTTTGCACAAAGTTGACGCAAAGACATTTATCGCGGATGGTTTTGGGGGGGAAAAGGTTTGAGAATGAAGAGCTTTTCTCGTGGGCAAATGGAAGAAATTTCCGATTGTTCGCACGAGGGAAATAAATTGCCCAATATTTTGTATATTTCTCAGAGACTATGGAAGATATTTCATCAAATAACACAACAATTTTCACACTCGCGATGTATTTTGGGATGGAGAGAGAAAGAGAGAGAGAGAGAGAAATCTATGGCACAGAAGAATGTGTAAAAATTATTTTTATCACTTCGATCGTAATTCACTTGCTTGTGATTCTCTCCACCTCTTTTTTCCATGTATTTTTGGGAGATTGTGATGAGAAATTTCAGTCTGAGAGCGATTTAATATGATGTTAAATTGATTTTCTGTCGCTGGAGCAGCTTTTTTTTACATCCCCCGGTAAAACATCACTGTGGCTTAGCAGGGAAAATGTGTGTTGTTGTACATTTTCCATCAAGCTTGAGACTTGCAAGTTGTGCACTTTGATTTTCACCCGCGGAGAGAAAGGAGCTTTCGCTGATCGCAAAAGCTCCTGCTGTGGTGAAATATTAAAAACCACCCTTCACTCCAATTTTTCCCAGCTATTGGCGTATGAAAATGTGATTTTTCGCATACATTGTCAAGTATTCTTGGGAGAAAATGAAACTCTCTAAAATGTAGTGTTAAAATGTTTGTATTTTCGTCATTTTTTTCCTATTTGTTTCCAACTTATGCGAAAGCTCAGAAATGTTTTATTCAATTTCACCGCATACAAGAGTGTTTCGTCATCACTCAGCACCACCTGCACTTCTGCTGAAGTCTTGGTGGTGGTGGTGAAAATTGCGGGGGCGGTGGAATTTTTGAATATTTCAGTACACTTCAAGGGAACATATTTTAAAATGTATTCACTTTTTCACCCGTTTTCTGCACACTTTATACACATATTATTATTGTTGGAGGGAAATATATGTGAAAATGTGGTTCGATTTGGCATTTTCCGAATTGTTGAAGTTTTGCAAGCAAAAAAAAGTTGCTGCAAAATGCACTTTGCACAAAGTGAGATAGAGAATACAATTTATTCCCATATTCAATGAGTTAATATGTAATGTTGCATGTTATATAAAATGTGCATTACGGAGAGAAAATCTACAAATAGGAGCAAAACAATCGCAAAACTCATTTAGCTTTGACCATTCGGCGATGTTAATGGCTCTAAATGAACTCAAATGTAAATATACACTGGAAGTTTTGGCCACAGTTTGCAATGTGGTTTACATTTGCTAAAACGACTGGCTTTTTTGATCAATTAAAACAGAGCGTAAAAAATTGCTGGAGAAGTTTGTAAAACTCAGATTCATGTTTGGATGAACTTTTTGCCCTATGTTTGCGTCACTTCCATATGTGGATATAAAAAATTCATTCATAAAAAGAGCGCGCTTTCATAATTAATTTTCTCTCAATCCAAAGCAAAAAAAAGCTGATAATAAAGTGTATACAGCTGTTAATATAAAATTTCTTTGATATCTGAAAGTAATTCAAGACTAATTTGCAACTTGCCAAAGTGAGTATCGTGAGTGTCACGAGCGTCGTTTGAATTCAAAGTCGCCGCGGATGTGAAATTTCCGGGCAGAGCGGTGGAAAAAAAGTTTCCAGATTCTCCTCTCACAGGAAATCCGAAAGTGTCTTTCTCTCGGAAGAAAGTTCCGCAACTCGGAAAGTGTTTGAACTGAAGAGGTGTTAAAAATCAGCGGAAAATCACTTCAACAACTTCCACGGAGGAAGGATAGAAACTGCGAAAATGCGCGGTTCTTCGCTAAATTAATAACACAGCGATTGTGCGGTGGTGAGAAAGTATTGGCATCCTGTGGATTTGGTTTCGCGGCTAAAGGAGCAGATTCAGACCACACGAGAACTCATGCTGGCAAACATTAATTTGCGTTATATTGGGTGCTTTTTAGCGAACGCCGTCATTATTCATTCGGCTCGTGATTTAATTCAACACAAGATTCTGCCTCATAGATTTCCCGAGAAACCCTTCTCAGACGTGTAACAATGAGCCAAGGGTTCATATGGGAATTCCTGCCGATAGGCCAGTTGATGATGTGACGCCGAAGATGGGAGGCTTTGGCGAAATGGGGACGGAAATAAGGTGAAAGAGAAAACGAGTGAAATTATGGTCTATCGTGCGATGTTGTCTGCCATATCCGCCCCAGAAACTATCTCTATTATTAAACCATTATTTGCCGACAGAAATATCTTAGGTCTCGATGATAATGTCTCCCGGACCCTTGCATCGCAGGTCCTCCTATGTATATTAGAGCCGTCTCGGCATCCTCGGAAGGGTGATGGGCTCAGGAGAGAAGAGATAATGGTAATTACGGAGGGGAATGTCACTGGGAATCCTTCGCTTTTTTTCATCCTTACGCCCACATTATTTGTCCCACTCAAGATGGGTCTTCGCAAATTACCACAGCGTTTTCTCGCTCTCTCTCTGGAAAAGGGATAATAAGTTTCGGAAAAGATCACCATACAAAATAATCCTAATGAGTTTTGAGAAACGAATCATGGAATATCAAAACACCAGCAGCAGAAAAACCCCCCGCGAAAACCATTAGAAATATGTTGTTTTTACCCATTTGGCTCTCATATGACCATCGTTAACTGTTCGGTGGGTGATATTTTTATGGAAATCTCCTTATTCGCCTCACGTTGGCAATTTCTTTTTAATTGCAAATCAATATATATGTGTGTCTCGTAAAAAAGAAGACGCAAAATATTCATGTGAGACTTTTTGACGAAGACGGACATAAAATATTGTTATGTCTCTCTTTGAGAAAATATATCACCGCATTTTATCTGCATTGATCGCAAAAACATCTTGCAGTCATTCGGATGGCTTCCCATTTCGCCCAAGTCACTAAAAAGTGCTATGAACCATACATTATTTAACGTCACATTACAATTACGCGGTGGTAAAAGTCTTCAACAGGCTTGTGATATTTAAAATAATGCTCATAATGCTTGTTTATTCCACGCAATCCAATGTTTTATGTGTCTTTGCCAAAGTATTTGTCAATGGAATCAATTCCCGAAATTTATCATCGCAACCACTGACAATAATTGGAGGACTATGAAGAGTAATGTGGATCAGCAATAGTGAGTGGAATGATTGTCTGAAATATTATATCGCGCAAGATACGCCATTCTTCTCCATTTCTCCCGATCAATTATTCAATAATTCATACGACGAGATGAGAATTTATGGGCGAGAGAGCTTTTAAAATTACTTATTCAATAGTTTTTCCCCCTTCGATGTGCCACAGCTCGTAAAAAATATCATGATAAATCTCCTTTTTTCCCTCCCCCCGCGATTGGCGACCTCGCAAGCGTGATCTCCAATTTCCGCATTTCGGGGGGAGTTGAGAAGCGACAGGCGAAATATATCACCTTTTATTGTTATAGTAAAATGCCAGAATTTGGAAAGATATTTCCACTCGATGATGATGATGCTTTTGTTGAGCGCTTTGCAAAGCCGCACGCCTTTATAATCTCCACAACGCCGCGGAGCTTTTTGGCGGTGCACAATTTCCGTTCTGTGGTCTAAAATCATCCTTCGAGCCCGTCAATTACTGATACACGAACATGATTGATGCGCTCCTGTTTGTGCCCAGAAAGCTCATGAGCGTTGTACATTAGCGCGCGAAATTTGATGCTTCGCACACGTCTTGGAGGCTGGCTTTTGGCGGACACGAGAGCGTGTGTGTCGTGGGTGTTTATCAAAATATGAATATGCTGAGAATAAATTTGGGATTTGAGGCAAATTTCCGCCAGCATAAATCATCGCCTTAAACTGCATTGTGTTGCTAAAGTTCTTCCACGCCTCCGACATTGTTCCGCAGTGGGCAGAATAATTCATTTCACCGTCACTTGTTGTGGTCATAAATGCGAGAATTTGATTTATTAATTTCGAATGTCGACGTCATTATTCTCTCCCCGCTTTCTTCCATTCCAACCCCACTCACTCTCTGTCTCTCTCTGGGGGTGTGTGTAATTTTCCGCTTTGTTTAACGCCACGGAATGGCGGGGAAAAAAACACACTCTTGAAAGTTTACAAGGTCTCGAGTCAGGCCGACGGAGCACACCAAGAATTTAACATTGGCGAGTTTTATGTATATTTAACAGAAAATGGTGAAAAACATCAGCAAGTGTTTGCACAGGAGCAGCAATAAAATCTGTTTTTCCGAGAACACTTTCACAGCCACGCGAATTTGCATGAATTCCAAGGCACAAACAGCTGTTCAGCCACTTCAATTGCCCCTCCATTTATGTACATAGCATACATATCAAGCTCGTGAATCAATATTTTATCAAATGAGATGCAATTTCGGTGGATAACCTTGTGTTTCGCAAAATATGAGGGATTACTCAGTGTTTTTTAGCATTGCGTGTGTTTTTTCCCCACTTCTAGGATGGGTCTTTCATGCAGACGTTGATTCTCAATGTAACATGGCGTTTTTGTGACTCTGGCGAGGATGGAAAAGCCGGTGTGTGGCACCTAAAAATAGCGACAGATGCCATTTCACGGATCTATAAATGTCAGTAAGGTGAATTGAATTTATTCATGCGGAAAATTGACTTCAATATTGTCTCAATCAAAGTACATATCGTCTTTTCTCTGTGCTGCTCACGGATGGAAAAGATGAAATTGTCAAGTGTCAGTGTTTCTAATTCGCTTCAGCTTCACCAATTTACATCTTAAAGATATCACGTCTCGAATGTAAATGTCTAAAGTGCATACAATTAGGCATCTACGGAGTTTATGGGAAGATCTAATTACAAAGGGACTTTCAATGTCTGAAGATATAAAATTTGTTTGCGCTGTAAATTAACGTCGCTGACGATGCTGAGACGGCAATAAAGTGGAGGGACATAAAAGGAGAAACTCCAGGTGGGAAATGAAGGAAAGCGATATGAGATGAGCACCAAAACTTCTTCATCTAGAGAGATTCTAATATTATTTCCATTTTCTACATATTTCTGCACGTTTCTCCGCATGGCTTTCGGCGTGAACTTCTTGACTGTCGTTAGTCCTTCTCCAAGGCTGTGCGAGGAAAGTGTGCTCGGCATAAAAAGGGTTACAATATATCCTTCTCACTATGAATATTGATTTTTCCTCGGCATGTCTAGGTGAAATACGGCATTTTACATATAGTGTGGCGTCTAATGGGATTTTTGTCCTGGGCTCTTTTCGGCCACGTTCACCCAATTGAGCTGCTGCTGCTGTGAAATGCCACATCACGCCCTCAGCGAGAGGGTTGAAGTGGCCCCAACTGGAAAGTTCAACTCTCTAGAGTGAAATTTCTTACAGTTGATTGTAAAGCGAAATCACCGCCTAATGGGATTCTGTCTCAGGCGCTTTGCACACTCTGTGGCAACTGAGCTGCTCTCAAATGCAAAAGTCTTGCAGGTTTCGCAAGAGGCTTTTAAACCATTGGCAAAACGTGAAGGTGAGGATGAAAGCTTTGCCGAAGACTTACAAATTCTGTGAACGTGCACTTTGCCATGCTGAGTTATAATCTCTTTCTGTTCCATAAAATTAATACTTTGAATAATTGGAGCAAGAGCAAATTGAATGTGGAGTTTGTAATCTTAGAAATTAGGTAATAAAATGAGGCTTTTTCAGAGATTAATTTCAGATAAAAATTTGATTTCTTCTTACAAACAATAAAGACTAAGCAAATTCTTTTAATAAATCTGAACTTTTCTTGAAATTTCACGCAAAAAGTGACTTTTTATAGAAAACTTTTAATTGTAACAATTTTCTCTTAAAGCTCTCCAAAGTCTCTTATTAGTATTATATGGTGAAATGTAATTAAATAGTTCTCCCTATCTTCTGGCACATCAACAACTTTTCATCTCTCTTGAAACGCAATCTCTCATCTGTGCCCTCTTCAAGTTGGTCGACTTTTGTGGCGCAACTATAAATTTGTCATAGTGAAAATGGAAAATGCCTAGAGGAGAAAAGCAAGTCAGCTTACCCAAAGTGTCTCTTCTTCTGCTGATGATTGGCAAGTTGTCTGTGACAGTGGAAAGCTCTGTCGCAAACATTGCAAGTCAGAGATTCATCTGCAATGCAATAAAATATAAATTTTTAGACTTTAGAAACATTCCTTCTGGGCGTAGGATATTAAAAGTGCGGAAAACTTGCAAAATTTCATTGCTGGCGGGTGAAGAAGTCCCTATAAAATTTCCTCCAGTTTCACAATTCACTTGTGAAAAATTGCGTCAAAGGAATTTACCGCACTTTTGCCTCTCCATCAGATGTGAAATATATTCGCGGAATATGGAGTGAGAGAGAGAGAGAGAGAGAAAAAAATTCAAAATCCCATTTATGTCAGAATTTATTTGTAATAAAAATTTCCTTGAAGTCATAGCCGCCCAAATGAAAGTGCCTCCCTTCGCACACAATATACGAAAAATCATAAAATTCTCGTGAGAAAATATTGCCAGCGAAGTACTTTGGCGCGCACATCGTGTGGAGTCCTGCGGATCCTGCCAACGAGGTGTTTTCGTGCCAGGCATCAGATGGATCATGAAAAAGTGATCCCAAAGTGCTTTCGACAGGCGAGACAGATATTTCACAGCGACACCTTTTATCTCACGAAATTGTTTCACTCTCAGTTACATATTGTCAAAAAGACGTTGATCATTACAATCTTCCTGTGAATTCTTGACGTGCACGACACGGAAAATGTCTTCGAGAATGATAAATCCAAAAGGCAAAAATTGTGATGTCAATCATTCGATGATTGCAGCGCAATGTTGAATGAGACTCTGGAGACCTCAAACTCTTCTGTGTGTGTCTGTTTCTGTGGTTTCTCGTTAGAGATGCACGAATCCACAATTCATCCATGAATTTGTCCATCACGCATGGGATTTTCATCATATAAAGTCGACTTCCTTTCTCCTTTCCATCCTCAGTAAATATTCCCTTAGATGAAGCATGAAAATTGACTCGCAAGATAAACTTCTCCGGAGAGTCAACAAAAACTACATGAACAAAACTTCAAAGTGGCACAAGATAAACTCAAAGTGAGGAGGAAAAACATCGGAGATGATTTTCACTCATGCACAAAATACCAATTTTCATCACTTTACCATCTCTAATCGAGTGGATGTTGAATGGAGTTTAGGTGACAAAATCAGGAATTCATCATCGCCACACTTTTGATATTTTCATTGGGTGTGAAGAGCTTTTGAGCTTTAGCCAAAACTCTAGCCGCCATCAATGTGTACTTAGGCTCTGGCTATGCAAACATGTGGTCGATCTCAGTGTTTGACTTTGCCCAGCAGTGTTTCTTCCTCCCTAATCCGTGTACTTAATCCCACGTGTTACTGCGTAAATTGTATATCAACTGGAAAATATTGAAACGTAAACTTCCACAGTCAAGCACTGAGTGAAATTGTATTATGTAAATAGGATTTTATGAGCGAGAAATATGACCAGGCATTATGTTTTGGACAGCAAAAGCTCTCAATGGTCAGAATTGTGCGCTCATTTTTCTAATGGAGTGTTAAGTACAGTGAAAGAGAGACGTTGGGTGTGTTAAAGGACGGCATTCATATTAATTTGCAAATTTGCGCTGTTTTCTGCGGTGAACATTGAATGAGATGAATGATAATCAACTCATTCGTTTTGTGAGAAAATGTCCAGCTTATGAAATTATGCCATTTCACACAATTTTCACATCTTAAGTCCACTTTTCTCTCATTAATAACAACACAATCTATTGATTTAATTCACTTGAATTATATCTAATTGAGACTGAAAATCCTCGTGCAAATTAATCTATCTAGAAATTACGTATAAACTTTAGACAAGCTCAATTTAGGTGCAAATAATGGATTTCCACGCGAAATCCATGAACAAGTTTTGATCCCAGTTTCATTAATTTCATCAATTTGGGTGATTGAAAACTCATCAAGCAAGTTATGCACTTTAATTTATCAAAAATCCCTCGATCAATCATCGTGAAAATGGCGAAAGCATTAGTCATTTACCCTCCGGTTGGTCTGATGGGAGCTTTCACCAGGCGTCTCGACTTCACTCTGAAGCGCTTTAGCTTTTTATGGCGTTGATTAAATACATTAAAAGGTATGCAAAACAGCTTAAAGGTGGCTAGTTTGTCAGCACCTGCCAATAATGTCATTAGGGGGTTATTGAATAATTCATCTGAGAAAGTAAATGTGCAAGTGTTGCACATTTTGCTCTGTTTGGCTGTGTGTTAATTGAGACTGTGTCGCAGAGCTTGTCCCACCGCCTAATTTATGTACTGCCAACCGCAATGAGAATACATTATCGTCTCTCTACAATTTCGTATTTGCCCAGGAGACAAAAGCTATCCAAACTGGAAATGTAATTAAACACGTAGAGTACGTGCAAAAGGACGATAAATCACTATTTTACCTGAGCAAAGTGTGTCTCAGAAATTACTCAATTCTTTTGGACAAACATCGCACATCATTTGATTTGGGTTTGATTAAATTCTCAAAGGTAATTTCCCTATGCACAGAGAAGTTAAATGGGTGGGAAATAAGGGGTGTTTTGTGTTGAGTATTGTGGGCAGATTAATGCAAAAATTACCTGAAGAATCAACATCAAAGTGAATAGTGATTAACCATAATTGAATCCTGCGAGAATTTCTTGCCAATGTGGGGGTGATTTGACCTCAAACAAATCGGTGGATTTCTATTCCGAGCAAATCTCATTTATAACATTGTTTGCGAAATTCTATGCTGTTCGATTGTGTTGTCTTAACTTCAAATGTAGAACGTTTTGTGGGAAATAGTGAATGAAGAGCTAAATTAGTTTATTTAGAGCTCGCAATAGAGTTCAAAATCAGCTATTTTCACTATTTTAGCCAACACAGAATGAAGTTGTTGAGGAATTTGTGTGTTTAAGCATCAGATAATTAAGTAATTTAAGTAATCTTTAAATTAATTTCGTTCTTGAGATTGTTGAACTTGTGGTTGGTCATCATTCTTTCACTTTGGCATTGCAATTTTGATGGATTTTAATTAATTTTCCCATGTCAGAAAATACTTTTGAAAGCAATAAATCTCTCCGACAATGAAGAATTCCTTTGATGTTTCAAAACCCAGTCAGAAACATTCATTCATTCAGAATCTCCTCTAGGGTTGTAAATCTCAACCCTTTCCTGAGCATCCAAAGAGAGAGATTAATGCAATCAGTGGAAATCGAATGCGGGGGCATTTTCTCCATGCCGTAAAAAGCAATTCCAGCAACCACTTGGTAATCACCTTGCTCCTCTTGCTGCCCCATCGATTACCCTTTTGTCCGCCCTGTCGCTCTGAGGACGGCCAAACACATCAGGATAGTGCCTATTCGACTGTGAATAATGGGAAAGTGGACCGACAAGCGACAGGGGAAATTCGGATGGGTATTGAGAAAATTAAGACTTTCACCGGGAAAAACTCACTGGGCGGCCCACAAGGGTTGGGCCAGAGTGCTCTTACACGCCTCATCAGTCGCACTTGTTTCCTTACCATAGTCCTCGTCGTCGGACATGGCCATGGCCTGGAGTCGGGCGATTGTGCTGTCGTCGTAGCGCCGATTCCGCAGTATCTGGTTCCTCATCGTCTGCTCCAGCTCCAGCTCCGAGTCCGACTCCTCGATATTGCCATCAGTGTCTCTCATACCTGGCGGGCCCTTTGTCCCGTCGCACGGGCAATTATCGAAATCAATTAAGGATGTCTCAGTGGCTGCGGGCATGTCACGTCGCATTGAGCTGTTGTCATCCGACTCCACACTCAAGCGGCCGTACGCTTTGCGCGGCGGCCGCGGGTTATTTTTATCTGCAACAATGGAGAAAAGGTATTACTTTCAAGGGGCAGACACTGTGGTCGGAAGTGGTGGACAGCTTTTGTGGAAGTGTTAAGAATGGGAAGTGTTGAAATATTCATTGCAAAAAGATCTTTTGCATCAAATTGATTTAGCTTAGAAAAATCAAATTTATTGCTTTTCTAGGTTATGTGATCGATTAAATAATACTCAAAATCATTAAATTTGTGTTTAAGCAGGGAAAATTCTTTTTTTTTCTTGTCTAAGTTTAGCATTTATGTTCAAAATCACCTCAGATTGGTTAAATTTAACTTGTAGAAACGAGCTTAAAGTTGATCATAACCGCAAAAATATAATTTCATCCTAGATGAACATATTTTGCTTAGTTATTTCCGCAAACGTTTAGAAGTGTCTAAAGCTAAAGTGTTGAAGATTCTGCACAGAAACTGTGGAAGTATCTGCAAGTGGTGTACAGATTTAAGACACATTCTCTCCTCCTTGGTTTATGCATAAAGAAGCGCATTGCTGAGCTATCTGTGGTGCAGATGGTGAAAATAAACAGTAAACATCTGCGCTACAAATCCACATATATGTGGTTATTCGCCGACATGAGTAAATATTGGTCAGCTAATTGATTTAAATATATTGATCTAGGCCATGTGACTCTCATCCAAATTGAGAATTCTCTTGTCAGCTGGTGATAACGTTAAATTACATCGAATTCACACTCCATGCACTGCTGAATATGAAATCAATTTGAGGTTTTGCTCTAGTAAACAATTAATTTTGAATTCACTCATGCGAAAATATTCATGAAGATATTTTATCAATCAATCCCCAATGCAATGAAAATTCATGTAAAGCCTAAATTTTGAAATCTCTTTGATTGCTTACAAATATAATTGTATATTGTTGCGCATTTGAATTGAATGCAAATGTTAAACAACTTTACAGAAACACTCTTCTTCTGTTAATGACAATGTTCAAGCTCTCGCTTTTTTTTACCACTTCGCAAATTGCTACCCTTTTTAATCTGACCATAATCCTCCAATTTCCCTTCTCACAAATTTTAAAGTGTCCAGGGAAAAAGGAGTCATAACATTTTCTCTGGCAAAAATATGTGATATGGGATAAGCTTGGGTGGATTTTATTGTCAATTTTTGTTACAACATTTGGTCAGTGAGGCGAATTTCAATGTTTTCCTGAATGCTCACTGAAGTATTTCTCCAACGAACGGAAACTTACTGATAAATTTCGATGGATGAATCCCCAAAAATTTCTTCCAAGAAAACAGTTGAATGAATTTTCCGTAATAACACTCCAAGAGAGTGGAATTCTTTATCAATTTGTGATGCCACAGAAGCAGCCTTTTGGGTCTGAAGAACCTGTGGGTTTGCCATTTGTGACCTGAGCGCTTCTGACCTTCTTCAACTTTGCCATTCCGGTTGCCATGTGGAGTCTGATTAGGCCCCAAATATAGAGCGATAATGGCGAAGACGGATTAGGACGATGGGCAGCAGATCCTCTGCAAATGCGCCATTTCTCACCACATTCGCACAAACTATCAGAATTTAAACACTCTGCTCAACTGTCAGTGACAGCTCAGGTATCTGTGCGAGGGTCGGAAATTCCCCGAGGCGGCATTTCTCTCCCAGGAGCTTCCACTTGAGCCACTGATTGCCTAAATCAAAAGTTTCTTTCGGGGAAAATCAATTTACGAAGCTAGACACCTTGCCAGTTGCGCAACTGAGGGTGAGACAGTGTCACGAGAGCCCCAAAGTATGGATTTTGTCGAGAGACTGTCATTATAATTCAGTACATTGAAAATAAATCTGTTTCCCAATTAATTTTTTTCGCTTGCGGATGATGCTAAAATATCACACGCATATTCATCAATTTTTTCCCGAATTTCCCTTTTTCGCATCATTCAAAAACATATTGGCTGTCAAGCGACAAGGCAAAAAAGGGAGGAAAACTTTTTTGCCAAGAAGTTTCATAAACGGCGTAATTCAAAAAATGTTTCTTCTTCTAAAAGCTTTCGCACTGATTGCAATTTGTTGGGTAATTTCATGAATATTTGATAACTCCACAATTACACACTAAATCCAATGATGCTAATTCCTTGTCTGCACTTAATGCCGCATGATGAGAGGTGAGCATGAGGGAAATTTGATCAATAAACTATTGTAAGCTGCTGTTTCACCCCGCGGAATTCTGTCGGCGGGAACTTGCGGCGGAGTGGCAATATAAACATGAGTTTTGGAGGATATTAATTATTCTGCATGCGCTGAAAGCCACGAAATATTGAATTTATTTGCATAAGGCGATGGAACAATACAGGCGGCAGATTAACATGTCGTGTATGTTGTGTGAATTCAATAAGAGAGTGGGTGAGGCTCTATTAAAAATTCTATGCATTTTTATAGCCACGCTGTGGAGCTCTAAATTCGCAGAGTTTAAAATGCAAACAACCTCCAACCCAAAATGACCGCAACATAATAATAATACTGTCTATGTCACTCTATGTCAATTTATCCCGTTCGCATTTCGAAGGATAAATAATTTTGCTGCTCGTTCGTTATCTCGCTCTCTTCTCCGGCGCTCCTTTTCACGCTAAATTAGATTATATAATTATGAAAGTTTTCTTGACAGAAAGATGAGACATGAGGGGAACCGCGTGGGTGGCTTGGGAAACTTTTTCGGCAAAGTAGCACCGCGACAAAAGTGAATTCTGCGGTGAGGAGAGCTTAAGCATAAGCTCATTTGTGATATACATAAATATCTCTATACAATTTCGCCTCTGATGCCACAGTAAAGCCCAAATATCTCTATTTATACAGAATTATCGCGCAATGCTGCGGCAGAGAAAAGGGGTGGCATTTAATTTGTCACAGAGCAACATGAAGTGGAGAGTAATTTTCGGTGGAAAGACGAAAAAGTACAACTCCAGCTGGGGAGATAAGAAATCACTCTGTCGTCGCACTTTTGCTAATTAGATTGCCAAAGAATTACTTTTGCGTACATTAACTCCTCTGAATCGACTTGAAAAACCCCCAGTGTTGAGATTTCACAGGTGAATTGTTATCAAGGAATTCATCATCTTATCAGATAACAACAGACATTTGTCTCAGCGCAACGATGAGACAGATGAAGCCAAACATCGAACGAAGCTTGGCAAGATTAAATTTTTAATATTGTTGATGAGATCGGGAACGACCTGCTGCATTATGGCTTAGTTATGCCGCCTCCGAGAGTCCTGCCTTAAGCGGGGAAAGGTCAGGGGTGAAGATGGAAAGCGCTGTGCCATTAAGGAAAAGCAGAATTACTAAATATAAAGTGGTCCGAGATGTTGGGTGTGGAGCATTTGCCAGGGCAAGAGAAATAGTTTTCCTCTTTTCTCATTCCTCGAGGGAATGGAGAAAAAAAGGCAGAGGAAATGGCATAAGAAAATTACACTATATGTTCAAGAGAAGCATTTACAAGTGCTGTCTTTTCCTTCTGAAATTGCACAAATGGGAATTAACAAACCTTTCAATGGATTAGCATTAATTTAAAATTAGTTTCTGACTCTCGAAATAACACGGAGATTTGCTAAATGATAATCCTTATTCCACGTAACTTCCATTTAATACCCATTGCTTTATCTTCTTTACCTTAGATGTAATTAAAATTAAAATTTCAGAGAAATTATTATGAAAGCTTTCACGAGAGCTTTCGTAATGGGAGTAAATAAAGACTTTTCCGTTCGCATATTTGAGTTATTGTTAACCTTATGAAGAGGCGATGCTTTATGCGCGTCTTTATTAACCATCAGATTCTATAAATAACATTGTGAAGAAAAGCATCCCCTTAATTTGTGGGAAATGTTATGAATTTGAAGGTGAAATTATGTATGAATGTAATGATATTTCCCTCTATATGTCTCAATAAATATTTCATTTCTATAGAGATTAGTAAATATGGAGTGAATAAACATGCTCTATTTACTCATGCACCAAATTACGGGGGAACATATGTAAATTCTATGTATCTTACCTTGCGCTCTATGGCGTCTGGCTTGTTCAAATTTTTGTGAACTACTGTTCGTGTGTCTCTCTTCACACCACCACATTCATACATTGTCTCTCATCCACACCACCACCTCTTCAACCCTCTACACGGCCCTTCCTGCACTGGCCATTGTCCGCCTGGCTGGCCACAACACTACACACTTTCACTATCTCACTTCCTCCGGGCCATCTCTTCATGAGATCCGAAGCGGTTGAAGTCACTTCGGGTCCTTCACCATCACTCACTCGTTTCACTACGTAACGATCATTACTCTTCACTTCCTGGACACGATATGGTCCCAGAAACTTTGGTCGTAGCTTCAGTCCTCCTCCAAACTGAGTCCTCTTGATCGCCACTAGATCTCCTACTGCATATCCGGGCGCGTCCTTCCGGCGCAAGTTGTACACTCGCCGATTCTGCGATTGGATCTTCTCAATCTGCCTCCTGGCTGACTCTCTCAAATTGTAGCGTTGCTCTTGCAGCTCATCCTGATGATCCTTCTCGAGAATCTCCACTAGACTTCGATCTTCAGCTGTTCTCATCTTGACTCCCGTCATCAGCTGGAATGGCGTTGAGCCAATGCTGCTCTGCAGGGAAGAATTGATGCATCTCTGCGTCCGTCCAACATATTTAAACCATTCGTCTGGTTTATCAATCGCCAACTTCGTCAACATGGGCACGATGATTCGATGAATCCGCTCCACTTGACCATTTCCTCTCGGCACTCCTGTGGTTATGTGGTGAAGATCGATTCCTCTATTGGCACAGAAATCCTTGAACTGCCCCGCTGTAAAAGCAGTTCCTCGATCAGCGATGATTCGTCTTGGATCTCCCCACTCATCGGTCAATACAGTCAACTTCTTGATTGTCTCGTCGCTCGTTGTTCCCTTTACTGGGAATATCCACACAAACTTGGAGAATGCGTCCACAATCGTGAGAATATAGTTGTACATCTTCCTCGTGG